CCGTACAGAGCCTCTCAATGGGAGCGTGCGCGTCGCGAAGCCAAGGCGAAGTGGGACCGCACCTTGCACCGAACCACGCCCCTCCCCCTCTGGCCTTCCGGGGCCAGCTTTGGGCGTCGGGCCACGCGTAACGGTGTCCGAAGCGCGCTTTAGGCTTTAGGACGACGCTGTGCCAGTGTGCACGTGTGTGTGTGTGTGTGTGCGCGCGTGCTGTGCGTGAGCGCACCGGCATCACTTGTGGAACACGAGGAGCGGGGAAGAATGGGCCGAGCGCGCGAGCGCAGCGCGTGGCGAAAGCTCTCGTCATCGTTAATGAAGATGAAGCCAGTTCGTGAATCGGAGGGTGATTGGGAAAACGACGCGGTCGTCGAGAGCCGCGTCAACGACGTGCGAGGCGGCCAGGGTGTTTCCGCGAAGCACTGCGAAGGCGAAGGCGCTGCTGGCCGCAGACCAGCCACCAGACCGCCACCGCCGGACCACCGCGCGACACTGCTTTGTCGATCTCGCCAATTTCCGGTCCGCGGTATCTGGCTCGGCGGACTGATTTCGAGAGTCGCTTTCGTCGCTCTGTCTCTCTCGTCCCGTATAAGTGCGAGAGAGACAGAGGGACGAAAACGACTCTCGGAATCAGTCTACTGGCCGCTCAGCTGTGCTGCCCCGCCCGGCTGCGCCGCAGCCAAACTTTCCAGCGGCAACGCATAAACCGTGCAGACCGCCAGACCGGCGGACCACCACACCGTCAGGCCGTCAGACCGGCGGACGGCACCGCGATTGCGTGATAAGAGGTGGTCATTAGCGGAGGGCAGATAAAGGCAGGAAAACCACAATCCGAAATACACAATCTGTGCATCACAAGTGGCTTTGACGGCTCGGTGCTGCCACCGGTTGCCACCACGCCAATCGGCGGCGGAAGCGCAGCGCGCCAGAGCCTTCGTCCCCCTGTCTGCCTCTCTCGCGGCCCTACGCAACGCCTGCAACGCCCCAGGGATAGAGCGGCTCGCTCGGGATCAGCGTCTAGGACTGCCCCGGCGGCCCTAGGCGGCCCTAGGCGGCCCTAGGCGGCCCTAGGCGGCCCTAGGCGGCCCTAGGCGGCCCTAGGCGGCCCTAGGCGGCCCTAGGCGGCCCGGCGGGGACTAGAGCCGTGCTCGTGCCGGTCGTGACCGAGGCGGGCCGGCGCGGGCCTCGTCCTCGTCCTCGTCCCCGAGCAGGCCGAGTAGCCGCGGAGCCGCGGAGCAAGAAGGACGAGGAGGACGTCGGGCAAGGCGAGCGGGTGGGGCGGGGCGGGGCGGCACCATTTCGGAACGCTGCACTTTATCGCCGTTTACTTTTGCAAGCGAAAGCACAAGCACGGCGTAACGCGGCGCTGTCTGCCAGTCTGCGGCGCGCTGCTGCCCGGGGCGTTACTGCCTCGCCGCGCGCGCGTGTGTGAGTGAGTGTCGGTGTGTGTGTGTGCTGTATAAGTAGATAATTACAACGAGATAACCGCATCACCGATCATGCGCGGTCTGGATCGGCCAGTCGTTAAGATTTAGTGGGGCCTCTCGCACGCACACGCACTTACACACACGCACACAGACGCGCAGACACACAGGCCCCAAGTCTCGTGCCACTGTTCCAACGAGACGAAACGGCCCGGCCGCCGCCGCCACCGCCGCGGCTTTCTCCACCCAATTCAAGTTGCCGGTGGGGGCGGGGCGGGGCGGGGCGGCGGACCAGTCCCGAATACGAGTCGCTGCAAAACTGGCCGTGACGCAACGGAGGGGGAGTGTGCGTGCGTGCCCAAAGTTACTTCCCGTCGACTTTAGATAAAGAAAAAATAGGCGCTTGATTAATTGCGCGCGCGCCTGAATAAATACGTGCCCTCGAAATGAATGGTCGATTGAATGAAATATTCAACAAAAGGCAAAAGGAACGATCGGCGCCGTCATGCCGGAGGCCCGGAGGGCTGGAAAAGGGGCAGGGGAGGGGGCAGATGGTTATCGGTGGCTTCACTGACTCGTGATTAGTTCGCCTATGAAATAGCGGCGTGTCTGGCCGAGGCTGCCGAGGCTGCCGAGGCCGGCGGGGTGGCGCGCCGTGGCAGCCACGGCGTGCTGCTGGACGCTCCGAACATCTCTCGCGGGAGAGCATGGCTCGGCGTAGAGCGTAGAACGCAGAGCGTAGCGACCCATTAAATCCCCGGCCGGGTCCGCGTCCACGTCGCCCCGCGTCGCCCCGCTGGGTGTGGCCTGTGGCCCCACCGGGCCCCACCAGGATCTCGGCGGAGCCGGGCCGCCGGTCCTTGGATCGGACCAGGACCAGTCACTGTCACGGCGCGCGGCCGGAGCCGTCGCCCAGTCGCCCCCCAGCCTAATTTTTCTCTCCATCTCGAACTTATTCCGGCCCGGCCCCACTCCGCTCCACACGCCCAACCAACACACCCGAGCGCGCGGCGCCATTTTGGGGCGACGCAGTGCGAAGCGACGTCGGATCTCGTTGGCTCGACGGTGGCGCTCCACTGCGTACTGCGTAGCGCGCCTGTCGAGTCCTTTCATTCCTCCGGAAAAGAGCGCACGCCACAGCGGGGCCGCGCCGCGCCGCCGCGCCGCGCAATTCGGTTCGTCAGCGCGGCGCGCGCTAGCCAGCCTGTAGTATCGGTATTGGCGTTACGAAAGGCCAAGAATAAAACTGCCGCGCCGTCCGGGCTGCGTGCCTCTGCGTGCCTGCCTGGCTGGAGGATCGTTTCGTCGCTCCTGTCTCTGTCGCACTCATGGAGCGTTCCGCAGGGGTGCGACAGAGACAGCGACGATATGATAACTCGTAACCGCGAGGCAGCGCCGGAAGGCCCTGGCCAGCCTCCAGTGACTGGAGTCCAGTCCGCCCCAGGCCCTGTTGCGCCCTGCGCCTTGCCGCACAGTCTGCTCTGTGCACACGTCCCGCAGCCCAGGGCCCTGCTTTGGCGGTATGGCGGTGCTATCATCGAATGTCCCAACTCCCGACCCAACAGAGACAATCGCAGACAATGGCGCGGCGCATAGGCCGGCCGGCCCGGCCTACGAATACGGAACGGGACTCTGTTTTGTTTCCACACTCGAATCCGCCCCGCCCTGGCCGTTTCCTCGCCGCCGGCGTCCACATCGGGACTCCCCTGCTCGGCCTGCACCAAGGCCTGCACGCAGGAGTCCGGGTGCGAACCGCGAAGCTCGAAACGCGAAGCGAAGCGGACCCGGCGTTTTCGAAAGCCGCCACGCCGTCCGCGGCCGCGGCCCCAGAGACCCCGTTCGGGCTTCGCGCCGTGGTTGCAAAAAGGCTTTATCTCGTGCTGCCTCTGCTGCCAGCTATGAGGGCCGTGAGGGCCATGAGGGCGATGGGGAACTAACCGGGCCGAGCCGGGTCGCGGACGGGGCGGCGGCAGGGCACCTCTCTCTAGAAACCCCTCGGCTCGGCTGCCTTCAGCCGCTGCAGCCCGTTCGGCGCGTGCTGCACAGTGCTGCATCGCGGAGTGGCGGCGTGCCCCTCCCCCTCCCCTCCCCGCGCACCGCGCAGCACCGGCAGCACCGCGCCGTAAGCAAAAGCCGCTCTGCAAATAAAGGCCTGTCGGTCCGATAAACTCGGCCAGGCCCGCCAGGCCGCCTGCCTCGTGGCGCTGTTGGGTAGTGTTGGGTAACGGCGGCACCGCGGCACGACGGAAGCAGCGCCCGCCCCGCCCCGCCCCGCCCTCCACGGACTCCAGGGACTTGAAGGCACGGCGGCGAGTGCAGCGCAGTGCAGCGCGCGGCCTGGCACGGCACACTGCGGCGCACTGGGTCAGGGAGTCGGGGAAGTCCCGGTGGCGCTATCGAGCGCAGCGCGGCGTCACCTTCGATACCTCGACGCCGGCGCGGTCCGCGGCCCGGCGGCGGGGCGCGGCGGGGCGGCCCACCCGCATGAGCCACTTGTTGTCGGCGACAGGGCGACTTGCCGTTGGCCAAACTCGTTGCGGCGCCTCGTCGCGCTCGTCGCGCTCGTCGCCTCGTTGTCGTTACGCCGCCGCTTTCTACCGCCGCCCTGTCTGCAGGCTCGCTGTCGCTCTGTCTCTGTCGCACTCGCGGGGGGCGTTCCGTAGGGGTGCGAGAGAGACAGAGTGACGCGAGCCACGCTTGTTGCCAACCTCGCGCCGTTCATTCTGGCGGTTTCAGCTGGTTCTGCCTTTTCTTTCTTGCACTCTCTCGCGCCCCGCCGCGGCAAAGCAGGCGAAGCGAACGTGCGTGGTTGTGCTGTGTGCCCGGCGGCGCGGCGCGGCGCGGGGGTGCAGCCTCACCTGTGTCAGCGGGCGGTGCGGCGCGGGCCGCGATGAGGTCGCCGTCGTCGTCGCGTGGCGTCGTCGCTGACGCCATCCTCCCCTGCCGTGCCTCGCCGTGCCTCGCCGTCGCCTCCCTTTCGCTGACTCTGTTGCTGACCGATCCAGACTTTGGTGCGTGGCGTGGCGCGGCCTAGCCTCGTTGCGCTCTTTGTACCCGAGCGGCCCCCCGGCACGGCGTGGCACGGCACGGCGTGGCACGGCACGGCGCGGCCCCCGCGGCCCAGCAGTGCCCATGTGCGGCACGGCAGGCTCACTCCGCTCCGCCGCTATAAGGAATTAAAGAGCAGAGGTGAACCGGCTGAGATTTCGCGACGTTGGTCTAGTTGCACTTTTCCATCGAGAGGCTGGAGGCGGGTGGCACGGGGGGCACAGGGGCCGGCCGTAAAGTCCGTACCGAGCCGGGGAGGGTCGCCGCGTCGCCGCGGTGGAGCTGCAGGCCGCAGGCTCGCTCACGGCGGACTGGGACAGACTGGACCCCCCGTCCCGTCCCCGTCCTCGCGGTGAGCGGGTCCAGCCGGAGCGGGTCCGGCTAGTCCTTTCCCTTCGGCATATGTCACTTGTGCCGCAAGTCGTCTTTGCCAGCGGTGGCGCGGTGGCGCAGGCCGTCGCCCCCTGCTCCGTGATCCCTGGTCCCGGAAGACTCGACTGGAACTTGAACGCTTTTCTTGTCTGTTTGCAGAGCCGACCGCGGCGCCCTCGCTGCTGAGAGGCTGAGGCTCTCCCGCAGCGTCCCGCAGGCCGGAGCGCCGCGTGCGCAGTAGCGCCTCATGGATCTGCTCGCTTGAACAGCCACAGGTGAGTGAGTGGACGGGGAAGGGAAGTCCGAGGGAGGGAAGGGGAGAGGGGGCCTTCTTATCAACTTCCCTTTCTCGCCCTTCCGCGAGCCCGCATCGCCCGCCCTGCGCCAAGGCGGCACCTTGTAGGCCGGACCGGGCGGGGCCCACCGGCCCACCCACCGCCGTACGGCCGCACCGATAGCGCACCGAACTGTCCAGCAGACTGATTCCAAACCGTGCTTTCGGCGCTCTGTCCCTCTCGCACTCATGGTGCACGCCGCGGCGCGCCGCACGCTAGCGATAGACAGAGCGACGGAAATCTGGGCGGAATCGGTCTGCAGGCCACCACCAGGCCAGCGCCCCCTGCCGATAGCAACCCGCCGCGCCCCGCGCCTCGAGCGGCCGTGGTTTGGGGGCTCGCACCGCGTCGCATCGCGTCCTCCAGCTTCGCGGCCACGGGGCCCCACCCCACACACCGCCAGTGGTGTGCATCTGGGCATCTAGTCGGCATGTCGAGAGCATGCTGCATGTTGGCCCGATAGGGCGATACGAGTCCACTCGTCGGCCTACCGTTTCCCCTGCGAACGTCGTACGCCGTCGCCGTTTGATAACCCGCCGGCGACTCCTCGGTCGACAAGCACCGCGGACACCGCGCCGCCCGGCCGCCATCGCGGACTCGTTCCGAACACTGTCTCTGTCGCACGCACGGGCGCGTCCCGTAGGCCCGTAGGGGTGCGACAGAAACAGCGTCCAAACGAGTCTTCGAAAGGCTTATCTTTACGGTGTGTCGCGGGGGCCGGGGGCAGCCGCGGGCGAACTGTCCGGTCCGCTCCTGGCTGCACTTTGGAGTTCCCAGACCCACCCTTTCTCTTGCTTGCAGACATGAAGTCCCTGGAGCGCGTGTCCGCAGCGTCGGCCGGAGAGGCGGCGCCCTGTGCCTACTGGCTGGAGGACGACGACGAGGAGGTGGACGTGGACGTGGAGGAGGACATGCTGCTGGGCTCCGAGGACTCGACGTCCACGTCGACGTCGAGCCGGGGAGGCAAGGAGGGCCACGGCAAGGCCAGGAGCGCAGGTAGGCTGCTTGGCGACGACCGAGCAGGGTGGCTGCAGGCTCATTCCGAACTGTCGCCCTGTCTCTCTCGCACTCATGGGACTTCCCTGTTAGAGGTGCGAAGGAGGCAGAGTGACGGGTACGCTGAGTGAGCCTCCAGGTGCTTGGGCTAACTAGAGAAATGAAAAGCCAGTCCAACCTCCCCCACCCCTTCCTGTTGTAGACGGCTCCGAGAGCTCGGGCAGCGAGCGGAGTGAGCGCGTGAGCGGCAGCGTGGACGAGCGGGACGAGCGCGACGAGCGGAGCGCGGTGGAGCGCACCGCCATGGCCCAACTGCCCCCGGCGATGCAGCCGCGGCCCAAGCGGAAGCTGAGCTGCTCGTCCACCACCAGCCACGCGGGGGCGCACCCCTTGCGGAGGCGGAAGTCGGGCATCTCCGCCCGGGAACGGAACCTGCGGCGGCTGGAGAGCAACGAGCGGGAACGCATGCGGATGCATTCCCTCAACGACGCTTTCGAGGTGAGGCTAACTAGTGAGGCACGCCCCTCCGTCTCTCTCGCACTACTCGGGGCGTGCCGCGTGCCGCGAGGATGCGAGAGAGACAGAGCGACGAGGCACTGCGCGGATCACTGTGCGGACGCGGAGCAGCCAAACTTACCCATAACTTCTTTACTGCACAGCAACTCAGAGAGGTGATACCGCATGTGAAGATGGAGCGCAAGCTGTCGAAAATAGAGACTCTCACCTTGGCCAAAAACTACATTATGGCGCTAACGAATGTCATATGCGAAATGCGAGGCGAAGAAAAGCCGTACACGTAAGTATAATGTTTAAAAAAAATAATTACAAAATTACTTTTTGGTGTTTTGTAGGTTTTTAAGTTTGCTAATAACCCTTCTTTTTTTGTTAATAAAGGTTCCTTGATGTTGATTGTGAAACAAATGGAAGTGGGAGCGGCACCGAGCAAGGACCAGAGGCAGATGACATGGAACCCAACAATAACAGTTTGTTTCAAGAAAATCTGCAGCTTGGGAACCCCAGCAGCATTACGACTGACGCCTGAGAATGATTACTGATTTCCTATAATTTTCCATGGAACTTCAGTACCTGCAGAATGTGCTCCAAAAATTCACACAACGTACAAATGAAAGTGCTTGAACTTATAAGACACATTCCAGTGGTTATGCATTACAAGTTCCTGATGACAATGATTCAGTGAACATTAAGTGGAACTCAGTTTGTTGTGAATTGAAGAGACAGTAAAGACATTGCTCAAGCCTAAAATATTGAGATGCAACTAGCAATTCATGATGAAGACAATGAAATCGATTTAGTGTTTAATATATTTGTAAAATTGTACAAGGAAGATAAGTTTATACACTAGCTATAAGTATTTTGTCCAAGTTGTGTAAGTGCAATATTTTATTTAAGTGTGTCTTTGTTTGTTACAAGCTGTTTTATTGTTCTGGGAGTGCAGAAGGGACTGATAATGAGTTGTGGTTAATATTTGGTGGCTTGTTATTTGAAATTAGCTTATGACTTATTATGAGCACAAAGAAAGCACAGAGTTCAAAGCAAATCAGAACTAGCCGAAGAATGTTGTTGGGCTAAGTGCATAATTTGGCTTTATTTTGTCTAAAATATGAGAGAATGCTGGTCACCAGACAGTAATCATGTCATACATTGTTAAAAAATGATATTATTTCTGTGTTGTGATTTTTTTTTCTTTTAAGAAACAAGGCTTTGAATGCCAGTGCATTCCATTATGAATGTAAATTGCAAAGAATAAGTAATTTTCTATCTCAAACTGTAAGTGGCACAAAAAATATTTGCATGTCCACCTCATGAAGAAAAGACATTAATAGTATTCCCAATGTACAAAAGTAATTTAATTTAATGAAGAAGGAAGAATGGCTTCCTTGAGAGAGTAGATGGTTTGGATGATCTGGTGATCACCATGATGATACCATAAAAATAATAAAAAAAAAAAACAACAGAGTTTATCTTTGAGGATCAATTCTACAGACAACAGTATGGATCAGTTTGGGCGGCTCAGTCAACCACTTCCATGTGAAAGGAAGACCAACATCCACATTTAAAAATGCTAGACTTGCTGGTGTAGGCTTAGAGCTCCACGAGTGCTTCCACTTCCAAATGTCCGGTAAACCATGGTAGTTCTTGAAAGATTGACATTCCTTCACATGATGCTCTCTAAGAGGAGGAAAATCTCACTTTGGTCTGCATTCTAAGTTACCTTAAAACATGCCATAAGAAGAGGCTACAAAAGGCACAAAATCACAAAGATCAATATTGCGATTAGTTTCATTTGAGAAATTTGCTTTCCACCAATTTGGAGTCTCTGAAGAGATGGGAAGATGAAATATGCCTCTATGTACATTTTCTGTCTGTACCATACACTTTGTAAATATTGTACATGAAGATTGCCCTCTTTTCTTCCTAAAGTTTTTTTTTTTTTTTTTTTTTTTTTTAATCACTGGTGGTGGTTTGAAGGCATTAAAAAAGATTTTGAGAAAAAGATGAAAGGTTTCTGACAGATGCCGTTTGTTTTATTAGTGACATGTTGCAAAGAAAACATGGAAGATATCCCCATGAATGTGCATACACCTTACTTCATTTCATACTGGAAGTTTTGCCAATTTCAATGCCAAATTATGTGTGCCAACATTTTCAGACTTTTTGAGTGCATGAATAGAATGAAAAATATCTTTGGGCCATTGAATTAGGTTCCTGCAAACAGTAAAAACATAGGAAAAAATTTGTGTTTGTGTATTTATTATACAACATTTATCACAAATTGTTAGTTTCCCCTTCTCAAAATATAATTTTAATTTCTTTTTAGGTGAAACGGACATAAGGTCAAAGTACAAACAATAGGGACAGTGAGGCAATCAAAACAGCAATATAAAAAAGTTTGCAGTGCAGTATAGCATGTGCTTATTCCCAGGCTATGGGAAAATTGGTACATGGATATGTAGTATTTTGGAAGTGATTCCAAACCAGAGACTACACCAATAATTGTAAATTAAGAAACCAGGAGGTGCTGTGAGTCAGTCTTGTTATTGCTAATTGCACCCACTGTGAAAAAATAAAACCATCTGGAGGATTTATTGCTTACAGAATTCATATGTAAAATTCTAAATTTTCAGTTTGTTAAGTATTAAGAAGTTTCTGCAAGGGACCGAAAACGATTGCAAGGTGTGCAATGAGTGAACAGCTTATGATGAGATCTAGCAACACCAACAGTCTAAATTACTTAAAGTGTAACTCTAGAGTAAGCTGCACATGAAAATAGAAAAAGACAATCAATATTTGCTCATTTGATGAGAAGAGTCAGACTTGCACTAGATGTATAATATATGTACACAGGTTGAAATGTTGCAAGCGTCAGTCACACAATACTGACGAGATGATATAAGCTGAATATGTGATGATGTTTAAAGCAATTAAATGCTTTATGGGAAAAGCCCATAGAACATGAATTTGACACTTTTTATTACTATACTCCTCAACCACCAATGAAATGATAAAACTGGAAGGTTGGCAAAGTAGAGGAATGCAAAAAACATAAGACTTACATAAATGTTAGTCAAATGACTAGTTCCAAATGTCACTCTCCTCAAACTCCTTTGGGGGCTTTTCTGAACTATCTTCACTTGATGATGACTCTTCTTCCCCACCTAAAACAAAAAAACAATGGATAAAGCAAAATATAAAACAGAAGCAACAAGTTCCATCATGTGCAAGTACAGTACCTGCTTCACCTTCTTCAGGAATGGGATCAATGCTGCGTTTAGCAGCATTTGCAGAGGGCCTAGAAAAATAAAGAAAAAGGTATCTCATCAGAGAAAATTGCAACAACAACATTTAATTGCATTACAAAACCCAGCAACAACAGAGGATATAAATCAATGTCAAAACTATTCTTTAATTCGTTTTCATACAGATCACGTGATAAGACAACCACTCATCTAGTAGCGAGTACAGAGTTACATATAATGAAGACTTCCAATTGAACATTCAGAGGCATCTTTCGATAATGATGTGGCTACCATTAGTGGTTAAGTTCTAAACCCTTCCAGTTCCCAAGCCTTAAAATCATGCAAAATACATTCAATAAAACAGTCCATTCCAAATGTTAAATTAACACCAATTGGAGAGAGAAACCAGTCAAGAAACCCTCAAAACCTACATAAAACAATAAAATTAGGTTGACATGTGTTGGCTACGACATGAGAGAGGTTCAAAATTCATGGTAACAAACATGTTACCTGATGAATGTAGTACATTACAAATATTTTGTCCCCACACAATTCTTAACAGAATTATGCAATATAAAAACACCTCAACATATTATCTCTTGTACACAAATCTTACAACTACTTTTAAAAAATATTGATGTGATTTGATCCTTGATACCCTGAAGACTTACAATAGCAGTTTCAAACAGATTAAAATATGTGGAACTTTTCAAGTTTATGGTTTTGGCTATCATAAAAATTGACTACAATTTATAATTGGAGAAAAATTTGAACAGTAATGTAACACGTCATTCAGTAATGCAGGGTATAAATCAAAAAAGCATCACAACTCATAACTCAACCAGAAAAGGGAGCCCATCTTGGTATATACCTACACTGATGCACAAAAAAACTGACATGTTAAGCATTCAAATTTCAATGCATAAGTCAAGAGTGACACAAGGATAAAGTACATAAATTATTTCACAGCCGTATGTTTCTGCTGGGCAATAAAAAAGTGAAGCCCAAAACCAACTTAAGGTGAGAAGAAGGCAAAATTGCAGTAGTTATGATCACCAAGCTTCACCTCAAGGTATTTCTGATGAAAAGTGAAAAGATGAAAAGATCAATTCCAACCCTTCCCTCAGAAAGGAACAGACAAGAATTTTGACAATGCACTTGAGATGGATAACATATCTCAAAAATACAGATCTCTACGGGTCCAACAATTACTTATCAACATATAATCAACCCACAGCCCGATTTTAATGTGTACTTCCTCAAGATACAGTGTCCTTAGTAGTTCCAAGAATTTTTACTATAAACGAGAGTGCATTAAACTAAATGCCAATACCAAAATAATTAGTTAATTTATAAAAGAAATAACAACTTATTGATCTGACTCTTAGCATAAGCTAGCTTTTAAACAGCCTCAATTAAGTCTTCTTTAAGTTAAGTCATTATATCAGAGTTCCAGTAACATCAATTATTGTATTTGTCAACATTGATATAAACACCAATATACTAATATCACATTGGGACACAACCTTATCGTTTGCCAATAACTAACGAGTACCATATCATATAACAAATGGATATCATGAGAAAGAGACCCAACATCATCTTCATGGTAAGGGTGAAGGCTTTAAAGGCAATAGGCTCCACTGGATGTTTGAGCCAATCCAGGTAGAAACGGTTCATGATGATGCCAAGGAGGTATTGGGTGCTCAACAGCTCGGCTGGCTTATGCCGTCTGTCAACAAGCAGGAGTACCGCCACGCTGTTAGCAATTTCTTCTATTTTCACAACCATTCTAAGCTTTTGTTTCGACCATGAAACTTTCTAGTTAAACTCTTATATGAAAGAAAGAAATCAAATTTGAACAGAGGTATGAGAAAATAAAGATTTGATAAAATTGCTTTGGTGAACTTGTAACTCTGATATAACAACATACATGTGAGGGCTTTCACTGACATCTCATCCAGAAGGGAAGTCTTGCTTTTGTGAAAATTTCACAATATTTAAACCAATTGGAAATTCTTTGAACTGCACACATTTACTTGCAATTAGATGCAGAATGTATTCTTTACAGCATTATTTTTTATATTTTACCAAACTAAATAATAAGGCGATAATGAATGGTCATAAAGCTTTTGAAGTACTATAAATAAAAATTAACTACTAAAGAGAATATAATTTACTTACTGTTCAAGGCCACGGTGCTTTTTAAACAGGTCTGGTGATTCTGACACATCTCTTGACTTCCGTTTTCGGAGAACTTCAAGGCTTGGAGATGACGGTTGAACATCAGGAAGAAATTTTCTGGGATAAAGATGTGCCAATACCATTTTAAACACAATAACAGTAACACAGTAATAATGGAAGAGGCATTATGTCAAATTTGAAAGAAAAAAAACAATACCTTTCTGTTTGCTTTTGAAATGTGCTAAATGATGTGACTTTGTATGTGTCATTTCCTGTCATAGTTTTCATGACAACTTTTGCTTGATCTCTTTTGTGCAATGCAACAAAAGCAGAGCGGTCGTCGATGAAGGATATAAACACCGATCCTACAGAACAAAAACCCAGGTAAATATTTGTTTGGCAACAAAAACACGAATTGCAAGAGATTGCAATCACCTACCAAATGGCTTGAATAACTCAACTACTTCATACTGTCTCCATTCTCTGGGAAACTTTAAATGAAACACATGATTCCTAGGGGGCTTGGCTGAACAGAAGAAGACAGGAGATTAACAGAATAATGTAGTTGATTCTATAACACAGATGTGCACTTAAATCTTTCATGGTTTGTAGTTTGCAAAAATAAGAAACTTACTATCTGGAGCCCCAAGTCTCATGAAAGGAACATCTTGCACTCTCATAAGGTACAGCCTGCAAAAAAAAAAAAGAATCAGAAAGGTAAAAAAGGGGAAGTTAAATGAGGTCGCATTAATAAATTAACAGACCGGTTCTCAAAATTTTCAAGAATGTCACTAATGGAATTCAGACTGTTTAATTTTCGCCCCACATCTTTTGCTGAAAAAATGAAATGAACATTAATATAGAGAAAAGAGGTTGATAACTGAGGAAGACTTTCACTAATATGGATGAAAAAGATGTTTACCGAGGTACTGGCACATGGAGAGAAAACATTGTCCTGTCATAAATGCATCATAGCCACCTTCATGTGATTTATCGACTAAATCGCTGTAGGAGCGGCCCTCCATGTTTCCCTCTAGAATACAAAGTTTAATTGTTAAATTTACTTCAATTGTGAAAAGGAAATTAGAAAACAAATTCTTACCAACAATGGGCATTTCAAATGGAGCTTCAGACAGAGTCCCTCTCATATGACCCAAGACATTTGAGGGAATCAGCTCCTTGAATTGAGCAGCAATGGACATGTACTTAGTATCCAGCACTCTGCAACAAAGATGCAAGTAGTAAAGCCCATCATTACAACAGCAAAACCACTCAATTCCTACCAAAATATTTCAGATACCTCGGGAATATATGGTGAACAAGCTCTTTGAAGTTGTCATAGTTGGATGGCAGGGAATAACGGAATCGATTGACCATATGACACACATCCAAGAAGCAGTTGTGACCGATAACCAATTTGCCCTACACAGTACGAGGAAATAAATGAGTTTGATCCATGTTCATATATCAAAAGTTAAGTTCGATTTATCATTCTAAGAACTACTGTAACTGCTTTCAAAAGCATAAGAACTTACAGATTCTGAAATCATCTTGATCAGGTGTGATAAGCCAACAGTTTCTTCAAATTCTTTCCACTCTTTTTTCATTTTCTCCTCTTCTCGAAGTTTCCTTAGCTCTTCTCCTCCACCTCTTGAAATTTTCATAGCCTGAGAAACATACTTCATAATATAGGAGCACACTAATTAATAAAATAAAGTTTCAACAAACATCATGAAGGTAAAACTTACAAAGCTTGAATCATCACAGGTTTCTAGCTGAACTGCATCTCCAAATTCTTTAGCAACCTCTTGATACAAAAGCCTCCTCATAAAAGCATTGCAGCGATCCAGAATAAAATAATCTTTTCTGTTGTCACTTCCATCATCTAAAAATTCCTTAATTTTCTTCCTGAAAATTGAAAGTTGATGGATCAAGTGTCAAATGTGCATAAGATGTTGAAAATGTGAATGTCAATGCACATACATATTATTATTAAGATTCAGTTTCATATCATCAGGAACCGGAATATCACTATACGTCTCTTTTGTACTTTCCCGGCCCATCTTCTGGTGCCGATCCTCAATACTTGTCCTCAATTTGTCTTCGTCTTGCTGCGTTAAGAAAGGGATACCTAAGGAAAGTTTAAGTTGCATAATTAAATATGAAAAAAGAAAGCCAATTTGAAAAAAAATCAAGTGTGCCATACCTTCCCCAAAGGCCTTGTTGAAATCAAACCCGCAATTTGAAAGGAATGCTAGGCTTGAGCTTTGGCATTGAAATGTGTTATTTGGAAAACCTTTCAAGTTGGAAAATGGAAAGGTGTAGAAATTGTATGCTTGATACGTATACCTGGAATAAGTATTTCATGAAACCCTTTGAATTAAGTCCATTGCAGCTGCTAGACTATCAATACAGGAGAACTGACCTTTCGCCTTTTGCATCATATTGGAAAATACAAATACCCAATTGAAGGGGTAGAAAGTCTAATGCTTTGCGATGAACTTTCTCATAATACTGGCGTGGCGTGTCAAATGGCATAGCATCCAGTTCTCGACCACCCGTCGTCAAACCAGTCAACTCTAAATCAATAGAGATAAATTCAGCTTCTGACACAGCTTTTTTGAGATCTGGAAGGATATCATAATAATCTGGAACAAAAGAGTAGACTGTGTCACCTCTCGTGTGCCAACAAAATTAGGTCTGCATTCGCACCAGGATGGCAGGACAGAGAGCTTATCCTAAGGCACGCATCGACATCACTAGGGGCCGGGGCCTACTGCCTGACTACCTCAGTCTGCCGCGCGGGGGTTGACAACAAGCACAGAGAACTAGAGGCTGCATTGGGCCTCCTGGAGGACCCCGGAATCACATAGACTAACCCTACGTTCAGAAAAATGGGATGGACACTGATCGGATAAGGACATAGGTCTGAATAGAAAAATTGATCGTAAGATCATACTGGTAAAAAAAATCGGAAATTCTGAATGCTAAATTAATGCCCTCTGCTGGCAGACCGATGTAAAGGTTAAACCTTCGTTGACAGGTGATAACTTAGTGTGTTGCAATAAGTCGAGATGAATTTAAGCCACAGTTTCAAAAACGAACCATATCAACTTACTTTTACGTGTTACGTCCATTTTCGGTGGGTTCTATTTGGTGAAAGTTGACTTTCGGATATTACTTATTGTCGTTGCTGCAAAGATGTCACACATACAGTAGAGGTTATCCGTTTGAACAAATAATCAAAGAAATAAACTTGGTACCTCAAAAGAAGCTAGAGAGATGAAATTTCGATCGTTTGCTGGAAATTAAAACCAACCTGTTAAGTTGATATGTACTGAATCATTCACTTTCTCAAATGCACGTTGGTTATTAACCTATTGTTTGTTGTCATCGACCAGTACCAACTAAAGAATGTGGTTCAAAGCAAAGGCCCCCTTCAACAACGTGAATTTCCGTGCTTTCAAGATAGAAAAAAGTTTTTTAAATTCTTAAATACTAAATATTTAAGTCCCGAGTCGCTCTGGATTTTAAAGATAGGCCACTTTCGCTTCCGGGCTTTTTATTAATGTGATGTTGGCGACAAGTAGTATGCTTTTCCGCTTCGCTTCTGTTTTCTTAACGTCTTTCTTTTAAATTTCAAGTCGGAGCCGGAGCCGAGATTTATTTTCTATGTGATCATTGGAGAAGGACCATCGCAACGTATCATATCGTCTCGTCATCGTAAGACAAGTTATTTTCAATCAAGTTCTGGATGAAGCAAGGATATTTTTCTGCTTCGACTTGTCATTGGATCCTCGGATGAGCGCACCTCGTCGGTCGGTAAATATATTTCATCAAACTTGTCACTGAAGTACCGTTTGTTTATTTCGGAACTTTATTACGGATCGTTGTCTGCTCTGCTCAGTCATTTCCACCTCTTTTCTTGCGAGTAAAGTACTTCTCGTGAAGTTTTCGGCGCAGCACCATGGCTGGCTACAGCTTCATGAACGACTTGAGCAATGTCGTTCGTATGGATGAACCTATCCGAGGACCCATGCCCCGATGGCAGAAGAAGAATGTGGATGCTTCCAACTCTAGGTACTGTTTGTTTTTCTTGAGTGTTCGATTTTAGTGGCATCTTTGTACCCGTCTAAACATTGGTTTTACTTACAGCATCAACATGAGCTTTAATGCTTCTCGCAGCAAGATGAATACTTCGTTAAACTGCAGTACTAATCAGTCCAAAACACCAAACAAAGGAGGGTCAAGTAGGTCTAAGACGCCTTCAAAGACTCCTTCAAAGACCCCAACAAAGTCACCTCGTAAGTTTCTTTAAGCTCGTTTCAATGATCAAGGGTGCCTAGACTTCTCTCAATATTGTTCCTCTGTTCAGGTTCCAATCCGCCATCAAAGTCTCCTACACCAGGCAAAAGCGGCGGTGACCGATTTATTCCCAATAGATCTGCAACTGATTTTGATCTTGGCTATCTTAAGGTGATTGTTGGTACTTTTGCTATTTTGTTTTGGATCTACAAGGGAACCTCCATTTATATAGTGTAGTTAATGGGATTAAGTTTCTTTAACTGTTTCTTTTTCACATTCATCATCTTCTACAGCTGAAGCAAGTTCCCCCAGAAGAAGTAGGTAGTCCTACCCAGACTGAAAAGGAACGAGCAATGTCAGAAACCCTTCATGGACGTGATATTAGCAGTCAGCGTATTTTGTCCTATCAAAACAAAGCTCCCCTCCCACCGGAAGTAAGTTTAATTCCTTCCAAATATTTTATTATTAACTTAAGTTGTTATTAATTTTGCTTTTAATCATTTTTTTTAGGGTTATCAAAATCATCTCAAAGTAGTCTACACTCAAACAAAGACTCCAGCTTCTGTCAAGGCTACAAATCGTTATATTCCCTCAGCTCCTGACCGCATTCTTGATGCCCCTGATATTTGTGATGACTACTGTGTGTATTCTGATGCTACTAATAATTTTAAACAGTTGTGAGAAAATTATTAGTATTACTTCTTAACTTTCAGATTTGAACTTGATTGACTGGGGCTCTAACAATATTCTTGCTGTGGCTCTTGGGACTAGTGTCTATCTGTGGAATGCTGCAACAGGTAGCATTGAACAACTCTTAGATTTGGAATCCAATGACTACGTCAGTTCATTGTCTTGGATTCAGTCTGGTGAGGGTGAACATTTGGCTGTAGGAACAAGTTTGGGACCCATTCAGGTAAGACACATGCATTTTATGCTTCTTAAATTTTTTTTACTAGCCATTTATGACTTGTGTTATTGTACAGCTCTGGGACACAGTTGCCATGAAACGAGAAAGAGTTATGGCTGGTCATGGTGGCCGAGTTGGGTCATTAGCATGGAATTCATATATTCTGAGCAGTGGTTCTCGAACAGGCCAAATTATGCATAGTGATGTTCGCATGCGTGATCACAAAGTTCTTATTGTATCGGGACACACTCAGGAGGTATGTCTGTCTTCACACATTCCCAAGATAGTTTTATATGTCCTTGATACACTAACTAACTGATAACAAACTGTTTTCAACTGATCCCCTTAGGTCTGTGGTCTCAAGTGGTCACCAGATGGACGTTACATGGCCAGTGGTGGTAATGATAACCTTGTCAACATTTGGCCCGCTGAGTACAACACAATGCGCACCCAAGCTCAGCCATTGTATTCTTTAAGGTGTGTTTGCTGTTTCCACAAATTCCTTGAGTGCACTGAAGTCAATTCAATGTACATTCTTTTATTTTTATTGTATTTCTTGACAATACAGTGCCCATCAAGCAGCTGTAAAGGCAGTCGCATGGTGCCCATGGCAGCCTCACATCCTGGCCACTGGTGGAGGAACTGCTGACAGGTGTATTCGTTTTTGGAATGCCAACTCTGGAGTGCTGTTGAACACCATTGACACCAAATCTCAGGTTTGGATAAATTGTCTCAAAGAGCAGAGCAATAATTCTTGGTGGCATTATGTCTCAACTCTCAATTTTGTGTTTTACATTTTAGGTTGTTTCTATTTTGTGGTCAGCACATTATAAGGAACTTATCTCAGGTCATGGTTATGCTAACAATCAGCTTATTATTTGGAAGTATCCCTCAATGGCCAAGGTATGTTGGGAAAAGGAGGCACCCAATTCCTCTTTTGTAATCATTCATTGTTTTAAAAATCTTTTAATTGTTCAAGGTATCTGAATTGACTGGTCATTCGTCCCGAGTTCTTCATATGTCAATGTCACCTGATGGCACTACAGTCATTTCTGCTGGTGCAGATGAAACTCTCAGGCTTTGGAAGTGCTTCGATGTTGACCCATCAAAGAAAAAATCGACGAAAGAAGTTAAACCTGTGCCAAGCCTTCTCAAAACTCGTATAAGATAAAGATAATATTTTACTCTGCATTTTTTATGACTGATTTGGTTTGATCTCTTAAATTTATTAATTTGCTAAGCATGATGGTAGTATGAATTGCATTCTCTCCAGTATTTTGAAGTTTTTGGATGAAGGATTGTTGATTTGTGCCAAATAAGTAATATGGCTGTGTTCCTCATATATTTGGTAGTTCTTTTCAATCCTTTCATGTTTTTTTTAAATTTTCAGACTGTGACTTGTTCCATTTTGATGCTACTGCTTTTGATGTGGTTCTGTTAAGTTCAATTGTATTTATTCGTGACTGATTGCCTTTATGATAATTTTGTGAAACTATGGAAACTATTAAGATTTATTTTTACAATTCTGTTTTGTCTGATTCCCTTTCACCCGTGTCACACTGTCAGGAGTGCAGCACTACATACAGTGGGTTGTTGACCACTATTGTATTTTACTTCATTGGTTTCACACCCGTAACTGTTGTGATGTAAAAATACATTGTAAGAGAAATATTTTATTTTTTAGAATCAGATTTAACATGTTCCATAGACAAGTTTTCAGTGCACCATTGTTGGACATGGCCAATATACAAAATATACAATACTGTCAAAGTAAAACATGTTGCATGTAGGCAACAATCACAGCCATCAGTTTGAAATTTTAAAGCCACTAACAGGAAGACAAGTTTTCAGATAGATCTACTGCATTGTCAGTCTCCTCTGATTTCACTACATCTTCTGGTGGATTTGAATCTTCTTCAATCGCAGCCTCTTTTTCCTTCTTTTTCTTCAGCATGTCAACAAGGTACTTAAACCTCTGCATACAATCCTCCTGTGGACCAATGGAATTTCATGTACAGAGGTGCACAGAAATGCAACAGGAAAAAGGGATGAGATGACAAATTAATACCTTTGACTTTTCAGGCACACATTTAGCAATCTTATCCCATCTATCCTGAGTGGAACCCTTAGGATATTTTATTAATGCTGCCTCAAGGGCCTTTTGCTGCACTTGAGTCCATGATTCCATCTTGCTTTCAAAGTCAGCATCTGCTTCAGTGGGTTCCCAGTCGCCATGTTTTCCACCTTTTGTTTTGAGTTTTTTGGCCTTCAGAAGATGTTGCATTTCTTCTCCACTATCTCTGCAATACACAAATAGCCCCAAATATTATCGGTAGAGCTAAAGAAGCATTATTATGTCTTAGCAAAGTTATGGTTACCTTCTATCTAGACTTGGTGTTTTGTAACCATCTTCTTTTACTCTGTGGGCCATGAGTGTAACTTCCTGAACTGTTCGCTCCATGGTGTCTGCAATTTTCTCCCAACGCTCTAAAGTCCCAGCTGGATACTTTTTCACTAGTTTGACAAGTTTTTCAATATCTTCATCAGTCCACAAGCCTCCACTTTGGGCAGGTCTGAAGATAAAAAATATTGATAAATAAAAAAGGCAAGTAGATTTTTGCTGTAAAGGAGGGTGAAATTCACTTACTTTTTAACTTGCAATTTCATTTCTTTTCTAGCTAAAGCTAAAATTTGAGCTTGGCTAAGCTGTGCATTGCTCTCTTCAGATGAAACTTCAGGTAATGTGAAGCCTTTGCGTTTTCTTGGTCCTCGTTCAGCTCTTTCTGCAGCTGCAGCAGCGGCGGCTTCTGCTTCAGCTCTTTCTTCTTCTTCAATAAGTCTGATTTTTGAGAAACAAACCTTAATTTACATAATCGTTTTAAGTCTACACACCTTCATGTTGACCACGTTAAACATTTTTAAACCACACCTTAGCTCCTCTTGATGACGTTTCCTTTCTTGCAAAACATTTAGTATAATGAATGGAAGTTTCGTCACAATCCACCATAGGAGACGTGGTATTTGAAATGGAAGGGTGTCCTTAATACTAAAATACAGAAAGGGCACAAATTTAGTTAATGAATATTGAATTTGATCCAAATGATGCTTTAGTTCATCTTACCTGGGAGTAGGTATATCTAACATGACCTCATCTACTATTGAAGAGTTTTCTCCTTTTATTTTCTTGACACTTTTCTTTTGCTGCTTTTTCATCTTTGATGAAATGAATTCTTGCTAAAACAAAAAATTTAGAATAAAAATTAATAAATTAATGAAGATCTTAAAAAGTAATGAAAAGTCATTACTTACAGCAACAAATTTCTGCTCTAAATACGATCCCCAGCCAACCAGATACTGTCCAATTGTTATAATTATAAACAATATGGCAGACATTTCTCCAAGACCCATTTTGCGGACACGGCGAAAGTAATACACCGCTGAACGCCAATCAGGTAGGCCATTGACCAAAATATCATCATACATTTTTCTCTTTGCCGCATCTTTGATGACATCATACACACCAACCAGCTGCAAACCAGAATAATGATGACTAATCTGAATATTCATGGGAAAACATGCAAAAGTTTAGTTCTAGTTGTTCTACTTGCCTGACGGAATTTAACGTCTGCATCTGCAGCAGGATTTTTATCAGGATGCAAAACTAACGAAAGTTTGCGGAAAGCTTTTCTAATTTCAGTTGCACCAGCATCCTGCGTAGTACATGATATAGGGTTACGTTGAGGACAACACAGCAATGGAGTAAAGAAAAAGGCATGGGAGGCAGATTCAAACCTTCGGTATTTCAAGAAGCTCATAAAAATTTTTGTTGACTTCTTCCACTAAATCAAACAGCTCATACTCATCATTACTCCAAGCACTAACAAATCCACACGAAAGTGCTAGCAAAATACTAAACACAACTAATACGCGCATTTTGAAGACCTGAAAAGATATTTCCTAAACAATTTCTTTAAAAAAACAACAAATAAGTTAAATAAAACATGGGACAGAAATTTAGCAGATTTTGATTTTGAGAAGCGACTACGTGTAACAGCACAGCAGACAGTTCGATTATTTCCCCTCGACCTGTGTATAAACCGGGGAAGTGCGCGGAGGAGAGGGGAGTGGAGGGCGCCGAAGCCTCAAACCTTCAATTTTCATTCAACGATGTCTGGACTATCTCTTAATGTAATTTGGTTTATCAACCATTTTTAATTTACGTATCATATGCACAGCGAGTGTCTCGAAATGCTCTCCCGCTGCCCTCTTATCTTCTGGTCTCCGTTTGATGTGCCACTCAGCGGCTCTGTTTGCCAACGGTTTAGTACAGTGTTATGCTGTAACCATAACCTCATGTCTTTACGAAAAGGGACTGAAAACGACTCGTTATCAGAGTGACATCCAATATGCCCATGGAAATTTAGATGACAGTTGTTTTTTAGTCCGTCCCTACTCAATATTTTTTGTGAGCACTTGATCGGGTACCCGTTCAGGAGATGCCTGACAGCTATGCTCTTTGGTGTTTATGTATATTGGGCCTCCTCAAGGAATTCCGCCCATCTGAATCTTTTCTTACACAGTATCTTGTTAGCCCATGGCAAAATTACACGAAGGAAGAGGTAATTTTTTCCCATATTATTTGTTATTCTTATATTTAAATTTTTTAAAAAAATTATATTTATTTTTGTGTTGTACAGGTCAATCAAGAGATTTATCCTGTTGGCACCTATTCAACATTGATTCTTTTGATAATTGTATTTCTGATCACTGACCTCCTACGTTACAAACCTGTGATTATCGTTCATAGTCTTGCTGGTGCAATATGTTACTGTCTTATTATCTTCGGCCCTTCTAAGACTTATGTTCAGGTACTCTGGCAATATTTCTTGACATAGAAATTTCCTTTGCATCTGACTATGTTTAGTATATGGAGTGCACTTTTTCCAGGGTGCGGAAGTATTTTATGGATTATTTATGGCATCAGAAATTGCATATTCTACCTACATGTATGCCTCATGTCAAAAAGAAGCATACCAAAAAGTTACCAGCTACACTCGAATAGCTCTTCAGGCTGGTCGTCTTTTATCTGGCTGTCTAAGCCAGCTTTTGATCAGTTGTGACATTTTAAATTTTCATGAACTCAATTACTTATCTCTTGCAGGTTTGGCCGTCATAATTACTTTGGTTAAAATTTTGTGAGTTCTGGAGCTCTTAGCTAAAACCTTCTGCTGTTGTTTTTTGTAGGATTATTGTCTTCTGCTGTTTTTGGATGTTTGTTACCATCAGTGAGGAAAAGTGTTTACTTCCATCGAGTTACGCTGGAAAAGGAAAGGGATCCAACCAGTCATGCTCAATTTAATTGTGAAGATGCAGCCCTCTCAGCAGGTGAGGGTGAAGAGAATTTTGAAGGTATCAAACCTAGTCCACCAGAGGAAAGTATTAGGGATAACGACATGCAATGTGTTGAGCTTGAACAGCTGTCAGGTTTCAACCGAATCTGGGATGATTTTGTTCATGCTTTTTCAAATATGTATATTGTCAAGTGGTCTATCTGGTGGGCCCTTACGCAATGTGGATATCTGCAGGTAACAGGAGATTGCTCAGTAAGTTTATCTTTGATACTCTGGTGCCAACAAAGTATCCTTAAAATCCTAACATTACCCAGGTTACTTCTTACATGCAAAATTTGTGGCAAGATACTGCTGATGTAAGCAATGGGCAATTGTATAATGGAGCTGCAAGTGCAACATACACTATTCTTGGTGAGACATGAGAAGTTTTGCTTTTGTTAACACCTTAATGACTGCCACTTATAAATTTTATCACTGGTGACTTTTACCTTTTCACTCTTTGCAGGCATTCTCTCTTCTTGGGTGGTTAGTCAGTTAGAGTATGAGTTTGATGAGAGAAAAACCCATTGGCTGCTTTGTATTTGTGCTTCACTTTCGGGTGCACTGATCATTTTTTCATCATTGTCCTTCTCTCTTCTCTTCCAATACACTGCTTATGGGGCGTTTAAAATATTGTTCCAAGTGATGATGATTTTTGCAAAGTATGACTGCACATTCATCTCAAGGAGAAATCAACTTTCACCCTTGAGATATTTCAACTTTAATGGTGTACAATATATAGTGTTTAGTGAAAATTAATGTTCTGCATTTCCATTTCATTTTTAGCACAGAGGTTGCAACGTCTTTATCAAGAGACTCCCATGGCCTAGTCTTTGGATTCAACACATTTGTTGCTTTAGTTCTCCAGACAGTTTTAACAGTAATTGTTACTGGCAAAGGGGGACTTCAACTGTCTACTCGGACTCAGGTGGGTGCTTTTCTGTTACAATATTATTTCTATTGCTTTTAAACAATCTTGCTGAGATATTTTTTTTCCTTTTTTCAGTTCTTTGTTTATGGAAGTTATTACATTCTCATAGGTTGTGGCTTCCTTGTGATGGCTTTATTAACAAGTTTGAAGAAGCACCTTCATTCCCGTGAACAGCAAAAGTGTGACGCAACTAAAGCTGAAGAGGCATGAAAAGTCTTCTTGGTTTTTTGTTGTTGTTGTTTACCTCATTTTGTAGGGAGAGGGTGATTTCTTTTTCTTTCATGCTTTGAAACTATTGCTTGCCATTTTGGCTGAGGTGCACCTCGGTGTTTTGTGCTAAAAGTAAGGCTGATATTTCTTGTGTGGGATGAAATTCTAGTCATAGGCAAACGCTGGATTAGCTAAGACATAATATCTTTCACCACCTGTAAACTACATACATATTTTTTTAAATATATTTTTGTATTTGTGACTGATTGGTAGATAGTGAGTAGTACAGTAACCACTTTGCCAGAGGGAAGTCCGGAAACATCCAATTTAATTCAAATTTTGAGGTTGATGTTTGGTCCATGTCTTACCAGTGTCTGAGTTATTTGCCGGTTCTCGGTAGTTCGTTTCGACCGGCTATAGTCTCTCGCCGGCGACGACATTCATTGCCACAACGTCAATAAAGCAAAAACTATTTCAAGTTAATTTTTGTTTCAATAATTGTACAACCTTTACCCAACATTGCCAATGTGGATTACTAGTTGTAAAAAGTGCATGCTAAAATTTTGTTCTGTAACTGGTATGAATTGAATAAGATGAAGAAGATACAGGTGACAGGGTAGAGAGAAATATTCATGAAAGGCCAATAATTTATTTCATCAAAACGTTCCCATCAAGCCACATAGCTTTCTTTGACTACCATTTAGCTTCAGGATAAGTAATAAAAACAAAATATACAGAAAAATCTCTTTGAAGACTTATGTACATAGGTGGAAAAAGGATTCCAAAATAACTGACAAGCATGAAACAAATTGGAACATTAAGTTTGCATCATACAGTAACACAAATCAATCAGATATTTGTCAAAAATTGATTTGATACCCTCTTTCTTCAAGACACACACATTCACAATTGTCAGTGATTCATCTCAAGCACATGCCAGTTGCACAGGCAAATATAGTCAAACACTCATCCCTAAAAAAAATTTAAAAAAAATTATAAAACTTCTTTGGTAAAACAATTTTACCAGTTCAATACATTCAAGTAAAATGAAACAGCTATTCTTCCCAGCCATGCCTCTAATATTTCTGGAAGAATAATGCCAGAGACAGTCTAGACAAAATTATATGTCCAAATTTGGAAAGACATGCAGTATTTACACGCTTATACACCATATTCAAAAGTGTTAAAGGGCTGCACAAAATTATTACCCATGGCCTCATTTTTAGGCTTCAAAAATAGAAATTAAGTGCGGTCTACAACTGGGTAAACACAATAATTTGATCAAAAAAATCTGGTGCTTATGGGAAGGGGTATCCAGTTGGTTGGGGAAGAATATTACATCCTACTTTCTATTATGCATTTTGATCCATAAACACACTTGTGTAAAGAAAATTAGTTGTTGATTCTGATTCAAATAACGATTCATTAAATAGCATGACAATATCTACAAGTTATTATTAATTTAAGCTGGATACCTATAATTACTTAAGTAACTGAAGCTGACAGCCTTGAAAGCCAGCTAATCACCTCACAAATATGAGTAAAACCACAATCACCCAGCTCTGGTCAATAATCTCAACTAATCACAGATTTCATGGTAGTATTTTTATAATAAATACCCCTGATAGAATCAAATCATGCTGAAGAAAAGGGTTCTGATTCAAAGATCTTATCATTACAGTAATAACATACACTACAAATGTGACAAGCAAATACAGTTAGTCCTCAATGTTCTATGACAAATTTGTGACTAGACAGAAAAATCTTTTCTTAAACAAAGAGATCTTTAGCAACTGAACAGACAATGATTGCAGATTTGAAGCATAGGTTCATTTACTGATCTGCTTCAACAATCATACACTATGTTTGCCCCCTACACATGAAATGTAGAAACAAATAAAAAATAGTAACTTGAGCATTTCACAACAAATGATTTCTTGCAAACTGGTACATCCAACCAGGAGAGCATTTTTAAGTTCAGCCCGGTGTCAACAAAATTAAAAGAATTTAAATTTTGGAACAGTTGCAGTACTACTGAAACCCCTACATGTGTAAGGTCTTCTAATCACAGCATGTAGACTAGATAATCTTGTCATATGTTGAACATCTTTAATTTTTCCCTTCACATTTTTAGTCATGACTGGACGATTATTTTTTGTCCAGGCTTCTGTTCACAATAATATTACTTTTCACTTGATGCAATCATTAACAACAGAAAATGTAAGAATTAACTCAGACTACAGGTATGAGAGGGGTGAGAAAGTTTTGGTTTGCTTCACAAACATTTTCTTTTCTATCAGGAATAAGCAGGTCCAGAGAAAGATAGAGATGCCTACACCTGCTACAGGTGATCCTGTAAAAGTAAACAAACTCTTGCATACATCATGCAAGCCACACACATACATACTCAAGTAAATTAGAAACAATATTGGACAGTGACTAGAAACTGACTGAGAAAAAAACATGGCATAAAAGATACTTAAAATTATTACGATGACTATATTATGGATACGTCACACAAAAGGAACATCCCCTGTGATGATAACAAGCTAGAGATCGTAAGTTAAGCAATGTCCCTTGTTTCTGCTCAATATGCTTGAAGGAACCCAGTTAGAAAAAAACAAAACATTTTTGAGGCAAAGGGAATCAATGATGAATTGAAGAACCAATTGAAATTATAAGTGGGAGATATTTCTATGCCAGAATTAGATGTGTTGAAGGTTCAGAGCAGTCCATTTAAGCATCCATAACAACATTTTAGAAACTATTCTCATATCTGCCACAATATGAGGGAAGATGAAAAACTTTTCTACAACAAGGTTATGTTGTTGTGTGATAGTTCATTATACCAAATGCAAGATTCAATTTCACTTTACAGCATCAAATATCCTTGAGCTTTTCTACCTATGCTACTGAGGCAAATGAACCATATGACGTACTTGAATTACTTACAGATAGGACAAATATGATTCAGCACTGAAAATTCTTTGTGCAAAAAATAAAATTATATCATATAATGGCACAATAAAGCTGAAACTGATAGATCCCCATAACAGCCATAGGACCTTTCTGTGCAAGATATGAAAAACTATGAGGACAAGTGGAATTGAGCAGAAAACCAAGGAATGTATGGCACGAACAAAGGCCTTACACATCAGAAAAAGAAGTTGGTGGACCTCTTTTTCTCTCTTTCTCTTTCTCTCTCTTTCTATAGAAACAACTAGCTTCGATCTATTATTCATTACAGCTAAATGGGTCTTGGAGTCCATTGACAATATTAATAGTGACTTGGTAAAAACAAAAGGACAACTACAATAATAGTTGGAGTATTATAGAATTATTTGAAGAATTGAGGAAGGAATTGAATTCCCTGCCACAGTTGGCCATGAGTCTCCTGGACATTTGGTGAAGTCAGACATTCAGTCTGCCAATACCATAAAATACAATCAGTACATCAAAGTGCAACATTTAAAAAAAAAACAAGATTCCTTCCAACACTTCAATTAACATCCCCGTAAAACAATAGTATTTTGTGTGAACTGCTTACATGCATGCGATAAATTTCAGAATTTAGTAGCATACTATAAGTAGGGGCTAAAACAAAAACAAACATAAAGAAATAAAAAAAATTATTGAATTGATTGATCAATATCGCAGGTATAAAAAGTCTGACTTAGCATACAAAAATAATTATAAACAACATAAATCATCACATAATTCATTCAATATTCAAGTCAGTATATTACATCTGTCATGGACTGTCATACCTATTCTTCAATCACTATGATTTGTCAAACTCAATCATTCAAGCCATATGACATACTCCAATCTAACACACCCCTTAAAATGTGATTCCAAAATCTGTATAAACCAATGCATCCAAAAATTAAAGAAAACCCACCAGACTAACTGTTTGGTTTGAATTTTAAGAAAAGGTTGCTTAAAGAAAGACAGAGGTGACATGTAGGCAATAGAGATGTTTACAACAACTTAGCATCACTTATTATGCAACACTCAATTATACAATTCATAAAATCACATGTTCAACATTGAGAGCATAATGACAACTTTAATAACAGTTTGAATGCAAAGTGTCAAAATGATTTTCAAACTGAGAAATGACCCACATTTTCTACATGAATCGAGTGTGCACAGTTTCATAGTGTTTAGCTAAAACAAAATACACAGCACACTTTTAAAAAAAGGAAAAGAAAGATGGGTTGCCTAGTCAGATCAAAACACTACCACATAGGAAAAATCCTACAATTTATTTTAATATGCTATTGCTCATTAATTAGCAAAGTGAAAACACTATTTGCTTTATTATAACACTTCTTTCAGAAGTTAGACATAATATCACTTTAATGAAATAGATATATAGTCAAAGGGAGTTAGTAAAATCTTCAAAATGGAAGCTTGAGAAAACAACATAAACCAAGGGGGAGAGGAAAACCACACCAGCAATCCGGCCTCCGGCTTCCTTTCACTTTTTCATGAACTTTAGGTTTTTAAACCACTTTAAATAGGGGTAGATTGATGACTTCTTGTCTTACATGCTTCACATTTTTTCCATTCTTGTTTAGCACCAAACTATAATTAAAATGTTTAAAGCTAATAACCTTAGAAATATTAAGTACTGTGCTCATGTTCTTTGGTTTGGTTTGGTTTTCAAAGTGTCTCCCACTGGAGTCATATTCACGAATCAAATGTTGCACCATCATTTATCACAGGATGGAAACGACGACACCTTAAATGCAAATTAAAAAATGTCAGCATTCATGTGAATACAATAAACTGAAAACAAGCACCAGTGGTACCAGAGGGTGAACTCACCTAGCATTATTTTCTGATGGTTTGTTTGGCAAATCACTGAGAGGAGGAGGATATGGCTGTGGGGTTCCACTTGGAGGGACATTGTCACCAGAAGAATCAGAAGAGTCTGAAGAATAGTGATCGCCCGGAAATGGACCCAGAAGGTTACTTGGAATTCCATGTAAATCACGACTACCGGTGTTTCCCGGTGCACCAGGGGGAGCACTAACCCTGGGGACACAAACAGTCAATCTCAGCATGACAAAAGAAAAGCTGCTGACATGCAGAAATATAAGTTTTACAGATGGTTCAAACTGGAAAGGGAGATAGGTTAAGGAAACAAACAGAAACTCAGTATTTTATAAACCATAACAGAATCTACACAACACATTTATTTTCATACATTGTCATTTAAAAATTCGAGGAGAGCACAGGATTCTGTCGTAGTGACTCCAGATGCTTTGAAAAGTCAGTTTGGACAAATCAGGACTCAGGAATTCACATTTCAACTTATTTTTCTTAATAAAGATAAATTGTTATTATTATAAGGTAACATGTTGACACTAAGGAGGAAATTATGCAGAAATGGTTCTCAAGTTCACAAGTTGATAGGTATAAATTAAGGCAGAATGAACTTCTGCTAGTCACACCATGCATCTAATTTTTCAAATATGAAGTTTCTTCACCATACTTGTTTTAATGAGAACAAAACACCTCCAATGTACACCTATAAAGAATTATTTATGGCCTCAGATCAAAACCACAGCAAATTTGACAGGTTTTCTAAAGAATGATGAGTCTACCGTAGCCGTAGCCTGCCTACATCAAACCATAACTATGGCTGAAGAAACTAAAAAGAAAATAATATAGATAAAAAAACTTGATGACAAAGCAAAGTACCTCTGCCTATCTTGATTAGTCAAACACCGAAAGCTAGAAAGCTTCATCACTGTCAGAATAGGGAGGGTGAAAAGCTTTATGTTTACAGAAAGTGAAAAGTAACCAAAACGCACAAAACTCTAAGACTCACAAATGTGGATGAAAAACTTGCAAGGTGGAAAAGTTGGAGTGGGGGACCAGGACTCAAATCCAGCGCTACTCAAAATACAGCAGCCCTAGAAACAATGCCCACGAGTGGCATATGGTTTGGTAAGCTGGAAACCTTAAATTCTATGATAACTAGCTAGAAGCACTCAACACGAATTTTGTGAGTGGAGCAGGTGCCCATTGCCCACCATAGAAATATTATTTCTTTCTATACCAAACAATGTATGTTTCAATATGCTCCAAGAAGGAGGTTAAAAAAGACATGATAAGGTGTCTGACGCAGGTTTTATAAAAGCAGAACGCACCAAGCAGGTGGCCAATTTCAGATAAGTGCAGCATCCACTAATTGATGAGGAGAGCCTGCATTAGAACAAGCTTGGGTACATTAATCTTTAAAGGTTTAACCAGGTTTTAACAGCAATGCTCAAGTCTCTATTTGAAACATTTTGGAAGGAATTTCTAATAAAGAAAGAATAACAAACTGATAAACTACATATAATCAGTCAGACTAATCAAGCTACAGCAAACTGGATAAAGAATCTGGCATTGTTTCTTCTCCAAGAAGAATGGTGGAAAATAATAGAAAGGAAGCTTCCTACAAATTTTTTCAAATATCTTCACTCTTAAATTTTAAAAAATGGCAAATTAAAACAATGAGGATTGTGGATAACATACCTCTGCCTTTGCTGCTGAGTTGTTTGAGAGGGAGTCTGAACTGATGAACCCACCACTTCAGACACAGGTCGTTGACGATGTCGTTGAGGTCGATGGAACCGCAAATTGAGTTGTGACTGATCAGTCACATACTTTTCGGCTCTTTCACGTCTTTTACGAAGGCCAGGTGTGCAACCGGTTAGGGCTTGCTCATCTTCAGCCGATGAATTGTTATTTGAAGATCTTGCATCAGGAACGGTTTGACAACGTCTCAAAGGTACAGACATGGAGGAAGGTGATGTCTCAAGAAGTTGCTCTGATTCATTGGGTGCATCATCTGCACCCACCGGTCCAATTATAAGTTGACTCAAACGGCGAGTCAAGCGATCTTCATCAGTACACCTGCGATGAGATTTGCCAAGTGGGGTTAGGGATTTGCCGAAGTGGTTACATCTATGTTAAATAGGTTAAAAGCATTCTAGTAAGAAGCTGCAACATTAAGTTAAGAAACTGGCACCAATAGAGGCCCACTGAAAGCAGACATAATATACAGACTACCACTCATTGTATTGAGCAAAACTGTTAGAACTGATCTGCAATTCACCCTTCAAATCCCTCCGTAGTAGATATGTTTGTAAGCAACTCATAAAAAATTATTATTTTAAAGTTACTATTATTCAGGCTACTTTGGTTCTATTTAGATATACTTTCAAATATAGAAGAGGAAAGGACAGATTGCAGAAAGTTAGTCTATGAATTAGAGTGAAACAAAAAATTAAAAATGCAAACTTACCAGCTATGTTCACTCAGCACAAGTGAAGCACGAGGGCTTCTTGTGACAGGGACAGGAATCTTGCTTCCTTTGACTGCAGCGGCAACACTGCTGCTACTGCTGGCACTTCCACCGCCAGTGACACTTGAGTGACTGGAATGTCGCCTTACAACACGGCCTGGAGGTAGTTGTTGCCCATCCATAAACATTGCTGGTGGACAAGTTTCCACGACTGGTGGCAGATTTTGGGTGGCTCTCCTTAATACTGGGGCAGAAGAGCCAGTAGTTCCACTGTCGCTTGAACTTGCCTGCACAGAAACCATTGCTTTCACAGTTAATTACAGTGACAGTCACAAAAAAAAAACACCCAAAAAACAATAAAATCACACCTGATTTGCTGTCTCTGAAGACCCTCGGACATTATTGACAACATGAGCAGAGAGAGGACGAGGTTTGGCATCCCCACACACCTGGTCTTCAGGAGCATCAAAGTAAACTGATGGGTCATCAAGTCCAGCCCCAGGACTGACAGGGCTGCTACCTCCATTGGCGAGACCTCTGACAACTGAAACAGCAACCAAACAATATTTAAAAAAAACATTGACACCCATGTCTAGTTATAAGACAAATGGGAGAGGGAGAAAACAAGAAAATGGGTGATGAAACAAAAACTTGGCCTTAAATGTGCTGCACTCACCCCTTACTCCTTCAGGCAAGGGAGGCTGAGACCTGGTTACATGGGGGTTTGCAGCATGCTGGGTTGGCGCTGATGCTGGTCTTAAGCCCAAATTGGGACTAGCACTGCTGGCGCGAGAAGGTATTGGTCCCGTTGCAATTCCACCATTTACTAACTGATCACTGGCACTTGAAGGCCGATCACTGGCGCCTCTATCAACAACACGAATCTCTAATCGGCCCGCAACAGGCTCAAGTCTTTTCTCAACCTCGTCATCATCTTCGTCTTCATCTTCTTCTTCTTCCTCCTCTTCCCCAGCATTTTCTTCAGCATCATGACTGAGTGGTTTCTCTGTCTTTATCTGCAGTAATTCGTTGATAGTTTGTTAATTATAACTTGAAGCATTTGAAGCCTTCTGTTAACGGTAATGAATACTTACTAAAGGATGAGACTGGGGTGGAGAGGACTTCCCTTGTGCCATATTATTGTTACCACTGCTACTGTGAGGAATTACTGATAGTGATGTATCAGGAACTTGTTCAGATGGTGGCTTAGCAGCAGGTTCGCTCTGATCAGGAGAGCTTAGTGGAAGTATCTGAGAAAAGAAGAGAAGTATAGAAGTGAGACAATCTCAAACAGAACTGCCCCAATTCTTCCATCCCATCACAAAAGTCACTTCATTGAACTCCTGCATGGTCAGAAAATATGAGAGAAGATAGCTCACAGGTATTAACTGATGCAACACAAAAGGAATCTTATCTTTCACTGATGAACTGTTATAGTATTATAGCCTTATTAATAACAAAAAGGGGTGATCTATTTTAATTATGGCTTATTAATCTACATCATAAACAGAAAATGACACACACACACACAGACAGAAACACAAACCAACTAGAGTCCTTAAGCTTACAGACTCCAACACCAACCAGCTCTATACATAGGACCACACAACACACATGAGAGTATAGTCACATAAACTATAGGGGCAGAATGAGTTTGTTAAGCTGGAAACACTCCAAACTTTGTTGTGAGACATCCTTGGGCAGAACAGGAAAAGTCTACTGCTATGGTGCCTATGGCTTCGTCTACAAATTTTGAACCTACAGGTAGGCTTGGTCTGCGAAAAGCTTCTTTTTCTTGTGCTTCTTTCTCATCCTGAGTATGGCGAGTAGCCATATTACGCATTATGTCTACTTCATACACAAGTTCATCAAATGCAGCCTGTTGTAGCAGTGGTGGTTCCAAACCAGGCCTGAAATAAAAGGTAAGAAGTTAGGCAGTTGACCTATGAAATTAGAAGATAAAGGAAGAGATTGTTTTGATTTCATATGAATTTTAATGCATACCTGATAACCTCAGTTAGCTGAGGTAGACTCCAGGCCCGAGGAAGAGCACCCTGCAGTTCTTTGAAATTCTCTATGCCTGCAATGTTAAGGCAACGAGGAGATCCTGCACGAGCAGAGTGCGGTGCAGTGTTTACCACCCCCTGAGGTTTTGACAAATTTTCAGTGTTGTTTGTTGTTACAGTTGCAAGATGAGTTTCCTGCTAAGGATGACAGGCAGTCAGTAATGATAAAATACAGCGTGTGAAATGTGATTTTCACATAACCGGGTATTTTACCTTGACAAATTTAAGTATGTTATCATAATGAAAAAAGTGAATTTACAGTTACTTTTTAATTGACTTATACAAAAATGGATTTTAAAAAATGAAACAAACAAAAAAACAATACCCATCGATTTTAATTTGAAACAATCAAAGGTGTTACTAAAAACTTAAGTACAAAACAGACCACGAAAGAGAGTAGAAACAGAAACACACAAAAAAACTCAAGAAGCTTCCAGGAGAAAGGGAACAAAGAGAAGAAAAGGAAGCCACAGCAGGAATAAAGCAAGTCAAAAAAAGATTTTCTCATCTTTATGGTATCTTAACATTCTGCAAATATTTACCTATCCTAAAAGACATAGTAGTATTTTCCAATGTATCTGGAGGAAAGTATCCACAGCACAGTTCTTTGCTAACAGTCTCTAGAGCCATTTTAGGGTACCATAATTACAATCAGTACACATTTGTTAACATCTAACTATCAATTTAAATGAGGAGAGGAATTGGGGAAAATCTTGATAACATTCAAAACTAAAACCACAGCATACATAAGCATTGGGGGGCAAAGCAATGAAGCAAACTGCAGCACAATGTATTGAAGGGAAAAAACGTGGAGATAAAAATGCAGCAGCATCCATGTATCTGGCCCACTCTTCTGCAGGTGTCAAAAGACAGAAACACTAAAAGTGAATCTTTTAACACATACACTATATGTGCAATGCTTAAAGCATGGACTGGAGACAACACAGGCATTGGTAAAAAAATCCTTGGAAAAAAAAAACGTTCAGAAAAAAATTATGGCCAATTCCAACAACATGAGGCTGTATAAAACTTTACAAAGCTTTTGTACAGAGGCAAGAAATAAGCAGACATCTTAGCAAAGAAATATTAAAGAAACTAAACTAAAAATAATGGTCAAACAATTAAATCAGTCTTCAAAATTCTACATAACAGTCTATGATATATGAAGCGAACAACTAATTAACAAAGGATAAGAAATGACATAACAACTAATTTGACTAAATTTCAAATTTAAAAAGAAATCACGTTTCATTTAAAGATACTAGCTTGTTTTTCTTTTCTTTCCTTCAAGAAGCTCGGCATGATTGCAGCAAGGGTACAAAGCGAGGCTGTGGTCCAGCAGGCACAGGAGGTGCAGGAATAAGTAAATTTAAAGTAGTTGGAGGGTCCTCTACCTGAGGGGAAAGAAGATGGCTTTGCTTTGAGTCCTCACTGATACGACTCAATTGCTGTGCAGTGGTTGTTTTCCCAGGTGGAGGCGAGATAGTAGTTTGATTGGCAATAACCTGGGATGTATTGTTTGGCACCGCAGGAGGTTTTGATGATTCACTCATTGCCAATGACACTGCTCCATCAACTGGGAAAGCAGCCTTTAAACAGAAATCATGAATGAGCAATATGTGCATGGCTCATTGATTTACATGAGTCTGCAGTAGCTCTGACAAACCTGAGAAGATGTGTTCTGGCGGTGTTCTGGACTCTGTAGGTTCTCCCCTCTCCACTCATTATCAGTCTCTTCAGAATCATCAAACTGAGATTTCCATTGAGATGCTAAAGTAAGGCCTGGATCAAGTAATTAAATTTGTTAGTTTTAACACATATTAAACCACACCAAAAATTTATCAAAAATACAAACCTCCACCACCTCTGGTGACTTGTTGGAGCGCAGACACGTTGTCATCATCAATTACAGCAAATTGAGTAAATGATGCATCTCTGTTGTTGAATTTGCAGCTAACAGGCCTACTAGCAGATACAGCCCGCCGCTGCCTGTGTTCTCTGGATGCTGATCTTTCTCGCAGAGGTTCCCGCTGATCAGTGACTGGAGAGCCACCAGCTCCCCCTCCAGCAGATGATTCTATAACCAAATTAAATTATAAATATCAAAGAAACCACCTAAAATTAAGACTGAATGTAAAGAAACTTACCCGGTTTGGTATCATAAGAATAATCAGCCTCAGTGGTGGTTTCTCTGACACGCGGGCTTGGCAATTCTACATCGGCAGGAGTACTTGCACCTGGAGTGCTAGTCCCAGGGGTGTGTGCCGGCCCACTTGCAGTTTCCCCATCAGCAGCCACACTTCCATTGCTAGCAGCTTTTTGATTACCAAGATCTTGTACACAAGTAGCAGGAGCTGTAACTACTCTTAGCCGTCCAAATGTAGCACCTGCTGCAATCAGAGAGCATTAATTAAATCACACCAAACATCCTGAGAAAATTATACGGCTTAAAAAATAGAAATGTACAAGCTATGTTAAGCTTACCTGATTTACGTGCTTGATTTTGATTGGCACCTGCTACCTTTCGAGCTCGGTCAGATTGTGATCGGGCTGATGCCATAACTGCATCTCCTTCACAATCAATTCCTTTCTCAGTGTGGTTTGGAGTAGCACTAGGTAAACCAGAATAAAGTGCTTCGAGGCTATCCAATCCAGATGTTCTGTGCTGTTGTGATTCAACACCGACCATAGAAACTGCCCTTCTTTGAGGATATTGCTTCTTGGGGGAACCTAAAATGGAATGGGAAGTGCAGGAGATTCTTTCAGATGTAAGTGGTATTTAAGTACATGGTATATTTTGGAACCAAATCAATTTACCTTGCTGTTGAGCTTGAGAACTATTAAGGTCTGAGGGCTGAGTTGCATTGCAGTTTTTATCTATGACCATATTATCACGGTTTGTTTCTGCACTAAGAGGTGGAGTGGTAGTCTCCTGTTGAGAGGGATGAAGTCGAAGCCACCTTCTAAAGTTAGCAGCTGAATCTAGTTGCGCCTACAAAAAAAATATAGGGTTTTTATGACATAACAGAAACAGTAAAAGCTAAACAAGCCTCAGAAAAATTAGATGCAATCTTCCTCACCTCCAACTCTTTTTTGTTATCTGGCTCAATGTTTTCTTGATTGTTATTAGTACCATGATGGCCAACATGAGCACCTGGTGCAGTGCGGCTAATGATTGCAGGGGAAGTGGAGGTATTTGTGGGAGGAAGGGCATTGTCTACAGAATTTCCAGCCTTTTCCCAATCATATGGATCATTTTCCTTCACCCCTCTTCGTTTCATGCAGCGCTCAAATAAGCCCATTAACATAGCATAGTCAGGCTTATCAGCATATTCTAGGCTCTGAAAAAAAAATGCATTCAAAGGCACAGTACAGGTAATCCCCATCCATAAAATTGCTCCCTTCTAAAAGTAAAAACACACATACCTGAACATGTTCTAAAAACTGTCTTAGGTCAGAAGGAAGGTGTTTGAGCAAAAGGCGGTGATCATATCTTTCTTTCATCAGTCCAACTTGTTCTTTGTCTTTGATTTTCCTCCATGGCAATTGACCATTCACAAATTCAACCAACATATAAAATAATGACCACAAATCATCATGACGCCCCATTTCCTACAAAATAGAAAAAGTTTGTTGATATTATGTAAAAGTTTGAATAAATATCTTACTGAAAAAGCACTCACAAAACTTACCTTATTTTTATGTGCATTGATTGAAGCATATCTAACAGTACCCCGGAAACCGGCAGCAGCTCTCGGAGCTCTAACTTCCCCAGTGGCAGTGGTATACTGACGAGCTAATCCAAAATCAAGCATATACACCCTCCGACTATTGTGAGGAAATCGACCAATGGAAAAGTTTGACTGTAAACATGGTTGAAAAATGACATTACTCACACATAGTAAACTACAAGTCATCAAAAAACTCTACACAAATGAAGATGAAAGATAAGTGAGATTGGAAATCAAATTTAAGTCAAACTTACTGGTTTAATATCTCTATGAAGGAAGCCCACTTGATGAATACTTTCAATTGCTTTAAGTATCTGAAGGCCTAGACGTAATGTAGTAGATAGTGAAAACGCTGCACGCTCCTGAGCTCTTCGTAGTTCTGCAAGATTTTTCCCTTGCAATTGCATAACAACATAATTAAATCTTTCATTACGGCCACATCCTATAAATCGGCAAATGTGTTCTTTTCCTGGTTACAAAAACATCAGAAAGAAAAATGTATAAGTATGCATAAATATCAGTAGCTTAAAGCTCAAAACTAAATAAGTTATATCACATATCACAACCTTGAAGCTTTTTAAGGACAGCTACTTCCATCTTCAGGACTTGCTTTGGCTGTCTTGAGGATTCCACTTTGAGAGCAACTTGTTCTCGTGTGGCCAGATCTAATCCTTCGTAGATTTCGCCAAAACCCCCTCCACCAATTTTTCTCACCTTCAGAAAAAGAACAGTTTTGTCAGAACAGGTGAAATGGCATATGGCCGTTGTCATCTGAACTCAAGTCAATACATACAACTCTCCATCTTTCCTTCACTACGTGTCCAGGCTGCAGGAGATCTTCATTCGTCATGGTAATGTTGTTGTTAGGATCTGTTGATTCATCCCCAATAAAATATTTCACTTCTTTGGGCTTCCTGCAAACAATGAAGAGAACACTTCAGAAGACTATTCAAAAAGTACATTTTTCTTATCAACAGTAAAGCCACTTCTTAAAAAATAAAAGAAACACCCTTCACACATTGTTAAAACGTCAAGGTTTTATCAAAAAATTTGATGCAAATATTCAAGGACCTAAAATAAAACAGGCTGAATCAGAAATAAAGGATATCAAAACTTCTGACAGAAGAGTGTTCAGTGAATAAAAAAACATAACAATGGAGTAATGGTAAATGTACTTGCTAAGGAGATGTAGAACCCTACTGTATGCCCATGCCCTACCTATCATCACAAACACACAACCACTTTTAACCAAAAAATGAACTGACAAAGCTGCTAAAGAAAATGAAGGAAACAACATAACCTTGAGAACTAACGCAATCACAGCATTCGACTTTCACTCAAAAATTTGACAATGAAATAGAGAAATTGGGTAAAATAAACACAATGAGAACGCCCCCTCCCCCAGTACCTCCGTCTCCTCACCTTCAATGCATCCTCCGGTGGTACCTACTACACAGGAAAAATCTGTCTCACTGTTCAGCAAATACAGAGACAGACATGATTTTATAAAATCAGACGCGGAGCAACTGGACATAATTTCAAGCAAGCCACTCGACCAAAACTACAGAAAAACTGACACTTTTCTTTAGGTAACTAGACACTACTGAATGTCGTCTGCTTGATGTTCCACAAATAAAACTTGCAGACACAAAGGCAGGAAATAGAGATTGCTTCTCGACAACCTACACTTTTCACACGCACACCACACCAAGTCCACGCCCAGCCTGAGGAGTTAATCCGAACAAAACGCGTCTAAAGGGAAACTACAAGGTTTTTTCTTACCCTTCTCATCGTTACGGGTCGATACGGCTGCCATTTTGGGAATGACTACTATGGTCACTGCCTGCTAGAAGCATTCGCGACAGCGCCGCCAGATGGCACCGCCAGATAGCGCTCCGAACGCAGCGCCCCAGCTGGCCAGCTGATGGGCACGAGCGCGCGAGATTCGAGTCGAGCGATTGGGGGTGTTGGGGGTGCGGGTGTTGTGTTGGGGGTGTTGGGGGTGCGGTTTGGTTTAGGCCGCGGCCTCACTCGCACCTCGCACCGCCACGCCGTCATGTCCGTCATGTCCATGTCCATGCCAAAGCAGTCACGGTACATGCCGAGGCCGGAGGGCGGCGCGTTCTATGCGTCACCAACTGGGCGTGCCACGCAAACAAAAGAAAATTCCTCTCTTCTCTCTTCTCTTCTCACGAGCCACATGGGCCGCCTAGGGGCGCCGTAGGGCGTGAGCGCACGTCACGCACACACTCTCAGCTCTCACGGTGCGAACAGTGAGCAGTGCGGGAGGCCTAAGAATAGGCGCAGCGCAGTGACCGAGTCGGCCGAAGAGGAATGACGGATATACGGGGCTCATCGGGAGAGGCATTGTATGTCACACACCCTCTCCCCTCCCCCTCCCCTAACGGCTGTCACACTCATCTGGAGCCCGCTGCTGCGGGGGCACTTGCAGTGCGCCCCCCCCCCTCCCCGATCGACTCACTGCCTGCATGCTCGACGCCGTCGCCTTCGTCTCCCAAGCAGACGGACTCTCAGCGCGGGCGCCGAGTGAAGCCCGAAGAGGTCCCCGCCGAGGAGGACCCCGTCGAGGAGGTCCGGCCGACAACCACCAGCTGATTAAACTGGGCTAAAATTACCATCGGCATTGTTCTATAAATAAATTGGGCGTGACCAAAAGCGCGCGATAAATTCAAGAGGGGAGGGAGTGGCTGTTGCGGCTGGTGCGGGCTGGTGCGGCGTGCGCCCCCCACCCTTTCTAGCCGGGGTGGGGGAATCAGCAGCAGTCACCCGTGCGACAATGTTTGATCCTCGCGGGACCGGCCGGGACCGGCCCACGTGGCTGGGGGTGCACCGCGCAGCACAGCGCAGCACCGCCCTGTCAGATGGGGCCGTGCGACAATTAGAGTGAAAATCTTTCTCGTGCCTCTGAGTCCACTTTTCGTTAATTTCCCACATCACACCCGACTGTCCCGGTGCCGGTGCCACCATGGTGCCACCATCCCAGAGCGCCGCTAAGTGGGCCAGTTTGTTCCACTCGAGCGACAGTGCGACAGCAGCCGCTCTCTGGTTGTTCTTGGAGGCGCCCCCAAGTCTCCTCCTCGGCCTGGCCCCGGGGCCCGGCTGGGCCGGCTTGGCCGGCTTGGCCCCACCTGGCACGACACGGTGCCAACCGCTGTGTGAAAAAGTGGCCAAGTGCACTACTTGTACTTCACCTGGCGGCCTGCAGGCCTGGCGCACTGCGCCACTGTACGGACCGGTACGGACGGACAGTGCGGGGTGCACGGGGTGGCCGCAGGACAGTGGCCCTGCCGGCCCTGCCCGCCTTCAGGTGGGCAGCCCAAATGGCCCAGCCCGTCTCTGGGACGCTCGCTCTGTATTTCTAATTTCCGAGAGGGGGAGGGGGGGGGAGGTCGCCGGGACGCCGAGGGACGGTGCGGCACTCAGGCGCGGTGCCAGCGGACCAGCGAGAGCGGGTGATGTCGCCCGGCGGGCCCGGCGGGCACGGCGGGCGGTGCGAAGGCGAAGGCTGAAAACAATCACTTTTAGGTCGCCTTGTGCTCAACCAGGCGACTCAAATGCTTGGCCATGCTTGGTCTTGGTCACCGGAGAATCCTACTCGGCGCGCAAGAGGCCTTCCCCAAGGCCAGCAATAAAAGTACCCCAGCGTTTGACTTTGGCGTTTCACATTTCGATTGCACCATTCGCATTACAGCATTGCGTGCGAGAGGGACAGAGCGCCGGTTCTGAAGCAGCCTGGGCGCGGGCCGTGTCGAGCGGGGGCGCAGGGCCCGCGGGGCGTAGTTGGGGCGTCCGAGGCAGTCCGAGGGTGGCGGTGCCGCCCCGCTGCGTGCAGCCTCGGCTGGACTGCGGCACGCCGTGCCTCGCCGCGGCGTAGCGTGCCGTGCCTCGCCGTGGCGAGCCGCGCACCGCGCACGCGGGGGCGTCGGACATGTGGAGTAATGGTCTCGGCGCGCGATGCGACAACACGCGACATGCTCGTCCACGCTCGCGTCGAGGCCCTCTCGGCCCACCCCCGACGCGGCACCGCTCACACGGCGAGCGTGACACGGCGAGCGTGACACGGCGAGCGTGACACGGCGAGCGTGACACGGCGAGCGTGACACGGCGAGCGTGACACGGCGGCGCCACGGCCGTCGAGCAGGGCGGAGCAGGGAAGCACCTCGGGGAACGGGGAAACACTGGTGCCGGGTTTACGTTGCACAAGCTGTTTACGCCGCGCTTCCCGCTCGCCGCCAGTGGGGCCGCCAGTGAGACCGCCAGGCCGCCAGCACGCGGTTCTCGGCGGGGGATTATTACTCTCGCTTGAATGCGATTCCCAGAGCGCGAGCGGCGCGAGCCATGAGGTGAGGGTGAGGCGCCGGGCCGGGCGGCCCCGCGCCCGAGTATGCGGCGTTTCCCGAAACGCGGTGCGCGGTGCGCGTTGCTCCCGGCGGCCATTTGTTTATCCCCGCCGCACCTCAAACGCGCCGCCCGCCCCTGCCCCGCCAGCCCCAGCTTCCGCCCGCCGCCCTGTCTCTCCCGCACTCTCGGGGCGTTCAGCTGGCGTGCGAGGGAGACAGCGACGGAGCACTGCTTCGGAATCAGCCTGCTGCCCGAGTGCTGCCCGGACGGGCAGGAGGTCCATATCATCGCGCGCTCTGTCGGCCGCGAGGCGAGGGAGGGGCCGGGTGGGGCGGTGACGGGTTCCTGTGAGCACGTGTGCCCTTCCGGCAAGCGGGGCAAGCGGGGCAAGCCGGGGGAGGGGTGGGGATGCACCGCGCACTCGCTAATAAGCACTCGGCCGCCGCGCCCCGTCTCGCCTAGTCCCGCCGTCCCGCCCAGCCCAGTCCCGACCCGGCACCCTGTTTACAAAATGCCAGCGCAATGTATCAGTCCGCCCCGACGAGCCGGGCCGGGCTCTGGGGCGGGGCGGGGCGGGGCGGGCGTTCCGAGAGGCATGTCGCGACCTTGGCCGCCCCGCCGTGACACTTCCTCCCCCCACCCCGCTCCCCTCTTTTGACGCCCCGCCGCGTCGCCGCCCCGCCGAGTCCACTGCAGCGCAGAGTCCCGCCCTGGGCCCTGCCTGGGCCCTGCCTGGGCCCTGCCTCGGCCGGCCACGCCCAAAAGGGCGAGCTCGTCGCGCCTGGACGGCCTGGACGCGCCCCTCGCCGGAGTCCTCCAAGTCCTCGCAGGGCTCGCTCCGGTCGACTTCCTGTCGGCAAGCGCGCCGAGGCCAAGGCTGGGCAGGCGGATCCCTTGTGGCGCTGAAGAGGCCCGCGTCGTCGGCCGCCGCGATCCACTAGTGTAGCGCGTCCTTGCCGCGCCCTCCCCTCGGGATTCCCTGGACTGCATCGGGGGCCGCGCCGCGTCCGCCGCGCCCGCCTTGATGACACGTACTTGCCACTTGACCCACATTCGCACAGGCCGAGGCACACATGCACACACTCACACAGTCGGGCCGGCTCACCTGCCCGCTGGCTTGCTGGCTTGTCGCAGGGCGTAAACTGGGTTAGCAAAAAATAGTTGTGCCACCTCGTCCAAAGCTAAAGCTAAACATACGCCGCGCCGTCACTGTCGCGGCCACGCTGGCGGTGCTGGCAGCGCGCGGGGTCGACGCCACGGCCTGCACGGCGTGCACCGGGACCGTCACGCCCGTCAAGTACGCCGTCTGGCAGGGCGGACAACTCCCTTTCCCTCCCGACTCTCGGACGAGCAGAGGGAGAGGGAGGGGACAGCACGCCGACGCTGGAGCGAGCGCCCGACGAGTCCGGGCTAGGCATCCCTCCTGCACTGATGCGGGCGCGTTGCCTACTCGCTGCTCGCCGGGCGCTCGGCGCCTGGAGGACTGGCCTAGGCAACCCGCTCGCATCAGTGCAGGAGGGTTGCCTACCCCGGACTCGTCGGGCGCTCCAGTGAGATGGCGCAGCGTCTCGTCTCTCTCGCACCCTGTGAGTGTGAGAGAGACAGTGTTCGGAATCGCTCTGCGGGCCTCGGTGAGATTGACGAGTGCGTTTACGACCCCCGCGTCTCTCTCCGCACCCCCCCCCCCCTCCCCTTCGGCGCGCCGCTACTGTTCGCTACTCGACGGACAAAGACTGGAGCGGCCACTCGGCGCCACGCCCTCCATACTTTGTCGCTGCGATAAAATGGGAGAAGAAACATGCCGGCTTGGCTTTGCTTTGCTGCTTTCAGGATGTGTCAGTGTCCTCCGATCAATCCCGTTCCCCTCCTCTCTTTTCTTTTCCCCACAAGTGTGTGTGTGGGCCGAGGGAGGGGGAAGGGGAGAGCGGCAGGAACTGCACCGCGGGGGGACCTTGCTCCTTGCAACCCCCTCCCCTCTGTCGTCACACTCACGCGCGAAGCAGGCACACACACACACACGCGCGCGCGCGCGCGACAGCGAATCGTTCACCGACCAAGCTAGAGCATTGACCCTTACTTATAGCCGTTCCCTCTTCCTCAAAAAAAAAATGCCACTAGAAAAATTGAAAAAAAAAACAAAAAAAAACAATAAGCTTCCGTTATTTTCAGTCTATTTTTTTTTTATTAATTAATTTACCTCCTCCCGCGGGGGTTGGCCCCGCTTGCACAAGCCGGGCGGGTTGCAACTTTATTGCACCGCCGACAGCTTGATGGGGAGGCGGCGCGGCGGCGCTCTGCCGGCCGAGCCTTCAGCTTCAGCGAGCCTTCGCCTTCCTGCCCGCTTGCCTTCCCGGTGCCCGGCGTGCCCGGCGTGCCCGGCGTGCCCGGGAATGCGGCGTTGGCGTTTTCGCGCGCTCACATACAGTGTCGTGTCCAAGGACCAACTTGTCCATTGTCACACGATTTCATTAATTTTAAAAATTTTGTATTGGCATCTCGTTTTTAAAATAAAATTTCGCGCTTATTTTCGTCGTGCCTACGGCTACGCCCCCGATGCAACGGAGTCACTGCCCTCTCGCCGTTCGGCCGGTCGGTCAGGCTGGCCCAGGGCTGGCCCGGATTTATGCCGTCTCGACTTCCACCTGCACGGCGCGGCGCGGAATCTTCCACTCGCTGCACCCTTCCCGCGCGCGAGTGTGAGGGAGACGGAGAGAGAGAGGGACAGAGAGAGAGAGAGAGGGAGAGAGGGCGTGCAGAAAGAAAACACGGCGGCGAAAGCGGGGCGGCTAGCAGCGGGACGCGCTGCTGCTGCTCCTATCCCAGGCCGTCGTGGTGGACCACGGCACGGCGGACCACGGCGGACGCGGCGCGCGAGAATCAAGTCGTCGCACGTCTTGTTCCGTAATTTGTCAGGCCGCCCCGTTCGAAAGAAAAAGAAACAAAGAAACGCGACACGCGCCCTGTCTCTTCTCTGTCTCTTCTGCTTCGTTAATTAAAGGGGGCACTTGCACGGCGGCGTCTGGCCTGCCCGCTTCGCCTCGCTCGCCGCGCGGGGATCAAAGACGCATCACGCGCGATCATCGTGGCCAAGATTTACGCACGGCTTTAATCCGCGCAAGAAAAAAAAAGTTTTTTTTGCTGCCTTAGGTTGTTTTTGCTATATCTCTAGTCTGTGCGGTTTTGTCGGTTGCAGGCCGGCGAGACCAGCTCTCTGCGGCTTGCGGTGGCCGTGGTGCGGTCCAGCCCGGTCCAGCCAGCCCCTCGGCCTCGATGTTGAAGGGGAAGAGAGAGAGACAGAGGGCGTGACCCCGCGGTCGTCCGTGAAGACGGCCAGTGTCGCCGCTCACGTCCACCTCGCGTGGTGTGCGGTCAGAACAAAGTCACTGGCGCGTTACTTTTTAACGGTTGTCGCTGCTCTCTCTCTCTCTCGCTCTCCCTGGCCGGCTGGTCCGGTCTGGTTGCGCCGCGTGCAAGTGACGCTTATCGGTGTGGGGTGGGCTGCTTAGCGGCCGCCCCGCCCCGCCCCGCACTAGGGCCCCGCGGCGTGGAACGATTCCAAGAACTAAATAAGCGAAATAAGACGAGAAAACGAGTGGGCGCCGCAGCAGCGCAGCAGCAGGCTCATTCCGAACTGTGCCCTCGTCGCTCTGCCTCTCTCGCACTCGAGGGGCGTCTCGCACCGGCGTGAGAGAGACAGAGTGGCGGGCTGGGCGCTGGGCGCCCCGTGGCAGTGACCCAGGCAGCCAAACCAACACCGCCGGGGTGACGGCTTGCCCGGGGTTCATGGGACACGCGGCGAGCGCGGCGCAACGCGATGCAATGCCTGTTGCGCAGGGAAGCACCGGGCACGCATCGGGGGCACGCCGCCGTGCGTGAGCGGGCCTCGCCGTCACCAGCCGTCAGTGCGTCCCCGTCACGAAGGGCGTCGTTGTCCGAGGGCTGCGTTGGAGGGCAAGCGCCGGACACCCGGGCCTCCGCGGCGACCAGCCTGGCAGCCCAGACCGGCAACGCGGCGAGGCGAAAACCACGCGGTGACGCATGACTTGGCCTTCCCGTCGTCGGCAGGACAATGTGTCACGTCCCCGGCGGCAAGGCGCGGCGGTGGCACGGCCAGCTTTCTTTTCCGAGACTGTTGTTGCCGGCTGCCGCTGCTTCGGCGTGTGCACCGCGACTGAGCCCCTTGGCGGCGTCCTCGCGACAAGACGGAAGACGCGGCCGAAGGCCCGGAGGGGCGACGGGCGTCTCCGCCGGTCTCCACGCCGGCAGAGCATCTCGTCGACTTACCTAGAGAGGGCGGCGTATCCACACAGACGCGGCGCGGCGCGTGCGCTAGAGGGTTGTTCGGGGTGGTTGTTGTTGTTGTTATCGGGAAGGTCGGGGTCTGGCATGCACCGGGGCTACTTGCTACTAACCACTTCATCCCGGGGCGAGCCGGAGCGGGGCGTGGGGCGTGCCGAGGGGGGACGTCGGGGGCGTCAAGGTGTGCCGAGGTACTACCGGCTCGCCGTACCGGCCGTGCTGCCGGTCGGCGTACTCGAGGCTGCGTGCGCGTGCGCGTGCCGCGTGCTGCGTGCGACCCGTTCGCCGGCTGAGGCAAGGCTACGGGCTGCGGGCTGCGCGATGCGCGTGCTGGCCGGCCACTACACTGCCCCAAGCCCAGGCCGGCCCTCCGCGTGCCCCAGCGTGCCCCACCCAACAACCACTAAACTTCACCGCCACCGCAGCACACCGCAGCCGTTGCCGTCAACGCGCAACGCGGCCACAAGCTGCGGCGGGGTCGGGGTCGGGGCTGGTGGGGTCCACGTCGAGGTGGTGCTGCGGCTGCGGAGGCGGGTGCAGCGGTCGTCTGCCCCCCGTCTGCCTCCGCCGGCCAGCCCGGCCAGCCCGGCCAGCGCAAGGTGCACGGCCACGACGGCGTCGCCGGCCTCCAACTCCACCTCCCACTTTCCTTAGGTGCATACGGGGCTCGGTAAGGGGTGAAGGGCGGAATGAGACAGACCGTTTACATGACAGAGATGATACTTTAATTTCAAATCAGCCAACCATCGCACAAAAATCGAAGGCCGAGGCTTGCTCGGACTTACTGGTCTGCGGACAAATCAACAAAGGTATGTTGGAAAGGTAATACATTTTTGTTTTTATACAAAAAAGGGGGAGAGAACATCACCAAATACTATTTGTACAATCTCCACACACTGTGCTAGAAAATGAAAGGAATATAAAAGCAAAGACTCGGAATGTCATTAATTTTGGCGTAAAAGAACGGATCAGTCTTCCAACATATAGAAGGAAATGTACTGTTCAGATATCACTTCACAGTATAGTTTGAGACTAACATAGATACAATGGCATCAGGGAAACAAATATATGAATATGGCGATGGATCAAATATTTTTCCAAAAGAATACAAGATTTCATTATTGATGACTTGGTGTCATGACAAGTCACTAATATCACTGTAAAAGATCTAGGAATGAAGTCAAAAATGCCTGATATCAAAACATGGATGTTTGTTACAATTCCCAAAATAAGTGTTCCACAGACAAGCAGCTACGTGGAATCAAACTGTATAAGGCTAAGGTAAAATCAAAGCAATAGAAACAGCAGTTAATACTCCACGACACATGCTTTTACCAAAAAATTGATATAAGTGTCATTTTCTGGCATGAAATACATTTAAGTGCGGCAATACGATGGAATTTACTGCCTTAAGGTGACTAAAAGAATATATTACTTTTTGTTTGTTCATTGCTCCATTTCATCTACAAACATGTACATATGTATCTAAATATCAAAAGAAACATACATCCTACTAACATAAAATCAATAAATAGCATGAAACATTTGGAAACAAGTTTGTGATGCATACCACTAAAAATGTTAAGAGAGAAATTGAACTAAGTCACTGAGATAAAATAGAAAAATGGAGTGGAAAGCAAGAAAATTGTACAAAACCTTTCCCTCATTTACTGATCTAGAGACATCTCCACTATGTAAAAAACAGTTTCCCCACAAAAAAATACTAAAAAGAATGCTTTCCATTTCACATCTTCAAAGAATTCAGCAACAACATAGTATGTGCAGAAAGAAGATCTTGTTCTTTCCTTCTTCTATTTCAACAAAAATTGTTCCTTCATGAAGGTCACAGCTTGTGTCAATGACTCAAATATTCACTGAGTGGCAGTTGCTAGTGCACAACATAGGTTTGTGAAGGATCCAAAATTAAAAGAGGCCTATGCTGTGAGCTTCCTCAAAATGCCATGTCAGATGGAGGGTAGGCAGACTTACCTCACAGAAATAATAAACTGCTTTAAAGTATTAATTTGATGTAGATTTAAGATTCTTTAGAAGTTGATCTTTTAAAAGCTTAAAGGTGTCACATTTTGAGTTTAGTGCACTCTAGAGATAAAGAAAGTGATGAAGCCCACTAAAATCACACCAGCCAGGGAGGGAAAGAAGCATATACAGGCTATTATCTTTTAAAGCTTCACTCTGAAGCACTTTTAATTATTCTATATGAGCTAAATCAAGATGGGATTCAAATCACTGATATTTGCTATTTGTAACACCAGCATAAACTCAAATGACACAAAAACACCTTAGCCCCTCTTTGTACAGCATCATATACATACAATAGATTTATGATAGAATATAACAGTACACATTTACATTCTTGGGAAAGGGTACAGCAGTGAATGGGTCCTACTTGAGCAAACACCAAACAAGACAGACAGTTGACTAATACTCATCTCAATTGGAGCTTGAGTGAAGTAGAAAGCCACAAACAGCTTTCTAACAGCACTTTATGTAGTTTGTAAATTGGAGGGAAAGGTTACAACATATTACAAATTAAAGTGGTAAAATTACATAAAAAACAAAATATAAAATGTTAAATAAAGAAACAACATGATCGTTGCAGGCATGTATGGTTTAGTTTAGTATTTTTTTCTCTCTAAAAAAAAAAAAAACAACACACAAAGAGATCCAAGCGTCTTGCTTAAGGGTAAAATTGGTTGACGACAGTTTAAAAAAAAAGTGACTAAAGTTGAAATTTGTTTTTTGTAATGAAAATCACACGTCAGCAAAAATTGCACAAAATCACACACATACATCCTTAACATACCTATAATAACATCATCATTTACTCTTACGTGTATGCCTTTATTTAATATGCTGTGTACCATTTTGAGTCCAGCTCTACTTAAGATTAATTACAAAATCACAGAGCACGCATTTTTTCTTTTATATGAGAGCTAGGAAGATCAACAATCTGTACACTCTTCAGTCTCTCAAAACCATTGCAAAATATTGTCCATTGCATTCTCTTTCTATATACATCGGGAGTACATCCTGTCCTGCTGAACTGTGAAATTCTTCTCACAAACCTAAGGCATTGTGAAGTGTGAACACACTCAAACACACAGCAAGCCTTGTCAAGCCACTTATGTGCAAAATATTCAGTCTTAAGGTTATCTTGCCAATTATGTTTTCACTAAACTTAATAAATGATTTCATACCATAATCTAAGGCAGTAATCATGTTGGCAGTGCAACAGAACCTTTCAAGATTCATTACTTCAGCATGAGAAGAAAAGGCAGTCTTGCGGCTTGCATTTTTTCAAGGCATTTGGATTTCAGAAAAAAAATGGCCATCCTCCATGTGAAAAAGATGGTCAGAATGGTCACAATTAGATGAATCTTAACCTGCCTTAATGTGAGTCAAGTCTAGTCTTAGTTTCCCCACACCCTTTTTATATGCTCATATAAGGGGAAAGAGGAGAGGGAGAGACAGCATTCTAGATGTTTCGTAAAACATCTTTTTATTAAATTGCTTTTTTTTTGTTTTAGTTAAGCTTAAGGTTTTTGTTCATCTTTCTCTTTGGTTCTGTAAAAGAACTGATGAAACTTTCATCCTTTCTTTCCTGAGTAATGTTCTGCTTGATCTGTTCAAGAGTTACACCCTGGTTACACTTGAGTAACATAGCCTGGAACCTGCCATTTACTGTAATACTTAAGTATATAATTCTCAATCTAAAAAAAGTGGTGAAAATGCATTCTCTTAAACTTTAAGAAAAAAATTAAACTAAAATACAGGAGATTTCTTAAGGCAACCATTATAAATGAGGCAACTTGAGAGAGCCAGACACTTATGAGAGCATTTAAGGGCAATGAAAACGGTTCCTCAAAATCCTAGAATCTAATCTACAATGTCTTCCAAACCCAATGGTATCATTCTGAGCAGGATGAAACAGGACAGAAGTGACTTGGCAATCAGATAAAAACTTCAGTTTTAAAGTGTGGATGAGCCAGTCACACTCACAAGATCAGGTTATGCACAGTTCAGCAGACAGAAGCTTGGCGAAGAAAACACTCACACTAATACTGAGGCAGTGAAGTTGTCCAAGCCTAGAACCGTAACCTAACTGTAGAATTGGTGTAGCACACACAACAGGAGAGATGATAAAATGGATCTTCCCAACAACCCACTTTTGGTAGTTATGAAGACCGGTGGTAACCATGGTGTTGGTCCACAGTAGGTAACTGGTTGCTTGGATTTCCAGACATCAAACACCTGCAACATTACAGATTACAAATTTTGAAGCAAGACCTCAACACAGAGCAATGAGGTAAACTTAAAGGGATACAGTAAATGTCCAATCAGAAAAAAAAGCAATGAAAACAAGAGGCCATCAATCAGTCTTTGCCAATACCCAATGTCACCAATTAGTTAGATAGCATTGACTTAAGCCACCACCACCAATACCACCACCATAATGACCACAAAAATGTATTGAAAATTGAACTGAATGTAAAAGAATCATGCAAGACAAATTTAAACCAAAAACTAAAATTCGTTCTACAAAGAAATATTTTATAGTTTTGTATAGCTAAACGAAAATTGTCACATAATGTACCAAAGGTGAATTCAGCTCAGAATTAAACCTAGGTTTGAAGCGTGCCAACGGCAAACTTGAAAAAGTGCAAAACAAAGTGCAAGGTGCCTATGAAAAATAAACAATCATTTAATTGCTAACCTCAACTTAGAATTACACCTTAAAAATGCCTTTAACAATGAAATGACTGAAGACAATAATTAATATCAAAAAATTATTTCTTTGACGGAGAACTTATTTTTAAATTAATGAGGATGAAAACAGTGCTAACAAGACAGAAAGGCAAGAGTGATTGGTACCACAGTGCATGGTACAAGCCTCACCTGCCGGCTAGCCGGTGGTGGCTATGGTCTGGAACAAGATGGTAATTGGTTGACCTATCAGACTTTGTGGTGACGCATCTCGAAGGCATTGGCATTACGTGACGATGGTCCAGAGCTCGAGCTACTGTATGCTCCGGCATAAAGCTCACCATGGTTTGCCCTGCTGTACCCCGCTGGCGGTGCCGATGCTGAAAATAATGAAAACTCAGTTTAAATCCCTTACGCCTCAGGAAGCGGCCAGAGAGGACGTGCAAGACGGCCAACCCACAAAGAAAGCAACAAAGTTGTACGGTAAAACGCGCATTACCTTTGGGTGCATAGTATTGGCCTCGACCCTCTCCATAACCATGGGCAGGCGCCCTGCTGTGGCCCTGTCTAACATGATGCCCCCCTCCTGAACTAGGCCCTCTGCCCTGTGGTCCCCGCTGCACACCGAACACACAGACACATCAGGATACATCACAAAAAACAAAGGCAAAGGACAATGACAAAAACAGAGACACCAAAGTCAATTACACAAGACAGAGACAATACAAGGAAAATTAATGAGATACTTGCATATTTGAACTTTTATCACTAGAGTCAAAGGTGCTAACGTACCATTCTCCTAAGTGTGTTCATTGGTCTCCTCAGAGTTTCTGAAAAACGTCTAGCTGGTGGTTTCTTTGGATTAGAAGATGGTGTGTGCACAGCACAGCACTTGATAAAAATGGCCATAAAGATGATGAAGGTGATACCCATAAGAAGGACAGCCCACCAATATTCCTGGATAAGAAAAAAGAAAGATTCAAATTAATGAGTGCTTCAAATGTTAACAATAATTGTTGTCCTTGAATGTCCTTTAAGTGAGGTAACAGAGACTTACTGTAATCCACTGGGCTACAGAAAGTAATGTTTGCTTATTGAAAAGCATATTCTTCAGCCGTGCTAGAGGACCTTCAGCATCTACAGCACGGCATTTATAAAAGACATCACAATATCCCTGTGGGAAAGGTGTGTATAAGAAATACAGTCAAAGATTGACAACAAATTGATTCGAGTGACTCACACTACAAGGCAAAAAGCAGATGATACCTGAAAATTATCACAGGGCGAGCCTGGTCTCAGGCTTATGCCACCAGGAGGAAGGCCCACCTGGTGGGCAAATTCACTAGTACTTCTACATGAAGTTACATTTGTACCATTTTGACAAGCCAGTACACATAACTGACGCTTGTCAATGTTGGGTATAAGTGATGATGTTAAGAAACACTCAGTGAGGTTCCACTCCAGACAGATGGACCCAGAACACTCACCATTAATACACAACTGTGGATGAATAATGAAAGTCATTACAGGGTAAATAGAAACAAAATTGCAGTTCGTAAAAGTGAAGGCATTTGAATTCTATTACCTGTGTATCTTCATTGCACCGGGTTTTGTTGGCTTTATGAGAAGGATCAGGACACTCAGCACTTCTGCCATCACAATGAGAATTCCAACTACAGTTGGTTTCAGCTCTGCACTCTTGGTTAAAGCTTTGCGGGACGAAAGAGCAAGTATCTCCTGAGCAACAGGGACCTTGACTGGGGCTGTAAAATAACATTTCAAAATGCATGACATTCATACAGCAAGTTAAATTTTGCAAGAATCATAACACACAATTTGTTTTTCATTGCAACAAAAAATTACCTGCACTGAGTATTAGCTCTCCTCTTACACATCACTGCACTTTTATTTAGCTTATGATCTTCTTCAGATATCAAACGAGGGTAGCAGCAATGATCCTTACATTCTTTTTCATCATAGCCACAATCACATTCTTCTCCAGCCTCCACAATTTTGTTTCCACAGAATGCCCCCTTAGAAGCTGAAAAAAGAGGCACAAAATTAATCATCAGTGTGTGTCAAGAATACAGCTCTTCAACATTACAAAATATTTAGGAGATACAACATACTTTGGAAGCAGTTCTTCTTTTTATTCTCAAATATTGCATCTAAAACATTACTTATGTTTCCAACACTGCAGTGTGAAAACTTGCTATTGTTGGGACGATCACCACTAGTGGCCGATGCAAACATGATATAGTTGCCATCCAAACCACCAGGTCTACAGTCGTGTGGATAATCATGCTATACAAAAAAGGACCCAAGTTTCATTAAAAATATTCCAGACCACACAGACAGACACACTTGAAGGCAAGTTACTTACTGGAGACCCAAAATTGTGCCCAATTTCATGAGCTAGTGTTAGTTGGGATACTTTAGGAGGCACACGGCTATTATAGTTGACAAAAGTAATAATGCCAGTGTTCAAACTGCGTTTGGTGGACTGATAGGTTCCCCCAACAGTTTCTGTGTACATTTTGTGTTTTTCACAAATACCTCCAGAGGCACCTATGAACAGAAGATGCAACACAATATGAAGACAAATCTTTTCTACTTGACTAAAAAATATTTTGCAATGGTATAAATTATGTACCTGAAGCAGATGCTACCCATGCTAGACCAAGGGTGCCCCCTGTGAAGTCTCTGTAGGTAAAAACATAAGCAAGGCAGAAGAGCTCATGATCTCCTAAGGAATGAAGATTTAGGAAATTGCTCACATCTATGTTTTCCATACAAAATGGGCTAGGCTCAAATTTTGAGATGTTAGTCTTGCATGATGCATCATCATCGATCTACAGGACAAACAAAACATGTTGTTATGCATGGGTAGACAAACAAGACAGTTACAGTACTCCTTCTTTCATGTTTTCTTCAGGCTGAGCATTTTACCTTAATTCTCTGGACAAAAAATTTAATATTTCGATGTTCCATTCGGCCATCAAATCTAGTATCTCGGTAAATATAATTAACTGCTGTTACATGGTGTGCAATAAGCGATGAAATCTCCTCCCGAATTTTCTCTGGATTGTTTCCAACCTTAAAATCAAGACAAGCAAGATATTCAATTTCACCCAGGTCCCATTGTTGGTGTAAACTAACAAAAAGTAAAAACAATATAAAAATGTATCACATTACCTGATCACGGATATGCCTCCAGATGAGAGGATCTGTTTGAATAAAGAGTGAACAAGTATTTTTGATTTCCTCTTTTGCTTGTGCAGCTCTTTTTGTGCGGCTATGATCATTCATTTCCTTTGAATACTTCTCAAATGGAGTCTCATACTGAAACCTAGGGAGAACATAACACAAGAAATATTAGAATCAAGGAGAAGAGTCAGATCTCATTCCTGTTCAGAGTTGTATCTTGTACATGAAACTTACCGGAATTGATCTGTTGGCTTTTGAGATGGTGGAGGTGGTTTTCTGACATCATTGCTTCCCCTTGAAGTACTTTTTACCTTCTTATGCTTTAATTTTGAAGGAGCTTGTGCTGGCTCTTCAGGAACAAAAGAATTTTGCACCTGTTCCATCCAGTGGTCTGTTACACCACAACCGCTACTGTGTCCTGTTCAAATTTTATATTTTCAAAAAATATGTCACAATATGAACTGTAGACACTAGATTTGGCATGGTACATACCTGAGCGCCTTTCAGCATAAGGATCATTGACATCTTTTGAGTGATAGATGACTGAGTGAAAGGTGTTGTTGGCTTCTTTGGGGAAGTAATAATGCGCCTTCTCCACATAGAAGTCACCATCACGGGGAGATATGATCTTTCCATGAAAAACTCCATCGGAGACAGAACCAAAAACTTGGCTCCCCGGTTCCCCTGTAATTGAAAAATTTGACAAATTTTAAAAAAACTTAAATTTGTTAACGCTAATCTAGTTTATGATAAGATAAGACGTCATGTGCTTAAGTACGCAGATTAAGGTACCTTGAATGTGTCCCGAGTAAATGTGGGACAGGTCCACTCTCTCGGGGCGGCCGGAGCTGCCCACTATCTCCACATTGTCGTCGAAAGTCTCCAGGTCTCGTTTGAGGCGCAGGTGGAAGAAGCGGCCGTGCGACCGGAACTTGAGGTGCACGGCGTCCTCGGTCGTCACCGAACGTTTGGCGCGGAGGTGGCTCCGGTGGACATGGTCCGTGTCGTATTGGAGCCCCTCGAAGTGGGATACGTACTCGTTCAGGCGCTGAGCGCGCTGGGCTGCAACACGGAAACCGTAGAGGTCAGTCGCGGAAAGTGAAAGCAATGTGGAGATTACTTTTAACATTTTTAGTGGAAAGGGGGGGGGGATGCGGATTCAAAGACAGGAATGACGACACGACGGTAGGTAGTGTATTCATCGCCTCGGTATGGCGCGGTGGCGCGGCGTGGCGGTGCCGGCCGGCGGCCGCATCGGCCCCCCGGTGCTGGTGGCACGACGGGCACCACGGCACGCCGCACGACGCGGTGCGTCCGCCGCCACCACGAATTACGGCATCCGCGGTGTGCGGTGCGGCGCAGCGTAGCGTGAAGCTCGGCCAGCGGCGCGGACGGCGGGGGCCTCGGCGGGGCGCCGTCGCGGTGCGCGTCGCCCTGACCCTCATGACCGTCCAGTTCGACAACCACTGCGAAATCTCGCACACGGCAAGCCGGGCAAGCCGCGGAGAGAAATCGCGGGGCGCGCGGAAACGGCCGTGCCGCACGCTTCACTGCTCCCCTCGTGCGCGGTGCGGCGTGCACGCTCGCGTGAGCCTTCGCGTGTCCGCGGGCCGGCGGGGCGGTGCAAAGTGCAAGGACTCCGGAGACGGAGACAGGTGGCGCCGAAAGTGAAACGTGTGGGATGCAGCGAGCACGACACGGAAAGGAAACCCATGCTGGAAACGCGAGCTTCGAAACAGATTAGCGCTCGCCGGGGGCCCGTGGTCGCCCGGCAGTACAGTGTCCTGGCAGAACGGGGACGCGACGGCTCGGGCGGCGAGGCGCGGCGCGGGCCGCGGGGGAGGGAAGTCCGCGCGCACCGAGACTCCGCCAGCCTCCGCGCTCGGCGCGCACGCCGAAGGCCTGAAGGTGTGCAGGCGTGGCGGGAGCGCCGCTATGGCCGCTGGCCGCGGAGGCCTCGCTAGGGGAAGGAGGGCGGCTCACAACTACCAGTGCAATCCGACAAGGCGATGCAAGTTGCAAAAAAGAAGTGGACAGAAACAACAACCGCGCAGTCCAAGTGCCAAGAGCAAGCCGCATTGGGGGTCCCTCGCGGGGCGAGGGATCGCACCGGCCGAGTTTCGCGTTTACGGGACCCGGCGGGGCGCCCCGCGGCCGTGCGGCCAATACCGTTCGGCGGGGACGTCGCGACGCCGGCCCGCCACGCGCCGCCACGCCGTTGCGACACCTTGGCCGCGACGAGGCGTCGCCGTGACTCGGACTCGCCGCGGCCACTTTACCGCCAAACCAGTCACTGCAGTTGCCGAGGCAGTGCTAGCTGCAGCGGCGTCGGGGCGTCACTCCACTCCACGGCGCCTCGTCAGCACGTCAGCACTCCCGGACCACGAAGGCCAGGCGTGCCAAAGGCCGGGCGTCAAAGAGCACAGAAAGAAAGCAAGCTCGAGAGGCAGAGAGGCTGCAGAAGCGCTTGTTTAGCAGGGCGGCCAACTAGGCGATGATCCAGCGGGATAAAAGAAGAAGAAAAACTGCAGCGATGCATCACGTTGCTCGCCTTTTTTTTCACCCCTTTCATGAAAGGAGAAAAGAGGGGGGGGCCTTGGAGGGGCCGCATGGAAATGAGTGCGGCCGACGGGCACCGGCGGGCCGACGCGTGGAGCACAAGGAGGCCACCAGTGTAGCAGTCTCGGCCCGGATGCAGGCCACGCCAGGGCAAGCCAGGGCAAGCCAGGGCACGCCAAAGGCACGGCGTCGAAGGGCTGGGGAGGTAGCTGCACGACCGTCACAGGGCCGCCACCCTCGGCCAAGGGCCTGGCGCCAAGGGCACGCCCTGCAACGGCCCGGCCCGGCCCGGCCCGGCCTGCCACGGTCAAGGGAAGCGGGACGGGCGCGAGGATGGCCGCGCGCGCAGGCATGACGGCCAGAGGCGGCCAGAGGCTGGCGTGCGGCGTGCGTTCACTGCTCGCCTTGACGCCGCGCGTCCGGCACGGCACGCCACGCCACGGCACGCGCCAGACAGACGCTCGCCGCCACATCAAGCGATTACAACCTCTTTGTCAGGGCGGCGCCGCGTGCGTCACGCCGCGTCGCCGTGTCCAGGGAGGGAGGCCGGGGCTAAAGACCGCTACGCTACGCTACGCCGTGCGAAAAAGCAACAAAAATAAACTGAAAGCCGTCCACGTCGTCGCCATGACTAGGCTGGTCTAGGCCAGCGGGCCGGCCGGTCGTCCGAGCCCCGCTCGTGTCGCAATATTTGAGGCGGAAAAAGGGCGACGCTGCAATTCTGCCCCTTCCTTGGGAAAGCGGGGCGCTTCTGGCTGCTTCTAGCTCCCCCTGTCACCGCGGGTCTCCGCGGAGCACCGCGAGCGACGTCGAGAAGTCCCCCAAGTGCGCGGCGCCGCGTGGCACTTCCCTGAAGACGAGGCGGCGCGGCGCGGGTTCGATCCCCGTCGCCGCCCTCACGGGGGGCCCCGTGGAGGTGCGGCGGAGAGCCAGCGAGCCAACATGCTCCTCTGGTAATGGGTATCGGGGGCACCACTCATACTCATCCCCCGCACTTTCACTCAAGAGAGGGACAGACTAGCAGAACGGAGCCAACGAGCCTGAACGGCCAAGAGTATCGCAGCGCAGCGGGCGCAGCGCCATGGCAGCGCCCAGATGCGCCTCGTGGAGGAGGAGGGGCGCTGCGGAGTCCACTGTGGGACTGCCGCGCACTGCCGCGCTGCTGGGACGCTAGGTCGGGGACTCGGCACTGATACGCCGAAGTCTGAGTCAGTCACAGCCGCGCCCCCTGCCTCCTCGGCGCAGAGCAGCAGCCCAGCTTGCCCAGCTGGCCAATCGCGTGACTGCAATAAACCCACCCTAATTGAGCGCCATTGAAAAGCAGTGTCGAAGCGCGGCGCCGCTCCCAGTCGCTGCACTTCCCATGCGCTCGCTCATGTCTCCGTTCTGACAGGTTCTGACCCCGGCCCGGCGTTCAGACAGTCCCAAGGGCATCGCGTTCAGTTCGCCTCTCCCCGAACACACCCTGCCCTGGCCTGCCCCACACACGTCCAACATTTGCGCCAAGGTATCGACCCCGTCGAGGGCATCTGGACCATGGAAAATGCGACTTCAGTCCGGTATTCGAACCCGCAGCCGCGCTGCGCCACACGGTGCCACACGCGACACGCGCCGCGCGGGAGGACAGACGCAGAAACAGGTGTCGCTGACCGCAGCCCCGCCGCCCCGCAGCCGCGGACAGCTCACTGATTCCGAGAGTCGTTTTCGTCGCTCTGTCTCTCTCACACTCATGAGGCGTCCCGTGTAGGTGCGAGAGAGACAGAGCGACGAAAACGACTCTCGGAATCAGTCTGCAGGACCACAGGCCCCAGGACGGACGCGGACGCTGTCAGATCGGTTCCTCGCTTCCTGCTTGCTTCCTGCTTCCGGCCATGGACCACTCCGGGCACTCGCCCATCACTGCATGGCGCTACATGGCGCTGCACGCCCGCTCAGTCAAGCAAACAGAACCAAAAGGACGATTGAACCCTCCGCCTCACGCGTGTCCATGCGGCGTGGGCGCCGATAAGGATGTGCGCTACTCGCACTTACTCATGTCTGACTCAGCTGTTGTTCCCACAGCGCACTGCGAATTGGACATTGCAGACAGGATTGCGGTAGTTTCGGTTTGCTCATTCTATTCAAAGCCCAAACAATCTACGGAAACCTTTTTGTCTTTTTTTGGTTTGGGGGAAGGGGGAATTTGAGCAACACTCGTGAGAACGGCATTTTTAAGAAACTGCTTCAGTGCAGAGGGCAAGCCAAAGCCACAGCAATGAACTCAAATTCTGATCTGCTCATTGAGCTTGACTGCTCATTAAAAATCAAAATAATGTTCTGGATTCTTAGCCACCCATACAAAGGTCCAGAAATTTGACAGGACAATCTCCCTACATTTCCTCAACCTGCTTTTAATGTGCACAAAATGAGAAAACCCTTTTTTGAAGAACATCCCATTAAAATAAACTGAAAAATATTAATTCAACATCAAATAAGTCCTACAGAGGGTATTAGACACTAGGAACACTAGAGTAGAATGGAGGGCTCTCATAAAAATAACAGTGTGAAAAAAAACTCATGGTTCACAGTCTATTCCAAAACCAACATATTTCTGTACTGAGGTAAGAAGATGAGAATACAGGAGGTTCTGCACGAAACGAACAGACAAACAATGACAAGAATGGGGATAGAGACAAGTTAAAGGTTAGGTTGTTATCATGGGCATGTGACTATTTGTATGAAAGAGGGCATTCTGGACATAGAAGTCGTCAGAGAAACAATGATACAACAGCAAAGTACAGAAAATATTAAAAGCTAGACCAAGAGGAACGGGGTAAAAGGAAGAACAGCGGAACCTGGACAAACTACTGCTATTTCTGGAGCAACATTGGCAACCTCATATAACCCACCAGCAGACGACCTCGGTTTAATGACAAAAGTAGCATCATTGTGGATCGAAATAGACCTACTTTTCACTCATGAAAAGTAAATATGATACCACATAAACACAGGAACCTAGGTCCTCGGTGGTGGTGGTCCTAGCCCAAAACATAGGCCTAAAAATAAATGTTTAGAGCCGTCTTAGAAATGAAAGCAACTTACCACTCTCAATGTAGGGAATCAACAGGAGAAGATATATGATGTATCCACATTCACTGAACATTTTCCCACATGAATGATGCCTCGGAAACGTTATCCATCAAATTTTGAAACGAAATTCATATACACCACAGCTGTTCAATCTAACATAAGCACAGATAATGGAAACCTTTGTCTCTCTGCCACTCTGCGCATGAGCGGGGACGACTGGCTCCAACTCCAGTTATTTACACTCTTCTGACTGTGAATAAAACCCAGTCCTGTATATAATGTATTCTTTTTTGTTGTTGTTCTGGTTGTTGTTGTTCTTTCTTCTGCTGTCCGCCGCAGCGTTATTCGCAGGATTTCAGTATTATCGATCAATAAGGTTAGGCAAAGATATAGGCTAACTGTAATAATGTCTAAAAAGCCCACTTTTAGAGTTTGACAGATCCTTCTGCGTTCCTTAAGTTATTTGAGCTGCTAGACTGGATTTGTAGCGATGACATGGAAAGTACTTTTTCTCCTTGTTTGTCTCCTGGTATGTGGAATCAACGGATTTTCAGACCCTTACAGGGTTCTGGGCATTCCCAAATCATCAACAGTACCGGAAATAAGAAAAGCCTACAAAAATCTAGCGAAAGAATGGTGAGTTTAGTCTGCTTAGACTGATTTCCAGTCCACTTAAGTTCTCATTTGCCATGTATTGTCAGAACAGGGAAGAGCCAGTCTGTGATCACACCCTTTCTCAGGGTAATTCTCTCTTACCCCAGTCCTATTATTGTCACCAATTTTCTAAAACTACGTTTCAAACTTCAGCCTTAAATTTTATCCAGAATTTTTTGTTGATTTTTTATGGTGTGGCTTGTGACATTGTCATTAGGCTTCAATGTATAACGTATTTCTAACCATGAGACAAGGGCTTGTGCGACAAGATATCATCGGCTACATTAAATCTTTGATTTTTACCTATTTTATGAGCTAATTCATACTAAACTAAGGAAAAAAAAATGTTTCAGGCACCCTGACAAAAATCATGATCCAGCTGCTGAGGAGAAGTTTGTGGAAATCACACAAGCCTATGAGGTGCGTAAACTGATAGTAAGCCGTCAAATATTTGAATAAATTATTAATAAACTAACAATTTCTTCTGTCTTATATAGCTGCTCTCTGACCCTGAAAGACGCAAGCAATATGACTTGTATGGGGTCCTGGGAGATTCTGCAATATCAAGAGAGAAACGAGAATATAACCAGCAATATCAAAAGAAATTTGATTTTATGGATGATTTGTTTGGCTTCCCTGGTTATGGATCATTTCGTTATCGACGATCAGAACCGGATATTACATCATTTCACAAATTGAGTGTATCTACCAAGTATGTATTAAACATTTCCATTTTCCTGCCCAGAATTAAAATAAAGTGTAGAAATTGTTCTGAGGTTTAAGCCATTGTTTCAATGTGTTTCAGAGCCTATGAAAATAATTTGGTTCCGAAGAGCTTCCGAACACCTTACCTTATTCTCTTCTACTCTGATTGGTGCTTCCCCTGCCTGCAAATCGAGCCTTTGTGGAGAAAAGTCATTGAAGATCTTGAACCTATTGGTATGTATACTCCGTCCTTCTGTGGTTCTCTTTCTTTAAAAAAAAAAAGAAAAAAAAATCTGGCATTAACAAAGAAATTTAATTGTATTTCCTGTCTGCTTCTAGGAGTTGGAGTAGCCACAGTCCATTCTGAAAATGAAAAGATGCTTGCAAAGAAAGTTGGCATAAGGTCACTACCAACAATGGTCCTTCTGATGGAAGGCAAAACAACCATTTACAGAGAACCTATGATAAGTGCTCATAAAATTGTTGGTAAGTCATGATGTCCATTTTCAAAAAAATATAAAATCAAGATTTTGGGATAAAGCTAATTCTTTGACTTTACCTTTTTCAGAATTTATTCGTGCAAAATTTCCATACAATATAATGCAGTCAGTTAATGATGATAATGCCCATGAGTTTCTAAGAGGCTGGATAGATAACCGTGTTAGAGCGCTTGTTTTTGAGAATAAAGAGCAACCTCGCTTGCGCTATCTTCTTACCGCCTATCACTTTCGAGATCGTGTCGCTTTTGGGTAAGTGTGTTTTTAATGGTTGTTCATTGCCTTAATAACTTCTTTTAATGGATGCTTCATTCATTTCATAAGGTCTGTGAACATGGGGTCGATGGATACTATTGAGACACAGAAACAGTTCAAAGTGGCTCATGATGCTGATACTCTCTTAATATTTAATGAGAATCATAACCGTCCTATTGTTAGTTTGTCAATGGCGGATATCCCAGTTAACACTATGCAAGATGTCATAAGTCGAAACAAATATTTGGTACTGCCTCGTCTTTCATCACAGGTATGAATAATCAATCCTTTTTCTCAGTATGTTTTAAGTAGTGATATAGCTTATCATTATACCTGTTGATTTCAGACACTACTTGATGCCCTTTGTCCTCCTGAGTGGGCAAAACCGCGAAAACGCCTCTGTGTTGTCCTTGTATCTGAAAATACACCATATCATGACACTCCTCGCCAAGCATTACGACAGTTTGCTCAAGAATCATCTTACAGTGCAGAGAGAGTTCGATTCACCTACATATTTAGAGAACGTCAGAGCGAATTCATAAATGCCTTAACAAGTGGTCAGTTTGTTATTTTAACATTGACTTTTTATAAGCTGAATTTTTGATAGATTTTTTTTTTGGTGATTGTTTGTTGTTAATGTTTTTGTGTATAGGTGAAGGGAGCCCTGCTGAATCAACTCTACACATTGTGATTTTGTGGCGCCGAGACTCATCTCACATTAAATATGAATGGCTACCATCTGGCCTTGATGCTTCAGTGGATCAATGGAATGATACCAAGTCTCATCTGGAAACAACAATACATCGACTTCTTCAGTCAAATGCTGCCTTATCAGGAGAAGCTATTGTAAAGGTGTGAAACTTTACACCACCACTTTTTCTCACTTGCATTTTTTATTTCTTCTTTTGACTGTTTGATACAAACTTTAAATTTAATTTCAGGAATTGATAGATGAACATGCCCAGGGAATGGTGACACGAATGGTAAACAAACTTCTTCTGACAGCCGATTTTCTGAAGGAATCCATTGGGAAAGATCAAATTCTACCTGCTATTTCCGTTATTGGAACAATTTTGTTCATCATTGGTGGTGGTTACCTCATGTCTTATCTTGTGTAAGTGCATTTTATGCTGAACATTTTGAACTGAACTTTTGCTGTGATTCTTGTTGCTATTGATTTTTTTCTTTTAAAAGGCGGCTGGAAGAAGAAAGCATTAACAAGAAGAAGAACGATGATAGCGGCAAGGGTACAACTGAAAATGGGAAAGTATGTTGCTTTGCTCATACTGCAAAACATTTTTATAATCAAATTAATTACTGAAAGCATGACAAAACTCGTATCAAGAAAACAAAGATGTATTAATTAAAGCTGATTAATCATGTTTCAGAATGGAAGTTATGTACCGGAACTGAAATTGCATGAAATGAGGGCTGAGAATTATAATGGTCTAGTACGTTTGTTGAAACCTGGCTGTCGCACTATTATACTATTGGTTGATATGCAATCTAGAACCACCCTTCTCCCAAGTTTCCACAAAACAGTGTGGCCATATCGCAAGTGTGTATTGAAAAAAACCTTGACTCTGGTTTATTTTTGTGAGCCTGATTTCATCTTAAATTTTACATTGTGTCATAATGAAACTTTTGCAGGAATAAAACGTTGATGTTTGCTCATCTCTCATTAGAGAGAGGTCTCGAATGGTACAAACGGTTGTTGACATTAAGCCTTCCTGAGCCTCGTGACCTCAACATAAATCCTCGCAATTGCATTGGTACTGTCTTGTCGCTGAATGGTCATCGAAAATATTTTTGCATGTATCATGCAAAACATCCAGAATGCTCACGAGGGCAAGGCTCAAAAGTGAGTCCTTGGTTGTTGCTTACTCTTTTCGTTGAGTCTTATCTTGACTTTTCACTACCTTAAATGTTTTATTTTTCTGTTGCAGCGTATGGTGAAAATGACAAAACACTTTAGTAATCCCCCTTTCAATGTTGGAAGTGGTGCTTTCATGGGTTTTGATACAAGTGAATCAGAAAGTGAGACGGAAGATGTGGAAAAGGGAGTGCGTCCTTTGACTGAGGTGTGTCTTATTGCATCTTAAAAACTCTTTTTTTTTCTTTTTCTCTCTTCCATTTTTTTCCCCAAATTTATGAATCCGAAGTTGCTGTGTTATTATTTTCATTACTTACGCTGTTGCTTTTTGATCTAGGGGTCCGGAGATGCAGCTGGTGGAGTGCTTTTCCAAGGGAACCTTCTAGACGGCCTCCCTAATTGGCTGGATCGATTATTTGAGGGCACCACTCATCGTTATTATGTCAATTACTGGCCTGACTTCACTGGAAAATAGGTTCATTCAAGTCTCCCTCTGTGACTGTTCATTCGAAGAAGTGGATTTGGAGTCCCTTTGTCAGGATGAATTGGTATTGCTGTTGCCAGTGTAACCTGAGGAAGTTATTTGACTGCAAAGCATGTGATTGTATTGGTGCACAAAATGTAAGTGCAGCATTGTTATTGGAGGCGCAATTTTGCTGTGGCTTGAATTCACAACAGGATGCATCAAGTATGTATGTTATGGGTTTAATCTGGAGTGCAGTTTAAGGAGATGAGTCTGAGCCATAAGTTTGCCTCCAGTGAAATTCCTAAACCTGCCCCTTCAAATGATTGCTTTATGAGACATTTGTACTGTGCTGGGAAAGTTTGAGGGGTATTATTGTTATCTTGAATTGAAACTGTTTTACTGAACCAATGCGTGGTGTGAAGTGCCTATGTTTTAAATATACTAACATGGCTGATTATGTGTACTTTTTACATTGGTTGCTTGTCTGACTGTTTTCTTGATAATTTGTAATTGATAAGTTTTGTGATCAAGAGATGCTTTTGATACATTGTCTGCATGTGCACCCTCTTTTAACTTTGCTAGCCAATTGTGTGTGATAATGTAAGGCAGATTCGAGGGACTTTACTTTGAGTTATTGTGACCTTGATAATGATATGCATCGTAACGAAGTTGCACTTCCATTGGTTTATAACCACTCTAGCACAACAGTTGTGTAAACAGAAGCTTAATTGATGTGGCATACCCTGTTATACCTTTGATTGTTTTATAACTATTAGCTTCCCTGCTGGTACGTAATTGGTCATGATGAAAGAGGGGTGGGTTGCCTTCCTTCAAGGTCAAAAATTAAAAATTGACTTTTTTGTTTTTTGTTTTGTTTTTGAAATGTAGTTTCCTTTTTAGGAAACTTTGGTTTCCTCCCCTATTGTGCCCCTGCCTCTCTGATTCTGTCTAAATTATCACCCAGTAACTAATTAGCAATGTGACAGATATGAGATCTCTTTTAACAGAGTGTTGATTACTTTCAAATTGTGCTTGAATTTATATTTGTACACCCTTTATATCGCTGTTGCTGAAAAGTCTGATGGAGCATTTCGATTTTACTCTGATATAAGCAACAGCCAGGTAATCTTTTTTTACAAAAACATGTGTGATTGCCGACCAAGAGCACATTGTTTCATATGTAATCAACACCCTGACCAAGTGCACTGTAGTGATGCACTGTCCAGTGGTCTAGTGAAATGTTTCATTCATCTATCACATGTATCAAGTACCTGTCTCTAATCTTTATTACAAAACACACAATATTTCAAACTTTTTAGGAAAAAAATATGTTACAGGTACATTGATGTTTCCCTTCCCTCTTGTAGTATGTTTGTTACCTATTAGTATTCATCTCTTACTCTATATGATCAAGACCTTGTGTGTATGAGCTCTTTCTAAACGTAAATATTTTGTATAAGGTTATAGCAAGCACATTATATTAATCACAACTTTCCCTTCAACAAACCAGTGAATATTGTGATTTTGTGTGAGCTAGAATTGTTTATCTGTAGGACAAGTAAATACGTGTGATCTCTACATGGATCGATTCTTTCAAGACTTGTTTAAGGCTTTTTGTAATTGTAACCTCTTTGCATACTTTGTTCCAAATTTTGTGAACTGAAATGGGGTGGACGATTGCCGAGTTGAAATGGAGGTAAAGTTTGTAATGGAAAATCAGCCTGTGATTCTCTTAATTTATGCAGTTAAACCGTAGCTTAAATAATGCAACAGCATTGGGAAAGCTAGATAATAGAAAGGACCCTGAAAGACCTCTGAATGAATAAAAGGCAACTTGAGAAATATGATGTTGTAAGGACCAAAATTTCAATTTTGAAAGTTTGTTTCAGCATGGAGAGGTCACAGTGATATCAGCCATATATGGCACTGTATGTTAATGTGGTACTTTATGTTCACTGTATATTTGCTGTACCTTCAAGCCGCTTCTGCTGTAGAGGTTTAGATTTTAAAGTTTCTTGTATCGATTATTTTGCAGTAGACCTGGCAATGTCGTTGATAATAATACAACAAAGATCCTCACTTGACCCTTTTAGTTATCTGTGTGTGGGTGAAGTGCTTATACTTCTAGAAATAATACAGGAAACAACTTTTCTCAGTCATAATGTGCTGAAATTAAATTCAGGGTGTATTGGCTGTTTATGGATCTAGTTTGAAATTATGTTGTTACAGGTTTGCTTTTATTTTCGTGTTTTTAACTCTTCTTTTGTTTTGTCTAACATTTTCTTTTCCATTACCTCACTTGTTTCTAAATAAGTAAGTAGAGCTTTAACAGATCTTTGCTTGTTGAAAAATGTTGAGTTTTAAATTTCTAAGTGGACCAAGTACTCTCTCACTTTAGGTAGGGTTGTCTCATTCTTGATTCCCTTGATGTATAATCTAACAAATTTCTTTGATCACTTTACATCTTTGCTCAGATTGTATAGGAGAACCCAGCTTTGTATGCTGTTTCGTGCAATGCTGTTTCATGCAATTCTATTTTTGTTAACAGAATGTTGATAACACTTTTAAATTGCAGAACTTATGAGGCTTGTTGAACTGTGACTTGCAGTTTGGTTGATTTTCATAATTATACAATTTTCCCCCCCTTATTGCTGTGTTCACTACTGATTGTGGGACAAAGGTTTTTTTAAATGATGAGTTTAGAACCTCACCCTTAGTGGTGGATGTCTCTTTATCTCGCTTTGCTATGGCTTTGCTTTGATGCCAATTCCTTTTGAACAGGTGTTACTTTGTACCCTATTTACTGTTTCATTTGAAGGCAAAGTTTTCAGAACTGTGATTGCTTCTATGTAATACAATGTGGGTTTTCTTTAGCTTAAAAGGATTTTTCTTTTCATGTTTTGATGAAACTTCTCTGTTTGTTTTGTTTTGCTCCGTATTTGGAGTTGCTCACTTTAACAGAGTACATGTTATCTGAGGGTTTCAGCAGTAGTGTGATTTTGAACAGCCTGAACTTTCTCATTTTCATCCTTCAATTTGCCTTTCCAATTTTGGAATGCAATATCCCATCCTGAGATCATTGCTGAAAAATAAAGAAAAATGTGATGAAAGTGGTCATCCTTGGTTTTTCAGTCTTTTCTAGGCATTGGTTTCAGGGTCATTGTGACTTCTTGTGAAACAGCTTCTAACTGTGTGATTCATACTATGCCATTATTATTTATTTCATGCAAGTGCCAACTTCATCTCTTTCAACGAGTTTCATCTGTTTTCTGTATATGATTTGCATCACTGCCGTTATGTGTTAAAACACCTTGTCTGTGACGGGTCTATCCATGTGGACCCAATCCCATTCTGTTCTAAAATCATTGTCACAGTATTGAAAGAAATTTGTGTGCTTCTGTATTCAAAATGTTTTTTTCCAAAGGAAACAATAATAATAGGGTGTGGAAAATTGCAATACTCTTACATAGTTGTAACAGCTAGCGAGCATTGCCAAATGTCCTAGGGTGCAGTCAGATCATTTATTAGATTTGACATTTCTTCCATTGATTCTTTGTCCATCATCATGTGTGTTCTGTTCATTTTTTTTCTTGTGTGCTTTTTTCTTTCTGTTGCTTTTTTTACTATTTGTAAAAGTTAATGCTTTCCTTCAAAACATGATAGATGTGTATTTGGCAGGAGTCATTTTAAAACTTTATTATTGTTATTATTATTTAAATAGTGTGGTCATCGCACAAATATTTCTTATCTGTCATAGCATATTTTAAATTGTATTATGTATTGGTTCATTTTCAATGCTGGTGCATCAAATGATTCTGAATTAATCAATACAGTAAAACATGTCTCTCTTACAAAAAGATCAAAACAATAAACCAAAATCTGTTTCTTGTAAAAAAGCCTGAAAATCACAGTTTAAGTTTTAAGTTTAAGTTTTTATACAAATTCATCATTGTGGTGTAAGTCAACCTCCTCACTCTAGTCATATTACAAATTTTGTTTGTAAATTACCTTTGTGTTTAATTCTTGTAAGCTCATATTTCATTTCCTTCTTACCAACGGTCAAGGGGCAAAAATGTGTCATACCATTATAGTAATGATAATTAATGAAATGTCACCAAGTAATTTCGGTTTTTTATTTATTAATTTAAGTCATTTGTGGATATTCATGAATGTCAATCAAAATGTCGGTTTGTTGTTTTGCTCGTTCTAATTTTATGTGTTGTTATTGATTATTGTGAACGAGGAGTGTCTTATTTATTGCCTATTGTGTTTTTCGTGCATGAAAGTGCCAAGTTGTGCAATTTATGCACTATGAGAGATGTTAAGGTCTTATCATAAATTTGTTACCCAGAAACACTGCAGTTAAGAAAGTTCTTCTGTAAGAGATTGTGGTTCAAAGCACCTTGTCTAGTCAGCCAATTGGTTCTTTGTTAAGGACTGATGAATGATCATCTCTAGCCCTTTTATTAAATCTTATCTAAACGGATCTATCGCTATACTGATCTGATCATCGCGGAATCTGCACTCTTAGACAGAAAAGGGGTAGAGTAGAAAAATTAATGAAAAATTTTGTTTACTTCTCTTTGACTTAATTGAGCGTATTTTTTGTTTGTTTTTTTCTTCTCTAGAGAAACAACTTGATGAAAATGGTAATTTTTTTGTTGGCTTCTTCAGCCAATCATCTGAACAAACAAATATTGCATTGATATTGTATTTGCCTTACCACTGTCTTCTAGTCAGGGAAACTTTTACTAGTTCCAGAACTATTTAATCATAGACTCAATATTGTATCAAAGGCTTGGTTTTAATTTTATTTCTTACCGCACATAAAATATTTGTCTTTAAAACAAAATTAGACATTGTCCAGGTTTTCATACATTTTGAAATACATCTCTTTAAAGACTGATGTGTTTGTGAATTTACTTCACTTTTGTGATTGCTCACCTACTTCTCATATTTCACTTGAACTTGCCGACATTTTTTTCTCAAGTTCTTTGACAATGTAAGAGAGCTTTTCTAAAGCATTTTTGATATCTGCATCAGTGATGGCATTCCATGTGACAAATCTGATTTCTTGCACGCCTATTTCATAACATTTAATCCTTATTGCCTTCCCAATCTCAGCTTCTTCTTCAGGTGTTACCTGTGAAATTAAATTGGTGTCACAAGTCTCCAATTCATGCTTCTGTAAAAGCTTACCATATACTTATTTATTAATGTGGTTGACAATTTAGGTACCTCAAATAGTCTTTCTACAAGTTCTTTCGCTGTGCAGCACTTTGGATTGACATGTATTATGGCAATATTGGTGTGCATCAGATCCACATCCAACTTAAGACAACTTGTTTTCATGTTAACCATAGCTGCAACAAGAAACAATGAGATCCAATGAGATTGACATAAGATAATCACTGGAAGCATAACTTACCTGTTACAAGTTTGTGTAATCTTTCATGATCCTCCACCAGTCTGGCTACGCCGGTATCCAGAGCTACAATGCCTGCTGCTGCCAGGACGCCTGACTGACGCATGGCCCCACCAAGGAGATGCCTCAGTCTGAAAGCTCTTCAGTAAAAAGGGAATGAGGGAATAAGCTAACAATACTGAAATAGTATACATTTTGAAAAGATTATATCAAACTAACTTTTCAATGAAGTCGCGGTTTCCAACTAGAAGGGAGCCTACAGGAGCTCCAAGCCCTTTGCTGAGACAAACAGAGACTGATGCACAATCCTTTACAAGGCGGGCTGGTGGAACTTTGTGGTATACAGCAGCATTGAAAAGACGGGCCCCGTCACAATGGAGCGGTATTTTTTTTCTTGATAAAATAGAGCCAATCTTTTGGAAAAACAATCGTGCTTTATTTCTGTTTCTTGTTAAAGTGTGAATAAAATAATTTATTTTACCTTGTCAATGAACTCAAGTGGAAGCACACTTCCACCATGGCCAAAAGTGTTTTCAATGCAAACTAGTGAGATGTTTCCTCCACAGTAATTTTTTTCCATTAATTGGAGATCAAAAGTACCATCAGCATTGTTAGGAATAGTATTTATCATGACTCCTCCCAGCTAAAGAGGATAAATGAACTGAGCTTAAAACAAATAATGAAATGAAATTCTTACAGTCACAGAAAGATAAACTTACTTCAGACACACCCCCATCCTCATGTTGTAATATATGGCTCTTGTGGCCAATAAGGACTTTATCGCCTCGTTTGTAACAGTGCGCCATAACTAGAATAATTAAAAAGAACACTCAAAACCAATTATACTGTCCTCCTGATTGACTAGGCAAGGTTCAACAAAACACACCTGCAATTAAATTACTCAAAGTTCCACTGGACATGAATAAAGCTGCTTCCTTCTGTAAGATTTTTGCTATTTTATCCTGTAAGGCTAAAACAAAAAAAATTGAAAATTGGGGACCACAAACATTATCTCTCTTTCAAATACGGCGTAATTTTTTTTTAGGACAAACCATTGACTGTAGGGTCTTCCCGAAGAACATCATCCCCGACCTCAGCCTCAAACATTGCTTTCCGCATCTCCATACTGGGCATGGTTAATGTGTCACTGCGTAGATCAATGACACAGCTCTGGAAACAAGGAAATAACTCAGTATGGCAATGATCTGGTGTAATATAGTCATAAATTTAAATCAAGTCTCTGTAATTTGATGTACCTGTGGGTCTGGTTTCATATTTTCTGATACGGTGTACATATTTTGGCAGAGAATTCCAACAAGAGACTTGTGTGATTGAAGGATAAACTGATGAAAAGGCCGCTGTAGTTTTTTGGAGATCTGCGCTGATGTCCTCCTAAGACAGATAGAAACGTATTTTATTCCAGAAATCACTAATAACAGGGAAGACCACACTATAGTAGTTCACTGGCTTGACTTATGTAAGTGGCCAAGAAAAACACTCCAAAACAAATAGTTGCTGCCGTAGCAGAGTCGTGTTCGAGACACTGGTGGAAAGTGGTCCAACCACGATGGACTTACACGCATGTTTGCAACATTTTACTCAAAACCCCCGGCCTGGCAGCACCCGTCCAACAAACAAAGTCTGTTACTCAGCACTGCTGCTGTTGTCACACCGAGTAGCGTGGTCCGCTAGGCCAGCAGACTGATTCCGCAGGAACTTTCGTCCAGCTGTCTCTCTCACACCAACAGGGAGCTCCTAATGAGTGCGAGAGAGAGACAGAGCAAAGAGACCGACGTTCGGAAGCAGCCTACAGCGCCTTATCACTGTGACGTATGGGCCCCGCGTGTCCCGTCCCACAGTCTCCACGCATCCAAGACGACCTACCGCAAATCAGCCGGCCGGGTAGCAGCAAAGCGGCGTGTGCGCGCCTGGGTCCTGGTGTGGGTCCTAGGGCGGTTTCTGGCTCTATGCTGGCTCTAGGCTCTAGACGCGACGAGTGTCGTGGCGGGACTGGCAACGAGAGCCGAGCAATCGTCCCTTTATCCGGCGGGCAGGCGCGAAGCGTGAAGAGGCGGACAGCAGACTGATTCCGAGAATCGTTCTTTCTCTCTCGCTCCTGTGTACAGGACACCCTACGAGTGCGCGAGAGACGGAGCGACGAAAACGACTCTCGGAATCAGTCTGCAGGATGTCGCTTCGCTCGCGGCTCGCAGCAGGGGACTGGGTCTGATGGGGGCCCCGGCTGCCCCGGCTGCCCCGGCCCCGCCCGGGGGACGGGAAGGGGGCGGGGTGCTAACCCGGTGCGGAGCGCGGAGTCCTGCGGGAGCGCCTGTCGTCTCGTCTGCCCACGTGCGCCTCGTGCGCCGGCAGCACACTAGCAGACACGGCCGGCGGCGCGTGGCAGTGGCGGCAGGCAGCGCTAGCACTGCCACCATGTAGGCACTGCCCACGCGAACACTTTGCATCTAGACCAGGGATCTCGACAGGCATGTTCTTATGAGTTTCCTGCCCAGAAGTGTCGAACCCAGGTCTCGACAGTCGGATCGATGACTCCGACTTCAGAGGTTTTTGAAGAAAAACTAGCTTTGATGAGCGGAAAGACAGTCTTGAGGCTCCCACCGCCGAGGCCTTCCCTGGCTTGCCGCCGCTTGCCGCGCTCTCGCCGCGTACGTTCCTGGTTCCATCCCTGTCTCTGGCTGGGTTCCGAACAGCGGTGTTGTCGCGCTGTCTCTCTCTCACACGCATGCCGCACGGTTGCAGGAGAGACAGAGGTGCGCGGCAAGCGAAGCGCTGTTCGGAATACAATCGCTGGTCCAGTCACCGCCACCCTCGCGCCGTTCTTGGAGGCCCCGCGCCTTGTTCGCAGACGACCCCCTCTACTCCACGGGGTGCGGGTGGGGTGGGTGGGGTAGAAATGCGGGGGTTCTGCGGGGCGGGGCTGGCGGGGCTGGCGGGGCGGTTGGCGCAGCCACCCTTATTGATGCTCTGCGCAGAGGCGTGGCGGCGGGTCGGCCGGGGGGTTGGCGTCGTTGGCGTCGCTGGCGGGGTGGAGCCGCATCGAGCGGGCCGTGCCGAGCCGAGCCGTGTTAGTGTGGCCGAGCCCTTTGCCACCGCGACCCGCCCTGCGCCCAGCGTGCCGCCCTGCGTGCCGCACTGCGAGGGCTGCGTGCCGACCCGAGGCCCGTGCCCCCGCCTTGCCCCTGAGGCCCCTGCCCAGTCCAGCGAGTGCAGGGCCGTGCAGGACAACGTACCCATGCCCTCACCGGGGCCAGCGTGGCGGCCAGGCCGCGGACCCTGAGCCATGTCTCCGCGGTGCAGGTGAGTGTACGCCCCGCGCCGCCGCGCGCCGCCCCGCGGCCGCGGGCCCGCGGGTCAGCTGATGCCTCACGGACGCGTCGCGGATGCTGCGCTGCGACGGCGTCCCGACGCTCCCGCGGCGTAAGGAAGGGGTGGGCGTCGAACCCGAGGCTGCTGGGGAGGTGCCCCGCGCCGCTGGACGACTTCCAGGAAGTCGAGAAGTGACACAACAACGCCCTCCCAGCGAAACCAACTTGGCGCTGCACGGCGGTGCCAGGGCGGTGCGCCACCGCCTCGCCGTCCTGTCCCTGCGGCGCCCTGCGGTGACAGTGATTGTTTGGAGACGCCGCCAGAGGCCTTCGCGTTATCAGCGCCGGTGTCACCTCTGTGAGTTTCTGTCTTGCAGGCAGAGGCGTAGCGAGCTCTCAAGGCTGTTGTCCCTGTGCTGCTGGCTGCCTAGGGTTGCCTGGCCTTGCCTAGAGTTGCCTAGGGTAGCCCAGGCCTCAGTCCTCCGGAGTGGCAGAGTCGTGGCGTCGGCTTACGTGCAGTGGCGTGCCTTGGGTGCCTTGGGCGTGCAGCGGGGCCGTTGCCTCATGCCGCGGGCATGCCGTGGGCCGTTCGTTGCTGCAGTCTGCAGCGCTGTCAGCATGCGCCGGCCCGGCCCGACCCGGCTGGCTTCGGGTTTCCCTTCGCCACTGTTTTGACTGAGTCGGTCGGGGCGGGGGTCGGGCTCTCTCCGGTTCGCGATGTCTCCTCCAGGTCTCCTCTTGGCGGCCGCAGTGCCAGCCCCGTCGGCCCCGTTCGGACCCGTCTGCAGACGTCTGGAGGGGCGCGGCCTCCGCCAGGCGGTGCCGCGGGCCGTCGAGGACGCCGTCGTGGAGTGCACCGCCGCGTTTTGGGCGAGCCGAGTTGGCCGCCGGCCAAGCAAATTGGATCGAGGTTTGCGTTCAGATACGCCCAGCCCGCCCTGCCCGCCCTGCCCGCCCTGGTTCCGAGCGGTGCTTTCGCCGTGCCCTGTCTCTCTCGCATTCCCGGGGCGTGCCGTAGGGGTGCGAGAGAGACAGAGCGTCGAAAGTCTGGTGGCCGACGCGCTCTAACGCGCTCCAGCTCGCCAGACGGGCGCCGCAGTGCTTCGCCTCGACTCGCACCGTAGCACGCCTTCACTGCGAAAAATTGCGTAGTTTGGAACGAAAAATGGGATGAGGAAAAAGTACGGTCCTTCTGTTGCGAGGTGATTGGCACTCCGTATGTGTAGTGCGCACCTGCCACGCGGACCGACTCGAGAGCCTCGAATAAAGGCACGTGTGCACAATGGGTGGGCATGCCATCCAGTAGTATCCAGGGAAATCCTTTAATCATTAGTAAACACCTGGACCCATGCGATCGCAGGTCCTTATATCTGATAATGTGACTCTGACTCATCGATAGTGGACATCATGTAAGTATACTTAAGTATACTTTCAATATTATTGCTAACCAAACGTGCATTTGCGCTAGCCTCTAAGCTCGATTCGCATCCGGGATCGAAATCGGCAGTCGCTGCGTCGGGCGTCGTGGTCAGGGCCGGCCAGGGCATTCCTTCTGCTTCTGCCAGCTCCATTCCATGTGTACACACAAGCCGGCGGGGGCGGGGGCGGTCTCCCTCAGTCTCTCTCTGCCATTTGGCAAGGGCTGCGGACCCCCGGTCCCGGTCTCTGGCAGTGGGTGGAGTCTGGCCCCAGGCAGGCAGGCAACACCGCCGGCAGCGCTGTCCGCGGCGAGGACACATTGCCTACCTTCCAGGCGGCGAGGCCGGTGCGGCGGTGCGGCCTGGCTATCTGTCTGCGTCGCGCCGTCGCGCCTCGCCTAGCTTCGCCGGCCCATTCTCTTTATTCTAATGAGGAGGGTTGGACTTTGGGCCCTTTCGGCCGTTGGGCTGGGCGGCACACTGCAGGGCTGCAGGGCTGCAGGGCCGGGGCTGGGGGCGTGCTTAGGCCGGCCCGTTATTCTATCCTCGTTGGAGGGGGAGGGGGAAGGGGGCGTTCGAATGTGAATATGAATCTGATAACGAGGCATTCATGCGTCACGGCCGGCGCGCCCGGCACAGCGGCACAGCGTTACAGTGGCCATTGTAGAGCAGGGCTGGCTCCCGCCCCCGGCCGCCCCCGTCCGCCCCACGGGCCCACGCCCCGGCAGCAATGCCCTGCGCCCTGCGCCCTGCGCGCGCCTGCGCCCTGCGCCCTGCGCCCTGCGCCCTGCGCCCTGCGCCCTGCGCCCTGCGCCCTGCGCCCTCCCTCAAGGTCGCCCCGCTCGCCTGCTGGCCCTACCAGCCCTACCAGCCCCGCCAGCCCTGCCGGGGAAGGGAAACAACAAGCGTGCAATTGGGAATGTGCTTACGGTGGAGCGGCAGCGCAGCCGTCGTCGTCGTCGTCGTCGGGGCCGTCGGCCTATTTGCCCTCATTAGCTCTCTCGCCCCGGGACTCGCGTCTTCCGCCGGCAGTGGGAAGGGGAAGGGGGAGCAGCGGGAATAAAAAGGAAGGTGTGGGGGCTGGGGGTTCGGCCGGAGGGCGAATCGAGGGGGGAAGGGGCACAAGGCCCGGAGCGCCTCTCGAGGACACGAGGGTCAAAGAAGGGGTTGTGGGGGCAGGTGGAGAACAATGAGAAGCCCATTCCGCCCGCCGTCCTCGTCGTCCTCGTGGTCCTCGTCGTCCTCGTGGTCGTCGCCGTCCTCAGCGTGTTCATCCTTCATCCCTTTTGCTTCTCCCGTTGCAGGCGGCCGTCGGGACGGCGGGAGCGGGTCGCCGGGAGCGCTGAGGAGGATGGCAGCACGTCGTGAACCCCGCGCCGAGGAACCAAGGTGAGAAAGAGGGAAAGAGAGAGAAAGGGAGGGAACCGGAGGGAACGGAACTTTTGGCCCGCTTTCGCGCCACACAATACAGGAGGTGCAAAAAGTGCCGCTCAGCTTATCGGAAAGCGGGGCACGGCCGGCACGGCTGGCACGGCAAGGGCCGGGCGGGAAGCACGGAAAGCCACCTACCTCTACTTCTGGCCCAGCTCTGGCTCGGCACTCGGCCCTCGGGGCGCATTGCGGTGGCGTGGCGTCGCCGTCGTGCACGACGCCCCGATTCGCTGGGGCGGCGACGGCCGCGGCCTTTCCCGACCCCCTTGGCCTTCTTGGCCTTGGCGGAAGAGACTCGCGTACAAAATAATGCAAGACGCCGAAATGCCAACCCGGGCGAAACCGAAACAGGAGAAACGGCTCGCTTCCACACCTCCCACACGCGGATCCCGCTCTCGTCGCTGTCTCTCTCGCACGCGTGGGGCTCGTCGGTGAGTGAGAGAGACAGAGCACTGCTCCGAGACAGTGTGCTGGCATGGCAGACCGCAACTCCGGCGTGTGCCATGTGGCCGCGCGGAGACAAAGCTAACGCTTCCGGGCTCGCGCGGCTCGCGCTCCTCAAAGCTCGCCCCGCGGCGCCCCGCGGCTCCGCGAACCGGAGGGAGCCGTGTGAGGCACACTGTGGGCCGCAAGCTGCGATTCGTATTCGCAGTGTACGCCCAAGCGCACACGTGCGGCGTACGGCAGCGCGGCGGCGCGGGCGTGAAGAGGAAGACACACTTGAGCGAGGCGATCGAATTCAATCCATACGGCCTGTCTCCCGCTCCGCCGGCGTGACGTGCCCTCCTGGATGACGGCCTTTGTGAGGGCGGGGCAGGACGAGCAGGGCGAGTGTGCCTGCCGAGGCTGAAGAGGGAGAGAGAGACACGGCGCGCCAAGTGCCGACGCCACGACACGCTCGCGAGCTCAATAAACCCGCCACCTAACCGCAGAGCGCGGAGCACCGAGCCCAGAGCACGGAGCACGCCCTCTGCGGGGATGCGATCTTGGCCGGGATCATGGCGACGGCGTGGCGACGGCCTGATGGCATCCATGGCACCCAAGGTGGGGGAGGGACCCGCTGGGACCTGCCAATGGGGACGTCCGACGTCGTCGTGGAGGGCGTGGAGGGCGCTGGGGGTAAAGGCGGGTAAAGGGGAGGGGGCGTTAATCATTGCGAGGCGGAAATGGACCTCGCCGTTCCGGCTGGACGCGCTGGAGCGCCACAGCGCGGCATGGCCACGGCATGGCGGCGCTCTCCCTCTCTCTCCCTCTCCCGCTGTCTCGCTCTCGCCAATAAAACAGAAGGGTCAATTTGTCGGCGAGCTTAATGGCCGATGCCAAATGACTCCGCGACAGCCCGTCGGCCAGCATGCACACCGATGATTCCGAGAGCCGCTCTGTCTCTCTCGCACCCATACGAGACGCTCCGTGAGTGCGAGAGAGACAGAGCGACGAAAACGTCCTTCGAAATGAGTCTGCAGCAGCGTCCGAATGGAAATGAGGGATCGAACCGGAATGGCGAGTGAGACGCGACGCGACCTAGACGATGCGTGGTGTGACGCGCGGCCAGGCGGTGCGCAAGGGCCGAGGGACCGTGCCGGAGCGGCTGGAGTGCCTGGAGCGGAGCGGCCGAGCCCCTGGCCCATTTTGGACCGGGCGGGGCAGCGCGGGGTGGAGCCGTACACCCCTCGGTAAGGTCCCTCGGCCCCTCGGCCCGCCCCGCCCCGCGGGACAGGGCGTCACCGACTCTGGCCGTGTTCAGTTAACGGGGCGCGCGTTGCTGGAGCGAGTCGCTACCGCGAGCGGAGAATGAGAGGAGCGAGCTCTCATGTAATTAGGAAATGCCATTCGAAGGGAAGGCCAACGCTCAAACACACACGTTAACGCGTAAAAACCTATACTACCCCGCATAGCATCACTTGAACCCGAATCTCACTCCCTCCGACACAGTGCGCTCCCGCAATGCGCTTTCGTTTACTGAATATAGCCTGCTGTTTACAGTGGGCAGTGAGCGGGCCCCAGACGCGTAGTTCCGCCAGCACTGTGAGCCGGCCAGCCCCGCCGGATCGGCCGACATCGCGAAAATCGGTTTTATCGGGCTGGAATGTGAGCGACAGTGACGTGCACGGCAACGCCGCGAGTCGTCAACGCACTGTAGGTTGATTCCAAGCACTGCTTTCGTCGCTGTCTCTCTCGCAACCTTCCTGGACGTTCCATGTGTGCGTGAGAGACAGAGCGACGACATCGGTGCTCGGAACGAGCGGAACGAGCCGGCTGCCGCGTGCCGCGATTGGCCGCGATGACCCGCCGATAGCCGTCGTGACGCGACCGTGACACCGCGACCACCGCCACACTGTGACATGGGGTCGTGACGCCGAGTCGTCCCGGGCCGTCACGCCGTCACGCGGGCCTTGTTCCCCAATACCGGGCCATTAGGCGAATCGATGCTGGCGGACGTCGCGGTGGTGCCGTCGCCGTCTCCGCGGCCGCGACGACGCAGAGGCCCGCCGCCACTGAGACCTCTTGCAGTGGCGCGGCTTTCTTTGCAGTGCCGAAGACCGGCTCTGCCGAGGGCTCTGCCGGGCGGGGACACGAGATAAAGGCAAGGCGGGGTCATTGAACATTTAGAGCGTCCTGGCCGGGGCGTGGTGGCGTGGGTGTTCATTTCGACGGGTTTTGCGCACGACCTGTGTGTGACGTGCGTCACGCGAAGTGCGGCGATGTCCCAGTGCTCATGTTGTTGCTCCTTGCTGCAGATGTTCAACACGCGCCACGGGGTGTTCAAGGCGCGCCGCCTGGCGGCCTACCAGTACGCGCCGTCGCGCGCCCACCTCCGCAACAACAAGGAGCGTGCCAACCTGTCCTTCCTGCTGGTGCTCATGTTCTTCGGCGTGTTCGGCGTCATCGTGCTCACCGAGATCTTCATGGTGGACGAGCGCGGCCGCGGCCAGGGCGTCCTGGTGAGGCACGGCGCGCCCACCAGGCAGCGGGCCGCCGACGCGCACCCCGACTACGACGAGCCCTTCGTGCCGGTAAGTTGGTGGAGGCGGCCCCCTCCCGCCAGGCCGCGAGGCCGCCAGGGTTTACTGTAGTTACTCCCGATTCCAACCTTTTACTTTATGACAGCCGGTCGTATTTTATTTTGAAAGAAAATGTAAAATAGGACTCACTCCCCCCTGCCTGCCGGCGCGGCGGCGAGGGTCGGGAAACAATGGAGGGGGTAAGTCCTCCGGGCCCCGCCGGCCCGGCGCGCAGCAGGCGCAGCCTTTGGGCTTTGGGGCGCGTTTACGCAACCCTTTGGGGAGCCCCAAGCCCTCCACCACACGTTCCTCCACCACACACGCAAAATGACGCGCAAAAGGAAATGTTCTATGCTAATTTTGATGGCGGGTGTAGTTGTTGGAGCCCGGGCTGGGTCCTAAGCACCGCCCCGCACTGTGAAACGACCCTCAGAATTTCGCTCGACGGCTGTGTGGCGTTTGACGGCGGGTTTGAATGGGGTCGGCACGGCACCGGAGTCCCGGAGTGCACCGAGGCAAGGTGGACTCCTCGCGGTCGGTGTGGAGGGGCCTCGGGCTGTAACCTCATTGCCCCCGCATTCCGGCCGATTTGACCGCCAGGACCGCCAGCACCGCCAGCACGGCGAGTTGCCGGCACGCCGCCCAGCATCGATTGCCGATTCTGCCGATGCGCCGCGCTGTCGGACAAACTCTCCGTCGGCGAGCAGGGAAGAGCCGGAAAGCCAAAGCCGGGCTGCAGCTGCCTAGGCCAGAGACATTGACGGGAATTGAAAAAGTTTGTGTCCGAGGCCGAGGCCGTGGCAGCCGACGCCGTGGCGTCCACGTCCTCGTCCTCGCAGTGGGCGCTTCGACCGCCGCGCCCCGCGCCCCGCCCTGCCTCGGCAAACATCCATGCTTTGCTACTTCTTGTTTCCGCCTGTTCGCGGCGACCGCGTGGCGCTGGCGCGCTCGGTACCGGCAGAGTAATAGTTAGTAGTTTTGTTATTTCGTCATGATAGACGAGGGCGTTGTTGTTCTGCAGCTCGCGCGGTGCGCCGCACAATGGCGTGCACCCAATGTATTATGCACTCTCCAAAAAAGGGAACCAATTTCGCTGTCGGGCGGTGTGTGCCGTGTGTGGGGCGGTCCCCTCCCAGTGGCGCTGCAGCCCGGCCCCGCCCAGCCCCGCCCAGCCCCGCCCAGCCCAGCGGGGTAATGAACAACACGACCACCCGACACGGCGCGGTACACACACGCCCGTGTCGGGGGAGTGGCGGCACACTGGCACTCTCTTCGCTGACGTCACCCTCTCTTCTGTCCGCAGGGCGACGACTACCTGCAGTACGTGTCCATGCTGCAGGCGGCGGGCCGGCCCGGCGGATCCGCCCTCGGCACGGGGGGCCGCGGCCCCAACGGCATCCCCGCGGCCGGGCTGGGGGCGGCCGGCCTGCCCGCCGGCCCCATGGACCAGAGGCTGCCGCCCAGCGCCAACCTCACGGCCAAGGACGGCGACTGGCAGACCGTCGGCGGCACCAGGTGAGCGAGGGCGAGGACACGCCGTGCTTGGCCTGCTGCGCGGTGCTGCGCGGCGCTGCGCCCCGCAGTGTGTGCGCCATGCATCATTGAGGCGGCTGTCGAGATTCCTGGGTGGGGGTGGGGGTGGGGGATGACCGCCGCTTCACCCGCCTTGCCCTGCCGGCCCCGCGGCGCCGCCACGTCCCCATCCATTATCTACGAGACGGCCAGCAGGGCCAGCACGCCTGACAGGCCGACCCCGACAGGCCAACAGGCCGAAAGCACACAAACAACGCGAATACACGAGCGGCGGTCCGGGATCGGCCAAATTACACCCGACCTCGTCCCGGACGGCCGCGTCTTGGGACTTCCCTCCCTCCCGGACGTCGCCAGCTCCGCGGGCGCCGCTCCATCCACCGTCCGAACGCCGTAACGCTGCCCCCTGTTTCAGGTTCAAGTTCCTGGTGTTCTCGGCGTACTTCGACCGGCGCGACGGCAACCGGATGATCCGGGTGGTGGGCGCCACCAAGACGCGCATGCCGGAGAGGGTGTTCTGCCGCTTCTGGTATCCGGCCGACCAGCAGCGCGGCCTGAGCGAGCAGCACCTGACGGTACCGGCCAAGGTGAGAGCTGCCACCGGCCGCCACCACGGCCGAATCTCCCGCGACTCCACCCCCCTCCCTCCTCAACGACTGCGTGTGTCTGCAGGTGAAGGTGATCCGTGAGAACTGGAACCTCAAGTACTCGGCGTGCTTCGTGCTGTGCCTGCTCCGCCACAACCAGACCGTGCCCCAGGCCGTGTCCGTGGTGGCGCGCCTGCGCGTGCGGCCGCACAACATGCTGGTGGTGCGGGAGCTGGACCGGCCCGCGGGCATGCCGCCTCCGGACCCGCTCTCGCTGGCGGTCTGCGTCAAGCCGCTGCACTTCAGCTACAACAGGGTCAGTTCAGAAGCCACTGCCACTCCCGGAGGCAGGTCTGGCTCAACCAGGAGAGGCCTGGGCCCAAAACCAAAGCAGCATTAACCCACTTGGAAATTTCTAACTTTTGGTTGACTTATTTTTTATAAATTTGGCCGGCAGCCGGTTGAGATGCTGGAGTTCCTGGAGCTGAACACGATGCTCGGGGCGGACCACTTCACTTTCTACAACCACACCATCGGGCCACAGGTGAGCAGCTTCGTCCGTCTCCCGTTGATTTCACACTGCGTCTTTTGGGCCGATGCAACCAATGTTTTTCTTTTCGTCCTCCCCGCCAGGTGGCCTGCATCCTGCAGGACTACGCGGCGCGCGGCCGCGTCACGCTGCTGCCCTGGAAGCTCAACATGGCTTCGCAGCGCGAGATCCGCACCGAGGGTCTGTTCGCCGCCCTCAACGACTGCATGTACCGGAACATGAACCGGCACTCGCTGGTGGCGCTGATCGACCTGGACGAGTTCATCGTGCCCAGGCACAACCTCACCCTGCCGGACCTCCTGCAGTGAGTCCTCCCTCTCTCCCTCGCTGTACCTGTGTTCTTGTTTGTTCGGGTAACGCGCCGCACCACCGCTTTGGAGCCAAGCTTCCCCTCCCACCCGAGGCGTCGGGGTGGAGTAGGGCGCCTGGCAGGTAGGCATCCCGCTCGCATGAGAGCGCCGCGGGTTTGCCTACGCTCCCGTCTGCAGGCGCACTGGCCCGGCAAGGCGGCAAACCGCAGAGGGGAGGGCGAGGGGGAGGCACAGCTGCCAGTTTTCCTCTTCCTTTTTCTTTGGCCTGCCCTCTAAACCGTTTCTCCGGCGTGCTTCGTTGCTTCGCAGGTGGCTGGGCAAGCGGCTCAACACGCGCAGCGCGGGCTCCTTCTCCTTCCAGAACGCCTTCTTCTACCTGCAGTGGACGGACGACCCGCTCGTCAACAGGCACGGCCTGGACAGCCGCCTGCTGACGGCCAGGAAGACGACGCGGCGCGTCAAGCTGCACCCGCACAAGCAACGCTCCAAGTACATCTGCCGGCCCGAGTTCGTGGTGAGTGCGACGGGATGGTGTGAGCGGGATGCAGCCTCCTCCGCGCCGTGCCGCCCGCCGTGCCGCCTCTGACTGACTGGCTGGCTTGCTTGCAGGTGGAGGCGGGCAACCACTTCGTCTGGGAGTTCCTGCCCGGCCACGGCGCCATCAACGTGCACCCCTCGGCGGCCATCCTGCACCACTACCGCGTGTGCGAGTTCGGCGGCGACGACTGCGTCAAGTCGGCGCACGTGGTGGACCGCACGGCGCACCGCTACAAGGACCGCCTGGCGGCGCAGGTGTCCAAGCGCTGGGCGCTGCTCAAGGACGACTGCGGCCTCGGGGACCTGTTCATCCCGCCGCTGGACCCGCCCGACGTGCTGGAGTTCGAAGACGAGACCCTGCCGCCCTCGCCGGCGTCGTCGCCGCAGCAGGTGGACGCCCTGAACGCCAACGTGCCGCCCGGGGCGCCCGCCACCGACGCGGAGCCGGCGCGGCAGCCCGAGGCCAAACTCAGCTAGCGGTCGGCGGGGGCGGCGTGGGGCGGGCTGCGCAGACCACAGCGTCGCCGGCGTGCCTCCCCCGGGCGCCGGCGGCAGTACAACCGCCACCACGGCGCGCCCGACTACTGAGGGCCGCCCCGCCCCGCCCCGCCCCGCCCCGCTCCCGGCGTTCCCCTATCGACATATCCAGCTACACGCTGGCCACTGCGTGCCAGCGACGCGGCAGCATTTACTTGTCATTAATTGTTTTGTTGTCTATGTCTTCTATTATGTATCAGTATGGTTAGGATTACGGTAGCAAATACCCAAGTCGTGGGTCGCACAAATAATAGTATTTTACATCCGGTAGAGAAATCTGGCCTGGCGCAAGAGGGGCATGACGTGTTTGTTGGGTACTCGCTTGCCTCGACAAACGATTTGCTGCTGGAGCACAAACTAGAACGCTCGTTCAGACATGACTAAGTTCGCTGCATGATCGAGTATAGCATATTTTGGCTGCAATTTTTGTTGTTCTCTGTTTCACTCTCAAGTCACCCTGACTGAACGGTCGTGCAGAGTCGGCGTGAACCAATTCGGGTGAAAGTCATTCAGAGACGCCAGTGACGCGTCAGTGACGTGTTAGCACAACAGGTCTTCCCACGAATACACTCTCGCGAGAGAGGGCATTTGGTGTACATACATTACTGTAAATATGCGACCTGTACGTACGATGGTCTTATATTATTTTATACATTTGTAAGTTGTTTACAAATTAGTGATTAACATGCTTCCTGCCTTCCCGGGGCGCGAAGCCGCGAAGGCCAGAGGAGGGCTGCGTTGCCCTCAAAGCACAGACTGTGATGTCGCTTTTTTCGAGCTGTGAGACGAAGACAAACGGCGCGAACGTAGTGCGTGCGTGCGTGAGTGTGTGTGTGTGAGTGTGCGAGTGAGATGAATAGATACTTACCGAGCAAAACACATGAGCCACTTTAGTGTCATTGATGTGAAGTGCCACCGATACCAACTCCGTGCATGCTAGCGGGGAAATAACTTGATTCATCTCCGAGGTGTATCTATGTCTACATTTCGGTGTGCTGTTTTTTTTTCAGTTTTTTTCCCCTTTACCTAAGACTTCCATGTTTCCGCCCCAACTCGCGATGCGTCCTATTCTTAATCGGTTCATTTTTCGAAACCCTACTGCCACCTCCCCGTACCTAAGGTCATATGGACATCTTCCATATGACCTTACCCCTATCCCCTCGAGGATGCGAGCAGAACACGAAGGGTAGGCGAGCTGTCAAAACTCAGCGCAAAGTTGATTATCTCATCCATATTTTGTTACTTATGTATATGTATATGATGCGAAAACGCCCAATTGTTTGTATAACAAGGCTCTCTATGAAAATATTGTTTCAGAACCAAAGTGCCAAGCATGAATGCAGGAATAATATTTCGATTGTATCATGTTGCAGGATGGAAGAAACATACCTAATTATGTATCGATAACTGAAATAAAAGTACGATAAAGAAAATACAGTGTGTTCGTTTTTTGTAGCTCCTTTCTCCCTGCATTTCCCCAAGCGCACGACAGAGGACGGGCGAGTCAAGGGGCGGGTTGCTCTTTGCCTACTCCTGAGCGGTAGATGCTTTCGCAACACTTAGACGTCAGTGCCAAACAATCAGTTGGGTTGCCCTGGTCGCGACAACGCGACATCGCGGGCCAGACGAGCTCATGTGCAGTGCGGTGATGTGCTGACGAGGCCCTGGGCCCCTGGGCCTCCGGGACCAGGAACCGGGGGGAAGTCCGAGTGAACGCGGTCTCCCCACTCTTCACCGGCACCATCTCCGCCAGGGACAGTCGTCCTAGGGAAGTCTGCTCGCTCGAAGCGACGTTGCAATTGACTGGAATCATCGCGTCCCTGCCTCGTCTTCGTCCCTGGTTGAATTTGCTTTCACGTTTTCACTGGTTTCACGTTCGCTTTGGTTCGCTTCGCGCGGTGGCGGTGTGGCGGCTGCGTTGCGCGGCTCGCAAAGGCTCGGTCGGTTAGGTCCGTGCCGTTGCCGTTTGCGCCGCTGCGCCCGGTGTCGGTGTCAAACATGGCGGAGGTGTTCTGGACCCGGAAAGCTTGAGCTGGTTGGATATTTACTTGAAATATCTTCACGAACTCGCAGGTAATTGAACTCCCGAATTATTTATCTGCCGATGAACGGGATGTAGCAGTTTATCAGTGTCGAGGAAGATTGCAGTGTGGCTTTAGGGTGGCGACTAAGAATATCGTCTGGTCTGATGCATCCAGTTTTCGGCGTTGTTTACAGTGGTTTATCTGACTGCAAATATTTTAGATATGTGGAGTTGTAGTATTTCGTTAACAACAATGTTGCAATGCCAGTTTCCTTCTTCCGGTCACCTCTTCTGACGTGTCACGGGCTCAGCCTCTGGCGAAAATGGACCTCAACTGACGTCACTTTGAGATGATAGAGGTTAGATTCTCGTCAAGTGTTTTCCACTCTGTTGACTTGACTAGACCACTTCGAATAAAAGCGATCATTTTATCCCTTTATTCAATTTTTTTTCAAAGAAAATTATTTTGCCTGTAGATATTTTATTATCTTATTGGGTTTCGTTTTTCAGAGACTATAAACAAATATTCCTTGTATGACAATTAATCAATGGTGGTTTCTATTGTTTATCTGAATACCTAAATTTTGTCTATGCTTTTATTTTTGCAGGTAACATTTCAAGAGCACAAATGAGCAACCCCAACTATTTTAGGATTTCATTCAGAGATGCATCGAAGTCATCCAAAGACAAACCTCATATCAAGTATGTTCTTAATGCCATGCGAGGCAATTTCAACCCAGCCTTGAAGGATGGCAAGGACCCAGCAGATTCTGAAAGGAGTGAATCTATTGTTGACAAGAGTGATAGTTGTGAATCATCAGTAGATTCTAAGAACAGCAAGAAAATTACTTCGACGTGTAACTCTGATCCAGTGGCAGAGCTTAAAAGTGGTAAAAAGAACAATCCAAGTAATAACATTAATGTGGCAGAACCTTGTATGGACAATAAAATTGGTGTTAAAGGAGATGCCACGATTGGTAATACCACTTTGTTGGAAACAGCTGAGAACAAAGTCAGTACCAAGAAAAATTCTAGTATCGGTAAGAATAGTTTTGATGGCACTCTTGATGCCAAAAGCACCAAAAAGGACTCTGCTCTTCCAAAGAGCAACATGTCTGAATTAACAGTAGACAAGAAGAGTGTAGGCAAGAAAGAAACCTGTGGAAACAAGACCATGAAGACCGCTGAAATGGTCAGTGTAATTAAACCAGAAGTGATTAAAAAAAGAACTGAAAAGAAGTCGGAAACTGTAATAATAGACCCTGAAAATGTTAATAATTGTAAAGTAACATCAGTTGGTTCTGGGCCCACAACACCAACGCCTTCTTCTTGTTCCAATGACAATGAAGACATCAACCCCATGGGAACTGATGTGCAAACACCAGATGATTCGCCTCCCCTAGCCAAGGAAGTAGCAACACAAGGTAGTGAAGAACGCAAAAAGCGGATAGCGAGAAAGCGTGCATTAAGGAACAGATCTTCTACTCGCTCAGAAGGCGGGTCTGAAGCAGATGCACCAACCACTTGGCGCAAAAGGTCTGCTAGGCGCTGGTCCAAAGAAGGAGAGTCGGTCTTGCAGAATGCCATAGCCCGCAAAGAAAAGTCACTGAGTTCTATCGGTAAGTCTGATGAAGACAAGACTCGAGTTGCCGTGCGAAATTTAAGAGACAGTAGAAATTCATTACCAGATCATAAACGTTCCCATAATAAATCCCAAGACAGTACATCTGCTAGCCCAGAGTCATCTTCAGATGTTAAAGGGAAAAGTGCAGTGTCACCCAAACTACAAATTAATGGCAGCACTGACATGGTAAAGAAAGATAATGAAACCGAAAACTCAGAGACTGGGTCTGATACTGCAAGTAAAATATCCATAAAGCAAGAGGCTGAAAATCCCTGCACTCATACTAAGACTGGCAAGCGGCGCTATAAACCATTTCGTGGTTTGCGCTATTCCTTCAGTGGGGTGACCAAGAGATCTAAAGTCATCCGCCGCTCAGCTCCATCTCAGAGGAATTTTGCAAATTATTTCAATGAGCTTACAATGGAAAGCTCAAACTCTTCCACTTTTAAAAGTGCTACTAACAGCTTAGCTGCTGAAAGTAAGTTACCATAATCATTGTGTTTTGCTTATGATATTTTTGTTGCCAGTATTTTTAAATGAAGCTGTTTTTTATTTTGCAGAGTCTCGTAGTAATAGTCCTGCAGTGGCAGATGCCTGCACTTCGAAGTCGAAAAAAAATCGCCGAGGTGAGTTGAGAGATAAACAAAATGGTTCTGCCTAGGCTTACCTGCCTAGGCTTGGAAGGTGCTGTGTGCCGCGTGCCGCGTGCCTGCTCCACTGAGCGAACGCGGAATGCCGCGAGCGAATTGTGCTAGATCAGCATCAGCATTTCCTCCTTTCCTGTTGTGTTCAGGTGCTCAGGCAGATGTTTCCATGTCACTCATTAACTTTTTTCTGTACAGATAATACCCTGTCACCGTCACCAAGTCCTGGGGACACACCTGCAGATGCTAATCATCCAGAATCAACTGCCATTTCTATTGGTGTAAGGTTTTGTTTACCTTTTCTTTTTTCCTTTTGAAGATTTTGTTGTGGATTATTTGCTATCATTGCTCTTTGTTGAACAGGCTGGAACTGCTGGACTGTGTCTTTGCCAATCTAAAACAAATCTTTATGTACGTAAAGATGCTTTTGAAGAAAGTGATTTAAGTCTGATGTGCCAGGCTGTTGATTCCCTGGAAGGTCGCTTGATAGGCTGTTGTAATGCAGTGGGCGGATCCGAATCTGCCAGACTTTACCGTCCTAGCCCTCGTGTTCCTTATATTGTGGTTTGTGAGCAACATAGGCAACGTCTTTTGAGACACCACTGTTGCCCAGGTTGTGGAAATTATTGTACTCAAGGACGATTTGTGCAGTGTCCAGCACTACATTATTATCATCGTGATTGCCAACTTTTAATTGCTGGAAATCCCCAGTGCCCTCATTGTGGCTTAGACTCTCCTCCAAATGAAGTAAGTATAAGCTTGGGAGTTCAGAAGTATCCTGTATTCCTGCCTCATCAAAAGCTTGTAAAGCAAACGTAAGTAAAATTTCTCCCTACTTTTAAAAAAGTATGCTCTTAGTCATGATTTCATCAACTTTTATGATCTTATTTGCAGACCTTCTGCAAGAATGAGCCTTGTATCCAGTACGGAGACACTTGAACAGCTCGAATCACCACCTGTCAACATATCTATGACACTTCCCATCGCCACCACTGTCTTGGACAAAGGAGAGCGAGAAAAGTTAGAAAAACTTGTAAAGAATGCTTGTAGTATGCGCAGTGAAGGGCGCTCTGCCCATTTGCCAAGGTTTGTTTTTATGTTTTTAGTTCCATTGGCGGATGGGAAATTTTGGTTCATTTAACAAGGTTTGGTCTGCATAATTATACTAATGTCTATGCTCAAAACTAGGTTCATTTTTGCTAAGTAGTGTCATGTTCCAATTGATGTTCCAGCTTAAATGAGTTGGAATTTGGTCTGTCTACAGTCTATTTTTTCCACTTAACCTTTTTCAAAAATTAATTTGAAAGCAAAAACTACTTATCTTTGTCACAATAGTAATGTCAATCGTTTATGTTATGTTACGTACTTTCATAATTTTTTAAAAGAACTTAAAAGCTTCTGTGGAAGCTTCTATAAGTGTCAAAAGCCATGGGGTTCAATAATTTGCTCCATTCGCCAATCATAGGTTTTTTAAACAATCTCAGTTAATTTCTGCTTTTAACAAGAATTATACATAGCTTGTGTTTTTAAACTGCTTTATGCATGCATATTAAAGCTCTCTAGGTTTTTCTCTTTCCTATTTAGAAATTTCTTCCTTGTGAAATTGGAGCATTTTTCAAGGAAGTGCCTTGTCAATGTACATAGTTTGTTCTAGGTTTCTTCTTCCATATTTTTAGACTTTTAGTTTTTTGCCTTGTAGTTTGATCTTTCAAACTCTTGTCCCTTGTTTTGGTTTTTAAGGTATTTTCTAAGAATTTTGCATGAGATTATTTTGTTTGTGTTGGTGTGCATTAAAATTATTGACTGCAGAGTGCAAAACCTTCATGTGTCCCAACACATCTTGCTTTGCTATCAGGAACTTGTCATCTTTGTAAACCCTGTTTTTTAGTTTAGTTTTTTCTCTCCATTTTTTAGCATCTTGTCATTTTGAATTCAAATTCTTATGTTTGTTTATCTCTTTGTATTCAGATACTCAGCAAAACATCTTTACCAATCAGCTAAATCTGGAGATGCAGAGAAAATTGTTCAGATAATACGTATGTATTCATATGCCTTCATATTTGTATTATTTAAAACTAAGTTGGGTTACCACAAGTTTTTACCTGATATTTGTTAACTCCAGGACATGGAATCAACCCCAACCATATTTACCGAGAAATAAGTATGCGCACAGCATTGCACGCTGCCTCTGAAAAGGGTCATATGTTGGCAGTGCATGTTCTTGTACAAGCTGGAGCACAACTTGACCCACAGGACAGCGAACTTATGACTCCCACTATGCTTGCTTGTCTTAATGGCCACTTGCGTGTTGTACAATATTTGGTCAAAGCTGGAGCCTGTGTTACTCATCAGGTATTATTTTATGTCTTAAACTGAACTGAAAGTCTTACCTGCACAAATTCAACTGTTAAAATTTACTGAAAGAATGTAGACTATTTTGTAGCAGTGGTTTACTTAGGGCTTGTTCTGAATCATCCAGTATGTACTGTGCTTAACGGATTGGAATACTTGTGTGACCAAATCTTATTTTTGTGTTCAGGGATCAGATGGCATGACTGCATTGCACATAGCAGCCAAGCGGGGAGACTTGGAAATTTGCCATTGTTTGTTGACTACTGGAAAAGCTCCTCTTAGTTATATCGATGTAAAGGATGATGGAGGGTGGACAGCTCTAGTTTGGTCTTGTGAATTTCGCCACGTTGCTGTAGCAAGGTACTTACCTTTATGTATCTTTGGTTTCGAAATCTCTCTCTATTACTGACATACATTTCAATGCACAGACAGTATCACAAGTTTTGGTTTGTTTCGGTAATGATTCTTACATTGCTCTCTACTTGTAGCTATCTCCTGGATCGACGTGCGGACGCATTGCTCCGCGATAGTGAAGAAAATATTGCATTACATTGGGCAGCATTTTCTGGCAGTGAGGAGATATCAGAAAAGCTTCTTAATCATGGGTCTAGTGTCAATTCTGTAAATATCCATGGCGATAGTCCATTGTAAGTACTCCTCCTTTAGTGCTTTGGTTTTTCTGTGCATCTTGACTCGCAATGGTAAGGACCGTTATTTCGTTTGCAGGCATGTTGCTGCTCGTCAAGACAACTTACAATGTGTCCTACTGTTCCTGACGCGAGGTGCAAGGCCAGATATTGTCAATGGGATAGGTCAGCATCCTCTAGATTGTTCTTTGGTTGGTAGTGATTGTTACAATGCCATTAATACCACTGCTGAATTGAGGAAAATGACAAGTTCTGCAAAAGAGCGCACCAATAGAATTCTTACAAAGTGAGTTTTTCTTCTGTACTGAAGTTTGTTTGCCTACTTATAGGATGACTATTTTATTTACTTTTTAACTGATATCTTTCAATTTTAGTGATATTACCCGAGGCAAAGAGGAAAGTGAGATACAATGTTTAAATGCGGTTGATGAAGAGGCTGAGCCTCGAGATTATGTTTATGTCACTGAAAACTGTTTCACTTCTAATATACATGTAGATCGGGCAATCACATCTCTTCAGGTAAGTCATCAACTTAAATAAGGTTTTTCATTTTATTTTTGAAACAGCCATTTGATATAAATTTTTTTTCTATTCCATTCAAGTCATGTGAATGTGAAGACACATGTATAGGAACTAGCTGTAAATGTACCCAGCTGAGTTTACAGTCATGGTATGATGCGGAGGGAAAACTTCTCCCTGAGTTTAATTTCTTTGGTGAGTTCTGTCAGAACACATGCATTTCTGTTGCACATGTCTTCAATTATTGACTAAAACTTGTCCTTTTCTCTGGCAGACCCACCTATGCTTTTTGAGTGCAATGAAATGTGCTCTTGTAATGTAAAGCTGTGTAGAAACAGAGTAGTTCAAAGAGGACTGAAGGTCAGATTTCAATTGTTCCGCACTGTGGGCAAAGGATGGGGAGTACGTACCCTCACTTTTATTCCCAAGGGGACGTACGTGTGCGAGTAAGTTTCCCTTTGCCAGTTCTTCCATGAAAAACAAACATATTTGCCAACCATTAACTTTGAACATGTTTAATTACTTTCCTTAGATATATTGGTGAAATCATTTCGGATTGTGAAGCTGATCAACGGGAAGATGACTCATATTTGTTTGATCTGGACAACCGGGTAATTTAACTCAAAGAAACATAGATGCATTGCTAACCTCCATTTTTTCTAGGCTGGGATATATTGTTTATTTTTGTTCCAGGATGGAGAAACATATTGTATTGATGCCTGCCGCTATGGTAACATTGCTCGCTTCATAAATCATATGTGTGCGCCAAACCTCCAGCCTGTTCGTGTTTTCATGGGTCACCATGACTTGCACTTCCCTCGGATTGCATTCTTTGCAAATAGGGATATTGAACCTCAAGAGGAGTTAGGGTATGTTCCTCTTGTGTGATACCTTTGTGATGAAATTTTGATGGTGTTCCTCTCCCATTTACTAAAATATTGATGTTCTAGGTTTGATTATGGTGACAAATTTTGGATAATCAAGTATAAATCATTTACTTGCACTTGTGGAGCACCAAATTGTAAGTACTCTGAAATATCTATCAAGCAAACTCTTGCTGAATACAACCGGAAACAAGAGGAGGAATTAGTCACATGAAGAAGATTTGGGCTTTGTAATGGTAGTTCATAAGAAGAATTTATCTAACCTAGTTAGTTCAATGCTGCCCTCCGAATTGTGAGTCACTGCCTAAATGAAATTGTAGATATCATATCTGCTAAGATCTATAATCATTTGCAGAATTATATTTTAAGAAAGACTTAAAATTGACAAAAGGCGTTGCACAAAACTGATTGTGTGTATACTTTGAGTTAGTTTAAGTGCAACCTTTACGTTTGTTTTTAATTCTGTAATGGAAATGCTTTCAGTGGTTTTGATTCTTTTGCTGAGGTGTGCTCATGTTTTATGTTTTGGCTAAGTAGTTTGAGGAAAAGCCCGCAAGGTTTTTAATCTATAATATTTTTCCTATCCCAAGAAAATGAGTCGATGATGGAATAGACTTCTTTAAGCAAACTTGCAGTTGTTTGATTGACCCTGTGCGCTATATAGCACTAAGATTGAGCCCTAACCATGAAGTTAAGTGTGCATGCAGGTTTCAAAAATCTGCAGTCACAAATTTGTACTAATAAATCTTGTGCCAAAATGTCAACATTTTGAGTTAAGATTTTAGAAAGTGGTGTGTTTAGCAATGTATTGTCAGAAGTACTGTTTTGAATCTTTATTTATTGTTTATTGTTTGATCTCAGAGGCTTTGAAACTTTGAATAACAATTTAATTTTGTCGGATGTCATTATTGAATGTTTGCTTTTGTCCCAAAACGGCTCACTGCTGAATAATTTGAAGATTTATATGGAGCTCAATGTCCCCCATCCCTTCTTTTGTCTTGTAATGAGAAATCCCATTAATTTATCGGATATTATTAAGGTTTGATTCTTGATGATGCCAAGAATTATAGTTCAATTGGTGCTGTTATTGCTTTCCATTGCAAAATGCTTAGTCAATGAGAAGGTAGTTATATTATGTTTTTTTTTTATTTTCATTGTTGTTGTTTTGCTATCTGCTGTAAAACAATTTTTTTTCTGATTATTGTTGTAGCCGAATGTTTCTGCATCGGTATTCAAACTTCTTGTTTTTGTTGAAACTTTATTTCACAATTGATAATTTGAGTATTTTTTATGTGCATGTAGACGCGCCTTTTGTGTTCAACTATCTCAATCATCCCCATTGTCTTTAAGTTTATGTACCTGTTACCAACTAAACTAAAAAGATATAGATTTAGACGAATTGTGCAGCCTGTGTGATTAAATTTTCATCCATTGACTTTTACTTGACTTTAATGACATGTGTTGATTTCTCTGAGCAATCCATGTACTGTACACATTGTGAATTTACCGTTACTATATTATAGGACTAAGTCTTTGTATTTCCTTTGAGTTCATATTGAGTGTTGTATGAAATTGAGTGAAATGCTGTAATAGCATAAATTGAAGAAGGTAATCAATATTGATCTTCTCAAGCATCATTCATTTTACACGGGAAGTAAGATGTAATGTAGGACTTCATGCATGGTGCTCATTTGCTGGAAGTATCAATTTCGTTTTTGAACATCCACCTCATGTGTTATTTAGGTTTCTTATGGCTTGTTTCTATGAACATGTGTTGTGTTAAGCTCTAGTCTGTGTCTTTTTCCTACTGTTTATTTTTTATCGAGATTATTGAGTTATGTAACATTTTTTTGATGTAGGTTCTAATAGTTTTTCTAGAGAGGCTCAAAGTCTCTCTGGGTTCTACCTTTCTCCTTTAAATAGCCCAACTGTGAAAGGGTTTCCTTTTGTTATCTACCAAAAATTTGTTTTTTCCTTCTCTTTGTTCCTGATACACAACCTAATTATGTTAAATCTGGGAACTACCATGTACCCTCCTGTGCATTGTTGTTATCTGTCGCAAAGCATGTCATGTGTAAGGTGGTATGTAATAAACACTCTGTAATAATTGTATTTTGTTGGTCGAGCCATAAGATCAAAACAGAACATAAACATATCCTTTAAGTAAGGTTCGACCATGATTTCACCGCCCTGGGGGCCCTGCGGGATCGTCGCTACGGGACAGTTGGCAAACAAATTGCTGAGTGATTGACTTCACACATGCAGCCACCGAACATGGCTACTCCTGCAAGGCAAATCCTGGGTCCGCGCCTGACCTAGCGAGGGGAGGAGAGCTTAGGCAACAGATATTTCCTAAATGAAAGTTAAGGGAAGTTGCGATCAGAAATAAGAACGACAAAATCTCCAGATAGCTTTTTAACAGTCTCATATTTAATATTCATCCATTGCATATCCACATCTTATATACAGTTTAATATGCAGCGTATGCATACTTACATGTACATAATTGGGGTACACAAACACACAAGCATACAGTTTTTATTTTTTTCTAAGACAGAATAATGTAACACAATGTGGTCTACCACATTTGCATAGTCCACAGAAATTAAAAGAGATGAAGACAAGAAATGCAAGAACCTGGGGCAGTCTTGATATGAAAAACAAAAGAAACAGAAATTAAAATGACTCTATGCCTCAATCAAGCAGACATAATATAAATGGCATAAACTTACAGTTATAATGCAAGCTATGCCACAAAGATTATCACATTAACCATTTCAAAAGGGTATGGAAAGCTTATCCATTAACTTGTGGCAAACTGACGTAGAGGTAAAATAATTTAAATTTAACTCAAAAACAGAATAGTTTAATGAAATAAATATTTATCACAAACTGTACATGATGGCTAAAACCATTGCTAAGGCAATGTTCTTCTTTTCTTAATTGCTAACAGTATAGACACTTTTGGGGTGGTCTTACTTAGTAATGTGTTACTTAAAATGTAGAAAAAATTGAATTGCGTAGACACTGCAAAGTCTTTGCTCACTTTGTATGGTATGGAGAGGTGAAAAATTGTATATGCTCTGAACACTTAATAACTGTAAGCACACGATTGGTAAATCATTTAATCTTGCCGCTCCGCCTCTCTTGCCATTGAAGAAATCTTCAGTTGATGCACAGGTTTCACTCTGCTTGTAGCACGCAGAACAACGTATCCAAAACAACATGAACCTCATAACTTGCAGTTTATTTTTGGAAAGAGTTTACCACTCATTATTACTCTAATAATTTAACACAGCCTGAAGTCTGTAACACATGTGAAAATGATATAACCGATTTCCATGATAAAATTGTGTGTTCATCTGACTTCTGACTTCAATTTTACACAGTAGATCATGCAAATACTCTTATTATAACTCCTATTCCCTTATTGACAGGAGATGATTGCTCTGAAATAACATGCTGGCTGTGATAAAAATTCATTACAGAATTCTTGCTGTAGCATAGTACATTGTAAATTAAATCAAGGCACTGACTGGAAAAACATTTGGTTCCAACTCTTATTTTATCAAGCTCAATTTGAGCAATACACTCATCACCTTACATTTGGAACAAAGATCTGTTTGAAAGATGAATTTTTTAGTTTATTCTGATGCTGAAGTGTTTTGACACGATTCCAGATATTAAGGTTTCCACAAACTGCACTGATTTATATAAAAAATTAAAAAGGAGAACACAGCTTTAAATATAAGGTAACAATTTTCACACACAACGATAACAAATGAAAAACTGAGTCAGTGCGTTGAATAAAGCACTGGACTTGAGCATACGGTCATTTGTAAGGTGAGTTGTAAAACTCCACATTGTCTGAAAGAGCAGTAATGCAATGAATAAAAGAAGAAATATAAATGCAAATAAAATTGTGATCAAAATCAATAAAAAATACAATAAAATATCACAAGAAATAAAATAAGAGGATCAATGAAAAGTACTCATTTGTGCCGCTTTTTTTTTGTCATGTCATGCATAAAATATGTGAATAAAGGACCAGTCTATTTCATGAAAGAAAATATTGCTCTGGTGTAAGAGAACTGTACCACATGGTTAGTAAAAAAGAAATAGCCACAATAACTGTTAAAGATTTTCTCCTCCTAGACACTTCATCAGAAACCAGTACACCTTAATTTCGTTCTTGGCCCAAATATTGTCTGCCAGTGACAAAAGCTATATTTATTCATGCAACGAAGCAGAATTGAAAGGAATGCGATATGTTCTAAAATGAAGTTATAAAAAGTGAAACTCTGAAAATACTACCAGTAACAAGTCCAACATCAGAGTAGATTGAGGCAGGTGAAAGGGCAAGGAAACATGAGCGTACGGTTCGGACCAACCGTATACACAATCGTCATACTAAACCATCATCTCGCTTAAGATTAATGTTCTGCTCTGCACAGAAGTCCCTCGTTAGAGGGAGACAGTTAAAGTAGGTACAAATTTCACAGTCATAGACAGGAATAACATAAAATAGCGCAAAAAGCGCAGCAAATAGGAATAAACAAGACAACAGGCACACCCAAATCAGTGCTATCTTGCGTTGACGGTCATACGTTCCAAATGACACATATGGTAAGAGAGCATATGATAATAAGAATCCAAAAATGAATCCAAACAAATGTGCATAGTTGTCAATCCAAGGCACTAAGCCAAGAACGAACAAAAACAATGTGATTCCCAGTAACCTTAACATTGCATGACCTGGCCTTTTTAGCATGGGCCACACATTCAGTACTTCCACTATGAGGCACGCTAACAGTCCGAATTGCGCCCCAGCAGGCCCAACCTGCAAAGAACACAGTGTGATTTAGACAATGCAGTGCATTAAAAAGTAAACTAGAATTCATATCTGACAATCATACCTCAGCTCTGTATGGAACAAATATGGCACTTGCAAGGTTCCCTGCTACTCCAGAACCCATGTAGATGACGCCAATACGAAATGCTCCTGTGAGCTTTTCTAAATCTCTCATCAAAAAATATTGGATCACTATGGTTATAACCAGATGGAACAACCTGTGAATCATCAATGACATCCAATAAGTTCAAGTAGTATTAGAAAAAAAAAAAAAAAAAATTAATATAAGAAAAGGACATAAAAAGTTGCCCTGAAAACTTACCCTGCATGAAGGAACAAAGAAGTCCACAGACGATAAAACTGGTCGGGGATTTCAGGTGACAAAAAAGGTATCATACCACAAACATCGTCTAAACAGGAAACCTAGAGAACAAAGAAAAGTCCATAAGTTATTGATTCCTAAATTTTTTACTTACTGTGAATTGATTTTTGAACATACCTGTGAGCACAGTGATGCCTCTTCATGGAAATATCCCCTCACAAAGTCACAATATTCCTTTGTGGTGATTTCACACGACCCATGGATTCCAATACAGCAGGGATGCCCAATGACTTCACACACCATATGTTCAGCAGCTTTGTCTTTGTATTGGAACCGTCTTTGAGGTGAACCTCGAGAATTTGTCTTTCTACATATAGGCCACTTTGTGATGTCATCTGGCCACTCATAAGGAGCTATAGAAGCTGGGGCCTCACAGTACCTGCACATTAGGAATGCAATTTAGAAAATATTGCTAATGTTATTATTACTATTATTATTTAATGCACCAGGAAATCCAACATACTTGGGATCCAGCCCGCAAACGGAACCTGATATACGGCCACCTGGACCCACATTCCCATTGCTCCATTTCTTCCAGGTCTCTATTGTATACTGCAAAAGTAAATAAAATAATTAATTACAATGATTAAAAAAATTCAAAAGTGTGAACTTATAGGGCAAAGACCCAAATACAGCAGAAGAATTCTCTCTACAGTCATAAAAGGAACTAAAATAAAAATTTCACTTAAGTAAAGTCTTTAAGGATTTGGGAAATTAAAAGAATATCTACTTCACACACAATACTAAGAGCATTCTAAAAAAATTTCTTCATCACACAATACAAGACATACCGGTGATCTCGTTCCCCGAGGTAAGACCAGCAAAGGGAAAAGAGACAACACAAGTTGACACATTTGCATACCACAGTTGTGAGGAGCAGTATTGACAAGTGACAGACAGAGAATAGGAACAAGCTATGAACAGATGATACTTACTGAACAATCACTTCGGGAGCTCTGTACACATCCAGATTCATCATTTCTTATACAACATGCTGTATTCCTTTCTTTTAATCTACTTTCATCTATTTCCTTGAGAATTTTTATATCCTTCCTCATGCATGGTGCAAATTTCGCCCCTAGATGTATTAAGTCAGCCTGAAATAGAGAGTACAAACATTCATAGTACAAAAGATGCCTTGTATATTAGAAAAATTAAAATAAAAGAGAAATACTCACTGCTCTAGGTCCAATCCAAAAATTGGCCGGTTCAGAGTAGTCCACTTGTTTGAGGGAAAGGCTTGTTGTGAGAACCTGTGAAAGCAATAAGAGACATATGATATCAAAAATATTCAAAACAATAAAATCTTCAATGCTCTTTTGTTTAAAGTGTACGTACCAGGCCCGAGCGTTGGTTCAAGTTGAAGCCAATTGTGCCAAAGCCATAACACGCAATAGATATAAAGAGGATAAGGATTTGAACAGTGGTGACCCAATACGTGAAGTAAGGTCGGTGGTCTTCGATGTCCTCCAGCTGTTCTCTCACTCGGGGCTGTCGTGCCACGGACCGTTTCAGCGATCGCCTGATTCAAACAAAAATACAAATGAATTCTCCGAGCTGAAACTTGACAGTAAGATTCATGTTCCTCGGAACCGAAACCGACCCGAAGAGTTTGCCCACGACGCCCATGCCGTACTGCCGCCGGTCCGAGTTGTCGAAGGCGCGTTCCAGGAACGAGTTGCCGATCCTTGACATGCCGACCTCCCTGCTCGAACTGTCGCCGCTGGAGAAGGTGTTCTGCCTCGCCCACTTGGGTTGCCTGCGAAAAAGAGAAGCAAAGGTGAAAACGAAGGCGAAGCGGCGAAGCGGCGAAGCCAGCAAGGGAAGCCTTGGTGGAGCGGAGGGGAGCGCGGCCAGGCGCCTGCGATCCGCGGCGTAGGCATCGCGCCGCGCACGGGTGCGCGCTGTGGGTCCGGCTGCCTACCCTCGACTCGTCGGGCGCTTCTTGAACTCCGTACTCCACTCCACTGTCTGCTCCACTCCACTCACCTGTCCCTGTGCTGGAAGTGGTACGGCATGGACTGGTTCGAGTCCACGGCGTCGCCCACACCCATCCGCTGCTGCATGGCCGCCGCTGCCGGGGCCGGGGCCGAGGCCGCCGCCGAGGAGTCCAGCAGGTGGCTGAGCTCGCCGGACGGGGCCGCGGCACCGCCGCCGTCTCCCAGGTCGCGAGAGTCCCGGGTCAGCACGTCGAAGAAGGGCTGCGGGCACGATCACAGTAACGCGTTAGTAGATTGCAGTCCCACTGGCAATGGCGCAGTACACGAACAGAGACACGCCCGCCAGGCGGCCTGGTCCGCACTCACCTCCTGCACCGAGCAGAGCGTTGGCGACTGGGCGCGGTAGCGCACTGACGGCGTCGCGGACTCCGACTGCGCCGCCGGCTGGATGGACCTGGACAGCGTCCTGGACAGCGTCGGCTCCCGCGCGCGCTGCCGCGCCAACCGCTGCAACAAGAAGCACGCCGGAGTGAGCATCATGCACCATGCACGGCCGGCCCACGGCCCACACACTCAACGGGGAAGCCCACGCCCGCACATCGCGTTGAGTGCCTCAGCCTCCCGTATCCACTCCGGCCGCAACCGAGGACACAATCCGAGTTGGAATACAACTAGAGGGAAACGGATGATACATTTCCATTTAGGTTCCGGTTGGAATACCAGAGTTTAAAGGCCTCTGGGCTCTGGGCTGGGACTGCCAGGACTGCCACCGTGAGCAGGGTCCGTCGCCGTTTAGGCCGAGCTTCCGGCCGCTGAGTATTCCAGTTCTTCCGGCTGGAATTTATCGCTGCGGCATGCAAGCAGTGCGGTTCATCTGCTTTCAAATGAAATAAAACGGGGGACGGAAACAGCGGGGCGGGCCGCGCGGAGGGGGAGGGGAGGGGGCGGGGAGGGGGAAGTAAATATGCATGAGCTGATGCGGTGTGTCGTTACCCGCTTCTTCCTTCTCGGCAAATTGTGTTATTTATTCATAGTGCTCGCTCAGCTCTGCCACACCCTTTCCTTTTTGCCAAAGGGCCACGTCGTCCTCGTCGTCGTCCCCGTGCCCGCCTCCGAGGCAAGGACCCGAGGCCGCCCGAGGGCTGTGAGTCTGTGAGGCTCGCGTCGCACGCCGCGGGGCCGTGGGGCAGGCAGGCAGGCAGGCAGGCAGGCGGCCGAAAGCATCCGCCCTTATTGAGGGAAAGCGGAAAGAGCGCGTTTTTACCGCCACGGCTTCCTCCTCTGCGCTGCCGAGGCGACGTGGTCGACGTGGTACAGCACCGCGCAGCGTTCCAGGCCCACCACGGCCGCAATCACACACACCAAAAGAGGTGGGCGTCGTTCTCGAGCGACGTGATAAATAATGTGTTTGTCCAAGGGCTGCCTGTCGGCCGGTTGGAGGTCGCGGGGGCAACTTTTCCAATATTCACGTTCATGAATTTGGGCGCGGCCGGTCGGCCTGGAGGGGACGAGGGGAAAAGGGAGGGGGGACGGGTTATTGTTTCGCCACTGCAAACCAGCCCGGGCGACGCGGCCGAGGCCAACGCGGTGCCGCGGTGCAGGGACACACGCCAATTGGGGCGCGGAGGGCTCGCCACGCCACTGCTACGCCGCCACGCCGCGCTGATGGAACAGCTCGCAAAACACGGCGTGACAACAAAAGCGGGAAGGGCGGAGGGGGGGGGGCTGTAGGGGAAGGGAAAAATTAATTGGCAGCGATCGATGGTAGGGCGCGCACCGCGGCGCACCGCGACGATGACGACGGCGCCGCGTTGACTCCGCCGCGGTCTAACGCTTTACACACTGCCCTGCTAATCCGCGACAACGCGACCGCGCCGCTGTTCGGCGAGTCGCCTCGTCCTGCGGCTTCACTCTAAATGTAGGGTGTCCAGAAACTGGGCGCCTTTGTCGCCTGCCCCACTTTTTAGGGTGCCAAATGTCGCCCAGTTTCTGGGCACCTTTGTCGCCTAGTCTCGGGGTGGACAAACCATTAAGGAACCTGCCTTCACCCATGGCTCAGCAGCGACTAAGGTACCAAAGGTGCCCAGAATCTGGGCACCTTAGTCGCCCAGGAACTAGACACCTGTGCATGCTCTACCATGGGAGAGGGCCGGTTACTGCATGATTAGTCCACCCCGAGACTGAGCGCCAAAGGTGCCCAGAAACTGGGCGACATTTGGCACCCTGAAAAGTGGGGCAGGCGACAAAGGCACCCAGTTTCTGGGCACCCCATAATTAGAGTGTTGTCACTGCGTCACTGCGTCGCGGCGCCCCGATTCGACGTGTGCCGCACACAGTGCCGCGCCCCGCACCCACATCTGCATATTGCCGCTGTCGTCGCGTCGCTGTCGCCGTCCTGCTCTTGTTCTTCTTGTTGTTGTTGGTTCTCAACAAACGAAAACAACAACACAACGGTCCTCTCTGCCCGGACTGCGGGCTCGCTCTAAGTTAGCGCAAGCAAGCAGGCAGCAGCGGCGGCGGCGGCCCCGGCGCGCTGTTCTCGGTTCTCCAGGGCTTGGGAATGCGCGCCAAGTATGCAGCTGGGACGCCCCCTCTCCTCCCCTCCCCCTCCATGACCACCACCGGGGGGCCACCAGGGCACCACCAGGGCACCAAGGCGAGCACACGGGCACCGGGATGAAGAGCCGAGTCGAGCCGAGCCGCCGGAGCTCTCTCATCCAGTTCCACTAATGGTGTTCCTCTGTTACGCCCTCATTACACCCCACCCCACCCTGCCCCGCCCCGCCGCGCCCCGCTTTCGTCTAGCTGTCCTGTGCAGGTGTGGGACACAAACACAGAGCCGGGCCCGCGCCCCGCGTCGCGCACAGCTTGGCGAGAAGAGCCTCCCTGGCGCATGAGTTAGGCGACACGTCGACAGCTTCGTCACGCACACACACGCACACACACACATGCTCACCGAAACGACGTAGGCCACGCCGCTGAAGGTCATCTTGGCGACGGACTCTTTCCGGCGCACGGGTGGCTCCTCCCAGCGGGCCGCGTCGGTCACGTCCTGGGTGCCGGACTGCGGCAGCACGTCGGGGCGCGCCAGGCGCGACTGCTGCGAGGAGAGGAGAGGAGACGGCGCGTTAAAGTTAGAGCAAGTGGCGGCGTGGAGAGAGGCCGTGTGGAGGCAGTGCCGAGGCAGTGACGGTTACCATGGCGTAGGGCGTGACGGGGGTCACGGGGGTGGAGGGCAGCGACGGCGCGATGGCGTACTCGTCCTTGAGGTCGCCGTACCGCCGCGTGGCGAGGCGCTTCCGCCGGTCCACCCAGCGCGCGCGCTGCGCCTCCTCCTGCATGGGGTCCACGCCGAAGAAGGCCGCCGTCTCGCGCTTGATGTAGCTGCAAATGCAAAAAGCAGGGTCGCGTTAGAGTTGGCAGTCGAGGCTTCCTGCCGACGACCACACCTTGGCTTCCATTTCCGCCATTTCCGGAGAGAGGGGAGCGGTGCGGTCCGCCACCCCTGACCTCCGCGACGGCGCCCACCAGCACCACCGCGGCGGCTTTAGCTAGACACACTTCCCCTTGTTCCCCGCCAGCGCGCAGCGCGCAGCCATGGCACCGCGCGGCGTCTTCAAGGTGCGCGGCCCGGACCGCAGCGCGGCGAGCGCGGCGCCCCGTAGGACTACATTATACATTCAATCTCCCCGCTGCGCCCCGCTGGCTTGCTGGCTTGCTGGCTTTGGGCGCCCCGCTAGAGCCACAGCGAGCAAGGGCGAGCTAGAGCCCTCTCTCGCCCCTCGCCCGGCGCGGGCGGAAGGCCGGGGCGTCGCGGCAGGCCCAGCCCGATCTAGCGCGCGCCCCGCACCCACGCCCGCGTCGCGACGGGGATCAGCATGACCCCCTTCTTGTCTGCGACCAGGCTAAACCCACCGTGTTCGTCAGAGTCTTACGGCGCGCTTATCAGGTGCACCCCGCCCCGCCCCGCCCGCAGTATTTTGTCTTTTGGAACACGTGCAGTGTGTGGCTTGTGGAGTGGCCGTGGCGCAGGGGAGGGGGTCTCTTTACCCTCCGTAAAACAGAGCTGCCAGCCCCGCGCCCGCCCCGCCCCGCCCGCCCCGCCCCGCCCGCCCTGGCCCAGGCTTCATATGTTACGCCGCACCGCGCAAGGCGGCAAGGCGCGCTGGAAGGGGAGACGGTGTGTGCGTGAGTGTGTGTTCCGTCATGGAGGAACACAGCTCCGTGCTTGCCCGCTAAGCCCCCACCCCAGCCCTTGGCTCGGCCGGGATCGCAGCCATGTGCCGCTTGCCCCACTTAAATCACACTTACCGGCGGAAAACACATCAGACACCCCCCCCCTTCCCTCCCCTCGCGCGCGGGGAAGATGATACACGGGAAAGAGCCGCCACGTCTCCGAGCGGCAGAGCAGCAGAGCAGCACACCGCCCCGGACAAAGGGATTACTTCCCTCTCCAGGCTGCTCCAGGCTGCTCCAGGCTGCTCCAGGCGCGAAGACGTGCCGCGCGGATATTGTTTCTGGCGGGTCAGCCAGCCAGGCAGCCAGGCCGGGCAACAGATCATGCACCGCTCGATTAACTTTGAGACTCTTCAGGCCTGTTTGTTTTTCGATTGCCGCCCCGCCCCGCCCCGCCCCACCGCGGCACTCCGTCTGGGCGGGGCGGCTATTTTGGGTGATTTAAGGTCGTCGGGGAGAATGGCGCGATCGAGGGGGAGATCCCCCATCCCATCCCGTCCGCGGCGCTGTTGTGTGCCAGCCTGCCAGCCCGACAGCGCGGTAGCGTGGCCCAGAGCCTACCGGCTTGTAATCCATTTTTCTCCTTGTTTTTTGGTCCGGCCCGTTCGGAGGGCGCGCGCTCTTTCCCGAGCGTCAGCTTGGCGGGGGTGGTGGAACGGTGTACTCACTTGCGAACCATCTCCGACTTGGACTGCTGGCGCTGCAGCCGGTGCCTGGACGGCCCCGCGTTGCCCGCGCTGCCCGCGCCCTGGGCCTGGCTCGTGCTGGCGCCCGCCGACATCCTCCGCGCGTCCTGCGAGAAGGCCACGGTGCAGCCGGCCTGCGTCCTGGCCGTGGCCACGCCCGCCGGCGCCGACATCTGCGGCGACAGGTGGTGCGGGTGCTTGAGGGGCGACGCGGGCGGCTCCAGGGACGCCGTCGTGGTGCTGACCGTCGAGCTGCCGCCGCTGCCGCCGCCGCTGTCCGGGGCGCTCTGAGACCGCAGCACGGCCGTGCTGTGCTGGCTGTCGGCGCTGCAACAGGGAGGCAGGCCGTCAGTGAGCGCGCCGAAGCCGAGGCCGAAGCGGCCGGACAACAAGCCACTTGGAGTGCAGACACCCACCTGGACACGTTGATGGAAGGGGTGGGCGAGGGTGCGGGCTGCTGTTGCTGCTGGCTGGACCCCGTGACGCCCCTCCTGCGACAGAAAAACACAGCCAATGAGCACGAGGACGAGTACGCCGCGCTTGTTCCGACCACCGCGTCCCCGCGGGGCTGGCTTCGCTCGGCTTCGTCAAAGCCGAGTCAACACGCGCGCTGCTGCAGGCCCTGAGGGCCCTGAGGGTCCTGAGGGCCAGGCCCGCGCCAACGCCAAACCGACTTGACACGTTGGTGCGATAAATCCGTTCCAGGGGCCTACAGCCAGGCCTACAGTCAGGCCTCCAGCCTTGCCTTGCCTTCTCATGGCACAGGTAATGCGGCACGTAACACCCTCACGGCGAGGGGCGAGGGCGAGTCGGAGGGGAGGCGGCGTGGAGAACGGCGTCGAGTGTCATCGCCCTCGGTAGAAGCAGCGCCACTCCGGGGACACGCACGCACACACTGAACACACTGACACACACAGACGCGAGGACCCCGCCAGGGGACGGGAAATTGCCGGGGCGAGTAATCAGAGACACCAGTGAGAGTATCGAATCAGCTGGCTCCGGCTCGGCTCGTCTCGGCGGCATAATTAGAGCAGACATCGAGACCGGCACGACCGGCAGCAAGCACCCACGCCGGGTGGGGCTGGGGACGCCCCGCCTCCCCCTCGCCTTCAAGGACGGCCCGGAGTAGTAGGCGCTGCTGGAGGGCGCTCGGTCGCATTAAGAGCACTCCCAGCACCGGCCCATCGGGCAGGCCCATCGGGCATTGGGGTCCAGTGTGTATACTGTTATCGCTCACTCGATAATAGCCTATAAATCCCGGGCCGCGAGGAAATGCCGCCCGTTTTATTGGAGAGGGGGGAGGAGGGAGGGGCGCCCCGCGCGGCCCTGGAAACGGCGACAGGGGAGCCGCGCGGTGGTTAAGTAGGTCGCGGGCGGGGCGAGGCGGGGCGAGGCGGGGTAGCAACAGTTGCGCGAAGAAAGGGAAGGCGACGCGCCAAAATTTGGTTTTGCAGTGCACCTATTCGATCAGCCAGCCAGCCAGCCAGCCGGGCGGACAGGCAGCCAGCCATCCGGCCGGGAAGCTGATGCTGATGATGGCCGTGGTATCGTGCTGCCGGCGCGCCGCTCCACTCCGCCCCACCCCACGCCGCCCCGCCGCGTCGTCCCCAATTGGAGACCCAATCGAGGAATGTCGCCCCAGCTCATCTCGTCTCGTGCCCTTGACGGCCGGGCGGGGCGGGGCGAGTAGATGGAGCTAGGCCTTGGCGAAGCCACGAGGCGCCCTGCTCCGCGCTCCGCGCACCCAGCCAGCAAGCCCAGCAACGAGGGCAAGGATAACACAATTCTTTAAGCCCCCCGCCCAGCGCCGCGCCAAGCTCCAGAGCCGGCTGCTGGCTGCGCCGAGGCTAGCCGAGGCTGCGCCGCCGGGGCAGTAACGTTGTAACCACCCGGACTAACCGCGTGGCTTGCGCCAAAGCCCGGGGCGGCGCGGGGCCCGAGGCCGGCCACTACGCCGCTGTGTCCTGGGTCAGTGGGCCACGGGGCCGCCTTGCGAGGCACGCCTTGCGAGGCACGCCCCGCACGCCCTGGCCGGACGACGCCGGGACCTCCCTGCCCGCTCTGCTGCTGATGGGATGTGACTCGCCGACTCTCGTCACCCCTCCCTCCCTCTAAGAGCCGCGCGGCTAAGCCTGCGCCTGCAGAGGACGGCGGCACGGCGGCACGGCGGCCTGGGCCTGGGCGTGGGCGGCCTTCTGGCGGCAGAGATGAGAAACCCTGGGACCCTGGGGGACGAGGAGGGGAAGGGGCGCCTGCTGGCGCGGCTGGCGCATATTGGAACAGCCGGCTGGTCCGATCGCGACCTGTGTCGGGTATGGAGTCCAGAGTCCAGGCCATCCAGGCCATCCGTTCGGCCCTTCGGCCCTTCGGCGAGAGTTCCAAGGGCGTGGACTCGAGGAGCTGCGGGGGGAAGGGGTAGGGGCAGTGGGAGGGGCGGCTGTCCGAAAGGATACAACCGCCGCCCTGGGAGCTCCTGCTTCTGCTCCTGCCCGCACAAAAACGCCCCCGTCAAAACTCGGGCCTCCATTTCCGGGGCGCGGCGGCGGCACGGCGTAGTCCGGCCGTCCCCGCGCGCCGCGCCGCGCCACGCCGAGCACCGCGATTACGGCATTCACGTCCAGCTCCAGGGCCGCGGCCGCGCGGCCAGGCACCGCCAGGCACCGCCAAGGACCTCTTATTTCCGAGAAGTGACACTATCTGCAGGGACGTCCTTCAGCTGTCGCCGGCAGCGCTGGATGAAAAAAGCGCGGCCTCGCCTCGCCTAGCCTCGCTCGGGGCGGCAGAAGGGCAGAACGCTGTTACGCAGAATGAGAGGCGAGGCGCGGCGCGCTTTGAATGGAGTCCACAGTCCGCAGTCGGCAGGGCGCAGTATCGATGAAGCGCCAAGCGCCAAGCGCCAAGCGGCCAGGGTATTGACGGAGCACTCGGAGCACTGGGCAAACTGATCATCGAGGCGGCGGGGCGGTGTGTTGGAGGAAGGGGGTGTCCTCGAGCGGGCGGCGGTGCTCGACAAGGACACCGAAGGCGCGGCGGCGGGGCTCGGCGGGGCCCGGCCGGTGCATGCGCTGCGCGCCACGAAGCCTTAATTTGTTTCTGGTGCGGAAGAGATTTACGGCTAGTTGTGTATTCCGGGCGTGCGCGATATGGGAATATCCGACGCGCAACGCGCCGGGCCGGGCATGGCGGGCACCCCGCAACGGCGGAGTGGCCCCGTTCCACGCGGCAAGGCCCGGCCCGGCTCGACACGGCAAGGCTCGTCGGGGAACAAGGCGGCCGGGAAATAAATTGGAAAGGAGAGTAGCACCTGTGGGGAAGCAAGAAACGGCGCGGGCCCCGGCGGCGTAGCGGCGTGGCCCATACACACTCAGACTGCTGGGAACGATGTCATTTGGGGAAAGCAATCAGAAAGAGGGAGAAAGGGGTGGGGGAACACCACGATGGGCCTCGGGGCGCAACGCGTTTCGCGAGCGTTCGAGGCCGCCAGGGCCGCCAGGGCCAGGAGGGGAGGGAAAAGCATAAGCAAAAGAGGAAAGAAAAGAACGGTGATAAAAATAGGGGTTGATTAGAGCCAGGCCGGCGGTCAGTGCGAGGCGGCTCCACGCCGACTGGCTGCGTTCGGGGACCACGGCGTGGGGGTCTCCCTTTGGCGTCGGTCCGCGGACTGAGGCAACATTAGCGCGGCCGCGGCACGTCCCTCGGCGTCCGGGCCACGTCCGTGCTTGGCGCTCCGCTTCGCGCTCCGCTTGGCGCTCCGCTTCGGCCGCGCCGCCTTGCCACGCCGGGAGTCCCGGAACGGATATCATCGCCGCGTTCATCACGGCTCGGCCGCCGCGGCCGCACCAAGGCGCCCGTCAAGCGCAGCATAGGCCAGCCGCGCGGCACAGCGGCCGGCGGCCGGCCTACCCGCGGGCTGGCGGGCTGCCTGCCCGGCTGGCCGCACCTGTCGAATTTGGGGCCGCTCCCTCTGCCTCGGCGCTGCCACTGCGGCGAAGGCGAAGGCCGACGTCGCCGACGTCACCTCGCTACCGGCCACAATGGCGAGGCGGCGAGGGCACTTGAGGCGCCGTTTATGTTGCACGTGACCTATTTATGGGCGAGGGGGAGGGGAGGGGGTTCGGGGCTGAATAGGACGCCGTCAAAAGGCGGGGATAAAATCCGTCACGTGCCTTTGTTCCCGGCCGGGGCACGGCGGCACGGCGGGGCATGGCGACGTGGCCGCGCGGTCTCGAAGCAGATGAAGACCGTCGCGTTGTCCTTCGCGGCCCCGCCACTCCGCGCCACCCCGCGCCGCCCCGGCCGCCTTTGCTGCCGCGATAATGATTTTAGTGTTTCACCCGCATTAACATAATTGCGTTCCCGGCGCGGCGAGGCGCGGCGGGGCGGGGCGCTCAAGACTCGGACCGGGTGACCGTGGCGCCGCCCAAGGCCCGAGGAGGACGACGAGGAGGACGACGACGACGGGGACGGGGAGGCGCGAGGCCACGACGCCGGCGACCTCATTAACGTGTTTTGTCCACCGCCACTGCCGCCACCGCCACAGAGTGGACTCCACCTCATGCAGCGCGCTGGCTCCCAACACTGCGTCGTCGCTCTGTCTCTCTCGCACCGCGACCGGGCCGAGCCGGGCGGCCCGCGAGTGCGAGCGAGTGCGAGCGAGACGGGCTCTGTTCGGAATCAGCCCGAGGCCGTCGCGCGGCAACTGATTCATGCGGTTTAGCACCGCCGCGCCTGCCGCATGCAACGCCGCCAACACCGTTTATATATTATTAAAAAAAAACCGCACACAAAAAAAAACTCACTTGTAAAAAAAATGAAATCGGCGAGCTCCACAGCCGTAAATTACAGCCCTTCCTAAAAAGGCGCGCACCCCTTTTCGGTGGCATGATGAAAAGCTTTCCTTCTAGTTAATCCTTTCATATTTTTTTATTATTACTTGGAGGCGCAGCGACGTGCACTTAACCACGTAACGCGCGGCGCATTTATCTTCGACAAGCACGCCGGGCGACAGGGGCGGGGAGGGCGGCGGGTGTAAACTTGGCAACGGCCGGGGGC